GGAATCTATTTTTGGAAAAGTTCTATTGCATAATAGCCTAGAACGAAAAACGAAGGAAATCCACACATCATAGACTTTCATGACAATCATTATCAGAAGCTTCGAAGCTGCAATTTCTACCTATATGCCCATGACATGAAATTTGAACCTGTTTGAATTTGAAATACCAGGTTGGTTTAGGAATTAAAATGAATATGTTTGGATTGTATTTTTAAATCAATTATCAGCGAGAAGTTTTATTGCATGTGACAATCCCTTCCGATGTCTTTTTACTATACAGAAAGTTTCTGATTCAGATACTTTCCAGTTGAAATTCCCTGCATTAAACCACAGGCCGTAGCCGTTTCTGTCACGATATTCACTAAACTCTAATCTTCAGAGCTCTTCTTTTGCTCTGATTTTTTGCGTGCCGTAAACATAGAAATGAAACGCCTCGTTGAATATTCAAGCCTTTTGCCAAAGCGCTATTTAAAATTTGCCCCACGGGTTTTACAGCTTTCTTCCTTTTGCTATTTCGATGAAAAAAATATAACAATGTAGCTATACCTTCGTTCAACGTATCCGATTAAGACCGTTTCAGTTGTATGAGTTGAAATTTCCTGCAATTACACCCAAACGACACTCACCATGGGAAGGGTTTTTACGTAGGCATGTTTTGAGAACAAAAAACACTAGGAAAAATTACATTAGGATATATTTATTACTAGGCAATACATTTTTAGCCAATACATATATTTATTTTTGGGTTAATGTTCCTGTATTGGGCGACTTGATATGAATTATAAAAAGTTTCTTTATAATGTGAGATTTTAAATAGTTTTAGGAACATTAAATATGAGTTTAATTAAACGCCTTGCATGCATCTTATTTATTGCTTGCATCATAAAGAGATTAAATGCTCTAGTAAGCGTGCAGAACATCACGCAGTTGTCAGCAAATCTAAGCGTTGTTCAAATGTTTATGAACGATTAAATTTATATCTAATCCCAGCCCCAGGTCAGCGCTCACTTAACCAGGCCTTCGACACTAACTGTAGAATCATTCGTTCCTATATAGTATTTTATCTGAAAATATTTTAAAATTATACAGGTCTGAACGTAGCTATACCTTTGCGTGACTATTTCCTGCAATTATATCGTTGTGCATCGATCGATATCACCCACTGTAGGAAATATTCAAACAAAGACATGATTTAATACAGGAACACTAAATAATTAAATTTGTAAAAACCAGCAAAAATCGCTGGACATCATTAATTCTGAGACATATATTTTTTCATCGATGTGCCTGTTTTGAAAAGCACTTTATGGTTTATGCATATACAATTCATGGCCTGCAATAATTTGCAACGGCGAATCTTTGCTAAGTTTGTGAGCGATATTTGCTAGTTGTGAATATGCTTCAATAACAAAGATTTGATTTGTATGATACAAGGAAATTGTCTTCACTAGTGCGATATTCCACCTCTTGCTGGCGTTATTAAATAAAATATGTTGAAAGCTCTCACATTGATTCAGTCCAGTCCAGTCCAGGCTAGCTATAGTATTGTATATCAGAAGAGATTACTCATTATTCGCATGTAGTTTATATGTTGTTTATACGCAGGTGAGTTTAAACATTTTACACAAATGGCAAGTGCATGGGCATAGCAAAATTTATGAGTTCGAAATCAGTGTATAATCGCTAATATTAGGCATATATGGCCTTGAAATAGTGCGTTCATACAAAGTCCTCAAATGCCGTGTGTTAACTCACGCCTTAATGAAATATGACCCGTGTCTAGCCCTGTATCACAGCAGGATTTAATAACACTTATCCGTACTCAATAACCCTTTCTTCTCACGCGTCCCTTTTACAATACTCGTCCATTGTGTGAGCGCATCTTCGCTAAAGCGACGCGTCTTTTACCGATGAAAAATAAGCCTCGTACAACAACAAAGAAGGGAAAACCGTCCAGCAGTATGGGTCGCATCGTGTTCTACTCTATCGCGTTAATAGTTGGCTGTTGTGCGGTCGCTGTTGTTTTGTTTGAGACTGAAGCTGGTCAGGAGTTTGTCGCAAAGGTTCGGGGTATGGATTCGGCAGATTCGCACGACCATGCAAAGTCGAAATACTCAGAGAAGAAGCATTCGGAGAGTGAGAACAACGAGGGAAATACGAAACGAAAGACGGCTGGTAAACAAAGCAGTGAATCGCGAGGAGACGAGAGTGTTTTGAAGAACGATAGAGACACGTCAGCAAAACAAACCGAGGATAGAAACGAGGATTCAGAGCGTAGCGAAGCCAGGGATGATTATGTTGCCCGAAATGAGGAATCTCAGGAAGAGAACGAAGCTCGTGAAGCTGTGTCAGACGCCGCAAGCGAAAACCCCGAAGTAAAGGAATCGCAAATGGACGAGACCACGGCTAGCAAGGACAGCGGCGCTGCCAACGAGGAGACGAAACAAGAGGAGAGCGTGGATGAGCAGATTGGCAGCGATGAACCGGTTGAGGGCCAACCGGAAATCCCAGTTGAAGAAGAAGACAAACCGGTTGTGGAAATGGATGAACCTGTTAGAGAAGAACAGGTTGAAACGGTCGAGGAACCTGTCGTCGAGGAAACTGTCGAGCAAGAGCCTGGAAACAAGGCTGAGCCTGGAAATGAGGCGGAGTCTGGAAACGAGACTGAGCCTGAAAACGAGGCTGAGCCTGGAAACGAGGCTGAGCCTGGAAACGAGGCTGAACCTGAAAGCAAGACAGAGCCTGTAACCGAAGAAACGGGTGAAGAAGAAAACGAGTTTGCGAATGAAAGAGGAATGGGTGACGAAGGAATGAATGATGAGAATTTGGAAGAGACGGAGCCGAACGTTTCTGAACAAGTGAATGAAGAGGAACAGAGGGAGGAAAAGGGTGAAATGGGTGTAGAGGATGGTGGCGAAGTTGTGGAAGAAGAGACTATCAATGTTGGTGACAGTTTGGCTGAATTGGAAGAAGCAAGAGAAGCTGAGAAAGTTGAAATGAAGAAAAAGCAGTTGTTAGAGCAAGCGAAGAAATTTGCGGAAGAGAAGAAACTGAAAGAAGAACCATACGAGCCGATTAACGAGCCAGAAGGACCACCCATTGATCAGAGTCCGGCAAAAATACGACGAGGACTGAGAGGGGATTATGGACGAAAAGGTAGGGTGAAATTGGGTCATCTTATGATAGGAGACCTTTAGAGTGTTCTTTAGAGTGATTCAAATTTCAAAACTATGATACATATTCTTTCAATATTCTCCACAGTTTTTATTATTTTGAAATTTAGATTGCAAAGATTTGAACAAAAACTGCAAAGCTTGGGCTCAGGTTGGAGAGTGTAAGAAAAATCCTGGCTGGATGGAAGTGAATTGCAAGAAGAGTTGTGACGTTTGTGGTAAGTTTCAATGTGATTTCTGTAAGCATTTTAGAGTGAATTTTGATGCAGGCAAGTTAGCAAGTACAATACCACAGCTACAAAGTGCATGGTTACGAAAGATGTGAAAAGTAAAGATAATAAGTTCTATATTCTTTTAGTAAAAGAACAAAATTTAGTCTATACAGGTTGATTGATTCATTCCACCACATTTTCAACCAAGAGTACTCCAATATTTCAGTTTATATTTCAATACTTTCTCCTAGGATGCAGCGACAATGATGTAAAATGCCCAGAGTGGGCGAGTACAGGAGAATGTAAAAGCAATCCAGAATGGATGAGAGAGAATTGCATGAAAAGCTGTGAAGAATGTTGAACTACGAAGTTAATTATGCCTGCAACAGTTAAAAACAATTTCGTTTCTTAGGTGCAGTACCGCGAACTATTCTTATAGGTATTTAAGTTGAAAAATCAACACGCGTGCAAAAAACAAATTTTGACCTTTTATAAAGAGAATTTTAACCGTACCCAGGCAAATCTTGATCTTTAAAAGTTTGGTAGCAGTCACTGACCTGTTTACAATAGTATATTACTTTAACTGGACTAGGTGCGCGAGGCCAAAATGTCTCGACATGAGAGATGACGAATATACGTCTCAGAGAATCGCATTAATTTAGCACTTTGTGTGTTTGTTTTTACGCGTGTGCATGAGACCTAAATTCGTCGTTACTGCGCAGATACTCTGTCCAGATGAACTAATTAATATACGGGTCAGTGAGGGCAGCCATGATATGCCTGCGACAAGAAGGAGACTCTTTGCGGTTCGGTTCTTGTCGAAAAACGTACGAGTTCGATTATTTGCAGCTAGAAGACCTTGCTCGTCTTGAAAAGAATCTGCTGTGCACGTGGACTACATGTGCGGGTATAATTTTGAAAATATTTTAGCTGATTCAATCAAATATATCTGGTCTAAGTTGTGATGTCATTCTGTGGTTTATATACGGTCATCTGCTTGCAAATTGCACAAGGTTAGGCGCAGACGCTTTAGGAACACAACAATTGCACCCATACTAAATACAATTCTGCTGTAAAGAACTTGTTGAATTAAATAAATGATTGCATTTTTTTTAAAACTGGTGTACCTATGGCAGAATCTGAATGTCTGTCTTGGTCAGGCAAATCTCCCTTAAACGCACACCCCACTCTCCCTCGGAACTGGGAACCCCACTCCCGGCACATCCCCCACCGTCAGGAGCCCCTCTTTTCACACACTTCCACCCTCCTCGAAACACCCTCTTTTGACACCCTCGAGACTCTCTTCGGAACCCCCCCTCTCAACACACCTCCACTCCCCACGGAATCCCCTTTCCCGACACCTCCACTTCCCTCGGAACGCCCTCTTTCGACACACTCCCCATGCACTCTTCCTCTCAACCCTCTATGACACACCCTCTCCCCTTCTCATCATCTCTCCACCTCCCTCACCCTTTTAACAAACTAAGGAAAACAAATCCGCTACTCAATCCGTAATTCAACACGGGTTCAAAGTTTACCACACATACCATGTTATAATAAATGCAGGACAACCAGTGTTTAAATTCCATATTCACTGCTGTGGCCAATTCAAAAGAGAGGTATTGACAGGTTCCCGACCACTTTCGCTGCTTGAGTTAGCCACTACAACGCTTGTCTCCCGTTCAACGGCAGAATTCCACACCACAGACGCGCTATCTCATGAGCGCTTCACTCGAAAGCTTAACGCGCAAATCCTATTCAACGATGGCATTTCTGAAACGTATTCTGGCTTTTGCTGCTATCTTCGCCGTTACGTTTGCAAAATTAAGTGTTCAGGGAATCCCTTTCGCAGGCGATGCAGATATGGGTAAGTATTAGATAAATAGCCTAGCAGACAGTCGCCAAACAACAGAGTGCATTGTATGTGTTCTCAAAAGCCGAAATTCTGCCAGTGAACGATTATCAATTGAACTTGGCCCGTCGTTATTCTAACAAGCATGCATTATTCGTATTGTGCCGGAGATCTTCGGCGTAACCAACATGGATGTACGCGGGCAGACAGTATAATATACTGTATAATATACTAACCCGTGTCGTGTAAAGAGAGAGATATTCGCTGGGCCGCGCATCTTACATTACATGCTTGGCTATGCTTAGTGCATTTGCGGTTGCAGTCTGGTTAAATAGCAACAGAGCCACTCAAAATAGAAGTATAAGATGTCGCGAGCACGCTCTGTAGCAACAGGTAGCCATAGTCTATTGCTAGGAGGAAATGCGAGGTGAAGAGCGGAAAAGATGCAAAAAAAGCAAAAAAACCCCGCCCCCAAATCCGTAGACCGAGCCATCTTCACCGCTCATATATCAAGAGTTTTTTTTTGTGCCACATAGATCTCAAATATACGGATGACGAGGTTTTCAAGCGAGAAATAAGCGATAAAATTGAAGGTATAACAGGAAATGCTTGGCTTTTGTACACAACAGAAACTTAAATAACCGTAAAATCAATCCAAAAAGACCAAATACACGCATTAAAACCAGGCTTGGTCCATTATCATCTTCTGTAGATCTGCATAAGAATGAAGGAAAGATGTTTGACAGAATTCTCATGGTGAACAGCTTGCACAAACGATGGAAAACGGAATATCGTTTGAAGAAAAGGGGCCTCAATTTTGATAATGTTATCAACACTGTTAACGAAGGTAAATCCCACACAAACACACTGTAAAATAATGTTTTAATAAAGAGCAATACATGACTGATATACGATGTATAACTGAATTTTTGCAAACTTGATAGGGGATGATAATTTGTTGTTCGAAGGAGATATCGCGATGGGTCAGGAGGAACTTTTAGATATTAAAAAAAGTGAATCATTCCGTCGTAAAAGAAACGCCATCCACAGACGTAAAGCTATTTGGACAACGCGGAGAATTCCATATTTTATAGACCCTGGACTATGTAAGTGCATAAGAGCAATGATTTACCAGAATTATAATCGTATGGATAGCTTTATCAGTTATGAACAGTCTCTTCAAAAGGTTAAGTTCTCTGATCATTTGTGTAATGAATATTTGTTTTGACAGCGCTAAAAGCAAGAGAGGCGATTCAAAAAGCAATGAACATAATACATGCCAAGACTTGCGTCAGATGGGTTCCTTACACCTCACAGAAACATTACGTTCATTTCAAGAAAGCTGACGGGTAAAAAATACACGTCGTGCATGCATGAAGCATTCAGAATCAGTAAAAAGACACTTCCACAACCGCTTTTGTTAGTTTGTTTCGTTAGATATTATAGTACACAACAAATGTAGTTACTAAACTCTATAGTCATTCGGAAGTAACATATTATGAGCTTTCCTTTTCAAGATGTTTTTCGACAGTTGGCAGAGCTTACGCTCGATCTGGTGGTCAAACATTGTCAATTGGCGAAGGTTGTGAATGGGTTCCCATAGCTCTGCATGAAATGACACATTGCATGGGTGAGCAAATGTTTTGTTTGTTTGTTTGTTTGCTGGCTTTTCCTCTCCTACTCGCTTAACGTAGTTTGTTTGTTTACAAATTCATCGAATCTCAGGATTCTTCCATGAACAAAGCAGGAACGACAGAAACAGATACATAACAATTCTTTGGCAGAATATTCCAGTCGGTGAGTTAAGATCCAAGAGCTAAATTTTATAGAAGAAATATCTGCGTGCCCATGCACGTCTTCTGTAGGGCCCATATAGTCAGTTATATCACGGAAGAGCAATAAATAAGAGCACAGGTTCTGTTTCCAGTATATTCGGTGTTATCATCGTCCAAACTAACGACCACATTTACTGGCAACTTGTCTCAATAGATCTCCACGATCAATTTGCAATGTACAGTCATGGAACAATTGACAAGATGAAGAAAGATTACGACCTGAGAAGTCTGATGCATTATAGTTCCACAGCATTTGGCATAAAAGGAGCAACCACAATTGTATCCCTTGATCCCACGAAAAAGATTGGCGATGCCGAGGACTTCACTAACCTTGATATTGAGGAGATAAATGCACTGTACGACTGCAAAACATCTTCCAAAAGTAAGGAAAGTATCACACCACCAGCTGGTGGTTTTACCAATAAACATGGTAGACCCTGTCATATGGCTGGTGTATGACCTTCATCTGTGTCCCATTTGTCCCATTCGCTACAAAACTCCCCCTGATCCATCCCTGAGTTGAATAGGTAAATTCAAACGAACTTTTTATCTCGTAGCTCAAGCAATGTCAAGTTGGTCAGACTGGACAGAATGCGATGATTCGTGTTTTAAAGAACGTCAAAGATTCTGCTTCAGGGAAAATCGAGCGGAGTGTCCAAGCAACACGAACGTATACGGAATTGAATCCGAGTACGTCAAATGTTCCAGCTCAGAATGTCCAGGTACCAAATTATGCTCTCGAAACCAGGGAGATTTTTTATCCTGTGTGCTCCTTAAAATCTCTACTGGACTACTGACTAAGTTATCTAATTGAAGTTAGGTTCACAACGATAGACCAAATTAGTATACATGCAATTAATCCGCTTTACTTAAACATGGAATTATCAATTTCACTCACTTTTTAGCTCCGGTTCATGGCAACTGGGGTTTGTGGTCTTCGTGGGGGACTTGCTCGAAAACGTGCGACGAAGGTAAACACAGACGAACCAGACAGTGTAACAGACCCGCTCCAAGTAATGGTGGCAAAGCTTGCATCGGCGCAGGCGAAGATCTTTCCACCTGCCTGAATAGAAGATGTAATATGGGTAAGAATGATAGGCTACATTTCCCATTAAGCGCAAGACAATTATTCTTCTGCACTGCCATTGAAGAGAATTAGGGTCAAACTGAAAGAGCTGTTTTGCATAGAAATATCTTGAGTTACTTTTTTCATATAATATTGCAGATTGACCTAATTTTAGGCACAATAACGATAAGTAAAGGACGCTTCTGTTCAGCTAATTTAGAGGCCGTTTGCTGATGATTGGGAATGACATCTTTTAGGTACTAGAAGTTTACCTTTCTTTCAGGAAAATACGATACAGACTTCGAAGATGGCTGGAATATATGGTTCACTGCTGGTAACCAGGGGTTGATACCATGGACACAGCACAGCGGTTCAACCAAGACGATGAATACTGGACCACAGGGTGACCATACTCTGCAAGGGAAAGGTAAGAATAGCTATTAGGTGGATATTGTAATGTAAGCAAATAGTCACAGTATGACCAATCGATAACAGCATCTTCAAAAATCTAAAAAATAATGCGAAATTCTACCCGAAAAGTCTTTCAATTTACAGGAAACTATGTTTACGTGGAGTCGTCTAACAGGAGGGCTGGTGACAAAGCAAGACTTGTGAGCAAATCGTTGGAGTTCACAACGCCTCAGTGTATGAGTTTCTATTACAACATGTATGGAGTCAATATTGGCAGACTCACGTTGTATCTGGTCCCAGAGGGTAAGGGTTGGTTTATCTTGTTTACGAAGACTGGGAACCAAGGAGAAGATTGGCATAGTGCTGACGTCACTCTGGACTGGAAAGGAAAATTTCAAGTTAGTCAATTTGTCTCTTTTTTATCTTTCTTTGTTAGTTGATTTTCAATCTCCTTTTCTGCCATCAATTCTTTCATTCTGTCTCGCTGACTTCTTTCAAGAAATCCTCAAATGATTCTCTCAAATCACGTTGAACCATCAAAACCTACTTCCCTCTTTCTAAAGGAATCAATCCTTTGTTCATTTCGTTTCTCTCGGCAATCTAAAAAATATCATATTTCGTTTTAATTCATCTGCTTGAATCCTCGCTTCAATCTTCCCAAAACAGCCTTTTATTTCTTTCTTCTTTCAAAAGATCTAAAAGATCTTCCCTTTCGTTTGCTTTCTGTCCATCAAACATATTTCGCTCTTATCTTTCATATGACTGTCATCGAACCAACCGTCCATTCCTTTCCTCTTGTCGTTTGCTATCGCTTGCCTTGTAACATGAAAAATACACAAAAACTAAGTTCATCTTCACCAAAAATCTCCACAGCTCGTTTTCGAGGTCGAAATTGGTCCAGGTTACTCGGATACTGCCTTAGATGATATTTACATCGACAAAGGCGCTTGTCCAGGGTACGAATGCAAGGATGGCAACACGAACTGTCAGCACTGGGCTAACAATAACGAATGTACTAAAAGTCCTGGATACATGCACCTAAACTGCAGAGTGAGTTGTGGAGTGTGTACGCCACATAAGGCGCCTAAACCGACACAACCTATGACTGTCCCACAAAGTAAGTAGATATTTGGAATCCTAGGGTGTGAAGGAATGTGGGGAGGGGTTGGTGGGCTGCGAACGAGAGGTGATGACAGGCAGTGATAGAGATATTTCTATAAAGTTATATAGAATATTAATTGGGCTTATACAAAAGATATGCATGAAGTATTAAAGTCATTATATCCAGAGGGTTCGTGCACAGCATTTTTTCTGTTATTGACAATGCTCGTTTTCAACTTCAGAATGCGAAGACAGCTACACCTATTGTAAATACTGGTCACAAAATGGCGAATGCCAAAAAAATCAAGGATTTATGAGCACGAAGTGCGCGGCAAGTTGTGGCTTGTGTGGAGGTAAGAATGAGTCAAACATTAAACAATATAACCATGGTTACATGGTTAGTGTTTGGTTATGATGTCAAATATTTTGACATGGATAACCACGCTGGTTAAATGGTCGAATATGCCGAAAAATGGCACTCGACCATGGTCGAATATGCCGGAAAACGGTATACTCAGCATTCTGATTTCATTTAGATTGCAAAGACAAATATCCCAGGATCCAATGTAATGTTTGGGCAAAAGATGGCTATTGCAAAACACATCCTGATTTAATGATCGTCTGTAAACAGTCCTGTACTGGTTGTCCAAGTAAGCACTCGACTCCTTCTAGCTTACATACGAGCCTGGAGTAAATTACCATAGGGAACACTTTGTTTTGAGGGCATCTCGTCTATCAAGATGGTTCACTTTCTCCACTATTTCTAATGGAAAAGCTACCCCCGGCCTCTCAGCGGCCATAAAGGCTTCGTTGCTATTTTACTACAATTTGAGTACTACTTACATTCTTTTTGAAATATTCTCTTAGGTCCGTGTTCAGACGGAAATTCAGAATGCCCACGTTGGGCGAGGATTGGTGAATGTGAGAAAAATCCGGTATGGATGACAGCCAACTGCAAAAAGAGTTGTAAAAAATGTTAAGCTTATGTATGTGCGTGCTTCACACTTTCTAAAAATCTGTTTTTGGTTAATAACTTAGGCAAAGCGAAATAGAAAATGCCCTAATAACATCTGACGTAGCTTCTTTGAGTGACAGAACGTTTGCAGAGTTACACTGAGAACAATATACGACATTTTTACAGTTAGCCTTAGTACTGTTGGTTTATCGTGTAATTCTCTTCTACAATAATAGCTTGTGTATTTCACATATTTGAAACTTTGCAGCTATTAATATCGTCCTTTTTCAACAATAAAGATAAACTACTACGAACATTTTCACTGAATCACGCGTGCTTGCATGGGTCTAACTGAAAACATTCATTCCCTATGGATTTTAAAGACGTGCGTGCAAACTGCAAAATATATCGATATAGACTCTTCATTACTTCAAATATTGATTAATTGAAAGAGACTGTATGACCCTTATCCACACGAGTCAACGACTTCTTTTGCTATTTGAATTTGCACGTTTCTCAATAAATTTTAAACACACAGCTTTGAAGAGAAGTTGATATTCCCACACACATCAATAAATAATAAAATACAGCATTTGCAAAACATATACCGCCTAAAAACATAATTTCATCTAACATAATAAAAACAAGCATTTATTAAATTCAATTAAATATTAAATATAAACGTTACTAGTCAGCTTTGTTATCGCGATAAACCGATCAACAAAACGAATGTTAATAAAAATCCCCAGCAGTTAACAGTATAAAGCTCGCTGTTGGCATAGAGTATATATATTATCAATATTGTTTTGAGGGATATCGATTGTGTTCCAGAATAAAAAGCTTTGTCTTGATATGTTTGAAAGTATATCATGAAATCACGTGGATTAGATAAAAAAATTTCTTGTATATGTACTTTAAAATGTACACAAACTTTCATAACTTGTACTAACATTCATATCATTAAACATCGATGTTTATCTCAGCTGGTCATAGCTTGAAAGAATCAAGTTATTCTGTTCAATTAGTTTTCCATACAACAGGTATCATAACAGCCAAACATATATTTTAAAAATCGCCTCAGCCTTCATAAAAGATTCCTATCTATACGTTTAAAAGTCTTCCAAAATTCATCCTGAATATATAAATCTTATAAATCTTATATACAAATCTTAGCTTATGCAATTTCGTAGTTCAACGGGGGTTTAAAAATTACCACATGCATGCATATACCGACATGATTCGACTGACAGCCAATCACAGAAGGGCTGTGGGCGTTTAAATTTCAAATTTATTGTTGCGAGGTGGATTTTAAGATCGACAGAGTCTCCTACCAGTCAGTGCGCCGCTTGAGTTAGCCAGCACAACGATTATCTGCAGGTTGGACGTTGAATAGTACATAGCAAACGCGCTGATCTCACGAGCGCCTGGTCCGAAAGCTCAGCGAAAGAGTCAAACTGAACGATGTTGATTCTGAAAAGTATTTCGGCTTTTTTTGCAATCTCCACTGTGATATTTGCAAGTTTATATGTTCAAGGAAATCCTGTCCCAGATGACAGGAATATAGGTATGTATACGAATGACATTGAAAGACAAAATGATAGACTTATTTAACATTATTTCTCTGTACTTAGAGAAATGCTGGTTGCACACAATACGTACTTTAGTTGAACTATCGAGTTGGTGGTATAGTTTTAAAGTATTTACCAAAGTTATGACAAGTTCCTAATATACATTCGTTGATGAATTTGAGTTACTCCGAGAGTATAAAGTTATGCATAATGTTGACAATAACCTTGATCTGTTAAAAGCATGCCAAGTATTAGTTTCAAAAAAGAATAGTGCTAGCGAACTTTACAGAGGAGATCTTAACACCAGATGATCTATACACCACCGTGTCAACGGTATACTATGTTCATTGATTCACAGCGTAGTTCAAGCGCTTTCAGACAGGTAATGCGCATCAATGATTTGACGTCTAAATCGTCAGACATGCTTCCAGGACTATACATCAGATTGCAGTGTTCTCAACTGGTTCAACGGTTTGTATGTCACTGTCAAGTCGCCCTGGCATGGATTAATGTTTTTTAAGCCAAATAATCCTTTAATCATACGAACTCTTGGATCGGTTGACGCATGATTGATCCAATGCGGAAAATCGGTATTATTTGTTTTTCGGGATCAGGCCTATAGTTAATATATTAGTAGCGAAGCCGATATAACGCTTCATCACGCTTCATGGAAACAACACAATAGCACATTAATCATCTTTTATGTTAGTATTTTGACTGTTTCGAAATTTAGCGCAAGCACCAAGATTGTTTTCTACTAAGATTCGGTATCTTTCATAGTTGTTCATAGTATAGATGTAGTTTCATAGTTTGCGAACGATTTAGCGCATATATAGGAGTCGAAGTTCGGACAGAAATGAAATCAACAACGGCAACAACTTCAAGCATAGATATCTGAGCGTAAACATAAAAATTAACGCAGAGATTTCCAGCCGAAAAAGACGCAAGCATAACCAACCTTGCCTGCGTGTGATCATGCAAAGATTTGGGATAAAATTTGGAAGCACGTCTAGAATTCAATACTTTCAACGTGCTGACCTATTTACTTGTGGATTAATTTTCTTTTCCTCCGCATCTTTTACGAGTACCTTTGCACCTTCTGCTTTGCTCGGGGATAAAATTACGTATGCACGACTCGCTTGGGTGGATGCATATAATATATGAGAGATTGAAACAGCAAACGACCGTCTTCATCATGCACCTACTGTTGTTAATATCATAATATATATCTCGCGGAGGCCGCTTATGAATAGCTTTGAAAAATTAATAGACCATTTAATTAGAAAGACAAAACCCCTGCATGGAATAAAAAAAAGAATCTCACCTTGGGAGACATACCTATATTGTAGCATGAAAAGTTATTTTTTAGCCAGAGTGAGGTTTTGTTCGTTGCTAGTAGCTATCATATTCCTTGTCTCGTAAAACTGTGAGAGCAAGGTTTTGATTTATGGATCATACGATGCCCACAGAACAAATATCTTTCAGTCACACTGATTTAGAAAATACACACAGCCGACAATATAACTACAGGGCTTCTTGCATGAAGTGAATCTTTAAACAATTGCATATAGCAGAATTAGTCGCATCACTTCGCATTTGTGACCGCAAAAAGCGTCCACGTTTTGTCTGGTATTTTTACCAAACAAATTCTTACGGCGGTCTTTATGATTATTTTGATTGCGAGTCAGTATTAATCTTCAGGACAATTAAAAGTACTAATTAGTTTTCTTTATCAATTACGATGTTTTTTAGTCATCGTAGAAATATACATACAGCAGACAGCTGCCTATAGGAACTGCTCGCCTGGCAACAATTTCTCACGATTTGTTGGGTACGACATGGCTAATTTTCACACCCATACCATAGTCGAAATTCTCGTTTGAGTTTGATCGCCAGTCTCTCAATCCTCCTAAGAGTGTTAAGAGCCAGCGATCAATGAAAATCACACCAAAATTTAGCACAACCCGAGGCTTCTGTACCTCTCTATATAGAGGCTCTATAATACTGTATCTAACTGCCAATTTTTGCGACAATAGATCTCAAATATCAAGATGAAGAGGTTTTCAAGCGAGAAATAAACGATAAAATTAAAGGTATAATATGAAATGACTGGCTTTTGTACACAACAAATTGTCAACTCACCGCGTAAATTCAATCCAAAAAGACCAAAGACACGCAATAAAACCAGGCTTGGTCCGTTATCATCTTCTTTAGATCTGCATAAGAACGAAGGAAAGATGTTTGACAGAATTCTTATGGTGAACAGCTTGCACAAAAGATGGAAAACGGAAAATCGTTTGAAGAAAAGGGGTGTAAATTCCGATAACGTTATCAACACTATTAACCAGGGTAAATCCACACAAACACACTGTAGAATAACGTTTTAATAAATACATGTCTGATTTCTGAATTCTTTCAAACTTGATAGAGCGTGATAATTTGCACCTGTTCGAAGGAGATATCGTGATGAATAAGAGGGAACTTTCAGATATTAAAAAAAGTGAATCGTTCCGTCGTAAAAGAAATGCCATGCACAGACGTAAAGCTATTTGGACAACGCGGAGAATTCCATATTTTATAGACCCTGGACTATGTAAGTGTATTGTAAAACTGAAACAGCCTAAAACAACTTTATTACTATACGAATACTATCAGTTTTATAATTTGTATTTCAAAAAGTCAAGTAAGGATAATCTTTTATAAATCCAACTACAGAATGATTTAAAATGAACTATATTTATTTGAACAGCTAATATATACCTATAGTTCTAAACTATTCTTCCCTGAGGTCCAGAAAGGATCCGTCTTATTTATCCACTGTCATCACAGGTGGAAACCTAAACCAGCTTTATCTATACGTAATAAATAATTCCAAATTTACATTCCAATAATATCAGTTTCAAACTGTTGATCATAGCCATAAAGGTTTCGTCCACAGAAGTAAGTCAATTCTCTGATCATTTGTGTGATAAATATTTGTTTTGACAGCGCTAAAAGCAAGAGAAGCAATTCAAAAGGCAATGGACATAATACACGCCAAGACTTGCGTCAGATGGGTGCCTTACACCTCACAGAAACATTACGTTCATTTCAAGAAAGCTGACGGGTAAAAAATACACGCCGTGCATGCATGAAGCATTCAGAATCAGTAAAAAGACACTTCCACAACCGCTTTTGTTTCGTTAGGGATTAGAGAAATAGAAAACAAATGTACTTACTAAAGTTTATATAGTTAAATACCGCATGATAATGATTCAATCCAAGCCAGATAATACATCAGCTTTCTTTTCTAGATGTTTTTCGACAATTGGCAGAGCTTATGCTCAATCTGGTGGCCAGACATTGTCAATTGGCGAAGGTTGTGAATGGGTGCCCATAGCTCTGCATGAAATGACACATTGCATGGGTGAGCACGTGATGTCTTTGTTTGTTTGTTTGTTTGCTGGATTTTCCTCTCATACTCGCTTAACGTTGTTTTTTTGTTTTCAAATTCATCGAACCTCAGGATTCTTTCATGAACAAAGCAGAAATGACAGGAACAGATACATAACAATTCTTTGGCAGAATATTCCAGTCGGTGAGTTAAAGATCCAAAAGCTAGGTTTTTGGTTGTACTATTGCTGTAAAAATATCTGTCCAAGTCTTCTGTAGTTTTCAAAGAATTATATCATAGACGTAGAAAGCACAAGAACTAGTGACGAATATTTTCAAGGTTTCGTCTCCATCCATCATCCGAAGCAATCAGCTTTCACTTGTTCATCAGACTTCACTGATTTTTATTATCAGATCTCCACGATCAATTTGCAATGTACAGCCATGGAGCAATTGACAAGATGAAGAAAGATTACGACCTGAGAAGTCTGATGCATTACAGTTCCACAGCATTTGGCATAAATGGAGCAACCACAATTGTTTCCCTTGATCCCACGAAAAAGATTGGCGATGCTGAGGACTTCACTAACCTTGATATAGAGGAGATAAATGCACTCTACGATTGCAGAACATCCTCTGAAAGTGAGTAAAGTTTCTTCTGTACGCGGAGTTCACCGTCAGAAGCCTCTTTTTCGGATCCAATTCACTTCTGACATATGGAATATAGTCTGTTTATGATAAAGCAGTTGTATTCATTTACTGCCAATAGATATTGTGAGGCCACAGACTATAAAGCATCCATCAAAAGCGAAATTGGATCTGATAAAACTGCATCTTGTAGACAGACCTTTAGAAATGTGATTCATATCTTTTAGCTCAAACAATGTCGAGTTGGTCAGACTGGACAGAATGCGATGATTCGTGTTTCAAAGAACGTCAAAGATTCTGCTTCAGGGAAAATCGAGCCGAGTGCCCAAGCAACACAAACGCATATGGAATTGAATCAGAGTATGTCAAATGTTCCAGCTCAGAATGCCCAGGTACAGTGGATCGACAAAATATCCTTCTAATCTTTTGGGCAAATTGTTTACAAATTATAGCCAAAGCAGAATGAATTTACTTTCCTACAATTAAACCTGGAATTATCAATTTCACTCACTTTTCAGCTCCGGTTCATGGCAACTGGGGTTTGTGGTCTTCGTGGGGAACTTGTTCGAAAACTTGCGACGAAGGTAAACACAGACGAACCAGACAGTGTAACAGACCCGCTCCAAGTAATGGTGGCAAAGCTTGCATCGGGGCAAGCGATGATCTTTCCACTTGCCTGGGTAGAAGATGTAATATGGGTAAGACTGCGACCATTTCTTTTTTGTTTGGTCTATTTCACAACTTCACGTAAGCTCGCCAGTGAAATATTTTTGCTAGTAAACGTTTACCTGTTCTCTCTTTTCAGGAAAATACGATACAGACTTCGAAGGTGGCTGGAATATATGGTTTACTGCTGGTAACCCGGGGTTGATACCATGGACACAGCACAGCGGTTCAACTCAGACGATGAATACTGGACCACAGGGTGATCATACACTGCAAGGCAAAGGTGAAATAATACCGTTGATGTATTTACACCATTTGCCACGGATTCTATCGTGTATGAATTCAAAGGATAACAAGTTCCTCAAAAGTGGAATACAATGTAAAATTCCAGCTAAAAGTTTTTCAATTTACAGGACACTATGTTTACGTGGAATCGTCCCACCGACAGGCGGGTGACAAAGCATTGCTTGTGAGCAAATCGCTGCAGTTCACAACGAGTCAGTGTATGAGGTTCTATTACAACATGTATGGAGAAAATATTGGCAAACTCACGTTGTATCTGGTCCCAGAGGGTAAGGGTCGGTTGATCTTGTTTACGAAGACTGGAAACCAAGGAGAAGATTGGCATAGTGCTGACGTCACTCTGGACTGGAAAGGAAAATTTCAAGTTAGTCAATTTGTTGTTAATTTCAATGTTTTTTTAGCTTCTCCCTTTTTACAATCGATCAATATCTTTCGCTTTTTGCTCTTCTCATCATCTTTCAATTAATCCATATAATCCATCATTAATCAATTCATAAATCCACTCGTTAATCCATCCATCTATCTATATAGCTATGTATCATTCCCCTTATCTTTCGTCTTCTTTCCCAACCATTCATGCTTTTGTCATAATTACGTCATCTAACATTAAATGAAAACAAAATCTTAAACTTACAATACTCTCCACAGCTCATTTTCGAAGCCGAAATTGGTAAAGGTTACTCCGATACTGCATTAGATGACATCTACATTGACAATGGCGCTTGTCCAGGGTACGAATGCAAGGATGACAACACGAACTGTCAACACTGGGCTAGCAATAACCAGTGTTCTGACAATCCAGGATACATGCACTTAAACTGCAGAGTGAGTTGTGGAGTGTGTACGCCACCCGAGGCGACTAAAACAACTCAATTACCAGCAACAACTCCACTACCAGAGACAACTCAATTACCAGAAAAATGCAAGGATGACAACACGAACTGTCAGCAATGGGCTAAAGATAACCAGTGTTCTGACAATCCAGGATACATGCACTTAAACTGCAGAGTGAGTTGTGGAGTGTGCACAACACCAGAGGCGGCTAAAACAACTCAATTGCCAGCAACAACTCCACTACCAGAGACAACTCAATTACCAGAAAAATGCAAGGATGACAACACGAACTGTCAGAAATGGGCTAAAGATAATCAGTGTTCTGACAATCCAGGATACATGCACTTAAACTGCAGAGTGAGTTGTGGACTGTGTACGCCACCAAAGACGACTAAAACAACTCAATTACCAGAAATCTGCAAGGATGACAACAGTAACTGTCAACAATGGGCTAAAGATAATCAGTGTTCTGACAATCCAGGATACATGCACTTAAACTGCAAAGTGAGTTGTGGACTGTGTACGCCACCAGAGGCGACTAAAACAACTCAATTGCCAGCACCAACAGCACAACCTACGACTGTCCAACAAAGTAAGTAGATCTTGGGGTTTATGGTACAAGTTTCAGTGTGATTTCTGTATCCATATTAGAGTGAATTTTGATCGACAAAGGATGACACAATCCGACTCTAAAGCTAGGAAATTACAACCTTAAAATGAACTGCAAATTTTTGTGACGAAATGTTGTGAAATGTGAAAAATAAAGACAGAAACATGTATAATTTTCTATAAGACCTAAATGTTCTTACAAAGACCACACACAATTAGTCAATACAGATTGATTGACCAATCCCCCTACAGTTTCGAGCGAGGATAGTTCAATTTCAATGTTTCCTTCAAGGTTGCAGCGACAATGATGTAAGATGCCCAGGCTGGGCGAGCACAGGAGAGTGTGGAAAGAATCCAGAATGGATGAAGGTGAACTGCATGAAAAGCTGTCAAGAATGTTGAACTACGAAGCATATTATGTCTGCAGCAGTTAAAAACAATTTCGTTTTTTAAGTGAACTATCACGAACTACTCTTGTAGGTATTTAAGTTAAGCGCTTGGCAAAACGCATGGTGAATATGACTTATATGAGGCAAATTTTATCTATGTATGTCAACTGTAAAAAATGTTGTAAAATGTTAAACTTAGGTAATTGCATAAAATTTTTTGAGAAAAACGTACAAAATTACATAAATGTAAACTATATGCGAACTCTTCAATCTGATCCAATATGTGGGTTTTGCACATCCAACACTTCACAAGCGTGTTTAAATAATATTAAGATCTCGCTTTAATATTGATCTGTTCATTCTGTTGCATAATTCACTTTGCTATCATGGTGTACTCTTCGAAAACAAAGCTTATTTGTTTAACTGGCGGTAGTGATATTCGCTTCGTTTCGCTACGAAACGTTTCAAGTGGAAAACAAATCTCCAGCTATCATTACACGCCTGCCTGTCTGCTCGAGAGCACAAATCAATACAGCAATTCGGCGTCTTGGATATACGCCTGAATATTTATAGCTAAAAAAAATTTCCAGCAGGGACAATGTTTCTACAAAGTTTTGCGGCTTTTATGACCATCTTGGTCGTTATTCTTGCAACCTCGTCGACCCAAGCAAATCCTTTGCCCAGAGACAAAGAACTTGGTGAGTTTGTAAACTGCAGTGTGATAGAAAACGTAAGCTAGGCAGCACATGATTGAATGATATATTGCCTTCTGATAAAAGAGACTGTTTGTGGTATAAATTACAGCAAAGTTCAGCAAAATTTCAGCCTATGGTGCCCACGAATATATGGTCATTTCACAGCAAAGCGGTTATAAGGGCGCTCAGGTCTGTCGAGCAAGCATCGCGCTTAGATGGTTTAGCATCGCACTTATAGATGGTTACCCCGAATCAAAGTAGTTATGCTACGAATACAAGATAAAGAAGGCTATTAGCTTCTCTGGTACATAGTTCATCAAAAGAAATACATTATAATAAGCCAAAAACGCATGATCCGTTAGATGTATTAACTCTTCAAACACACGCATGGTCGCGTTCTTGAGAAACAGCGCTTCATGGCAGTTCATGCATTGAAGTCACCGCTCAGCGATATGTGACCTTATTTTCACTGTGATATGTTCCCAATACTTTGCACCTTTTAAAAAACAATCGTTTCAAAAGTCCTTTGGTTTATAAACTGCCTGTAATTGTACCCAATTTTTATTGTACATTTTGGGTAGGATATAATTAACAATTATACCATAAGCTCAAGTGGTATACGAGCTGATAGCCAACGAGACGAAGCCAAATACTAGTTGGCCATTGGCCATAGATGTAAGGAGAACGAATGATATAATTGTTTTATAATATAGCCAGAACATTATAGTAAATTGTGTAAAACTTTCAAATTCTCATCACAAATTCTTCCTGTATATTACCGCCTGTTTTCACTACACACGGTATATGAACTTGTACACTGTTAGCATCTTGCCCAATCTCATTGCATAACAGATCTGAGTAGCCATATTTATTAAAGAATATGACATTCTGTCACTTTTTGAAGCAATAGGCTTCCCCTTTTGCTAATTTATTGGAAAGCAATTATATACAGAAGACTCTAATATGAATCGAAATATTACATGCAAGTATAATCTCGAATTTCCACTCACCGTTAAATAATCCACGAATTAAAACAGGAATCAAGCATCCGTGATCATCTTGTTTAGATCTGCATAAAAAGAAGGGCGAAATCTTTCACAGGATTCCAACGGTGGACAACAAGAAAGAGGAAAAGTCATCGAACGGAGAAGGGGATTCAATCAACTCCCATAATGTTATCATTGTTAACTTGAGTAAGATCTATAAGCACTAATATGAATATCATTCGAAGCCTGGATCATTGCGGTTAAACTGAACTTTAATCTTTAAACTATTTTTACGTTTTGCAGAGAATGTAAATATAACATTCGGAGGAGATGTCGTGATACGTCCGCAAGGGATAAAAATGGAACAGGCTCATCGTCATAAAGGGAATTCCAGTATTCACCGAGGTAGACATGACTGGAAAAGACCGAAAATTCCACATCATCTGGACACTGAACTTCGTAAGTGTATGAAAGCATTGTTTGGATATGATAGACAGCACTATAAGTTTTTTCTACAGGTCCTCCAGTAAGGATCATCTCTTATTGATCCAGTGTTACTACAGGAGGAAACCTAAACTAAACTAACTTTATTTACACTGGATAGCTCTATCAGTTCTAAACTGTTCTTCCTAGAGGTCCTCCAGTAAGGATCATCTCTTATTGATCCAGTGTTACTACAGGAGGAAACCTAAACTAAACTAACTTTATTTATACTAGATAACTCTATCAGTTCTAAACTGTTCTTCCTAGAGGTCCAGTAAGGATCATCTCTTATTGATCCAGTGTTACTACAAAAGAAAACCTAAATTAAACTGAATAGTTCTATCAGTTCTAAACTTATTGATTTTCTATAGTTCTACTAAATAGTCAACGGGGTGCGCAGCCAACCGGTGCTAAGCCCGACAAAGGTAAACACAGTCGAGCAAGATCGTTCCAGAAACAATCTGCAAGAGACGGCGAGAAAGATGGAAAAATCTATTGATGTAATCTCTCCCTCAGTACAATTTATATGTCATTATTTTAACGATAAATCTAGTTCATTTTAGTAAGTGCCAAGGAAAGAAAGTCTACTGATTCTTATAGATGTTTACGCTTAAACTGTTACAGTTGTTATATCAATTTATACAACAATTATATATCGGGTAAAATTTTTGTACAAGTTTATCTTTCTAATATCCTGTTCAGAATTTTTCGTTTATGTGCATGAGTTAATTTGTTAATATTTAGTTATTATTTTAGCGTGCTATCGCACACGTTTTTCGGTCAATTTATTTCCTATAGTCATTTAAAAAATTTAATATTTCTCGACGAGATTACAGAAGTTTATTTCTTTTAAACCAAGGAATTTGTTGTTGATTGGGATTATAATACTGGATTGTACCTTAAGGGAAAGCCAATATATCATGTTATGTACCATACTATACCATACTATACCAATATCACCACACCACACCACACCACCGGTCTGGTAATTAGGTCTTAGGACACCGAAATAAAAGCATTAGCCCTTACCAGGATGACTGCCCGTACATTGATAACCATCACCGACAAATCCAGATTTACAATGACAAGTATTATCCATGCAAAATGCTTTAACTGGGTGACATAGAATGCAGACATTAACTACAGAAAGTAATAATTCAGAACGGTTAGAGGTGCATAGAACAATCTAGTATAAATGCTGATGAGTTGAGATTCATTATCACCTTTCTTTGGACTAACACTACTACGAAGTGTACACTGATAGCCATTGCCCGTGAATCCAGGTTTACACACACACTGTCCAAGATTGCACCAAGCATTCACCGGATCACATTTTAAACATCTATCAACTGAAGATTAGTAAACAGTTCGTAAATGATAGAGCTTTCATTAAATCTTAAAAAAGGTTTATCCTTGATAAAACCAAATGGCCAACCTAATTGGTCAGCCGTTATATACTGCAGGGTATACACTTTATAACGACTGGATAATAAATCCTAAGCTAAATATTATTAAATAAGTACAATACCTTCGCAATTTGGTCCTGTGTATCGCTGATTACAAATGCAATCGTAGCTTTCTCCAGCGATAACGCAACGACCCTGATTACGACAGGGACTTGGCGAACACACGGATTTAGCTAAGAATAAAAGACATTATTTTCCATCAACTACACTAGTTCAGTCAGTACGTTCAGTCCAGATAAGTCCTAAATGAAGACAGTTTATTTTAGGTTTCCTCCTGTAGTAACACTGGATCAATAAGAGATGATCCATACTGGACCTCTAGGAAGAACAGTTTAGAACTGATAGAGCTATCCAGTATAAATAAAGTTAGTTTAGTTTGAGTTTCCTCCTGTAGTAAGAGATGAATGATTCTTACTGGACCTCTAGGAAGAACAGTTTGAAGGACACCTTGCAGCTCAGTAGGAATCCTAATAAACAGTTTTTACTACCTTTAATTTCACAAAGAGGAGGCAAAAATCCCTCGGGACAAGAGCAAACGGCAGTACCATTCACAACGCGACATAAACCTCCATTTTCACAAGGATTGGGGATGCAACTTTCGTTCTTCCCAATCGGAGCTAAAAAGAAAATATGAATTGGTATTATACTTCATATATGATCTGAGAAGAGCATAATAGCGAGCACTCACCTTTAATATTACACGTCTTTCCGCTCCAACCCACAGGGCATTGGCAAATCCATTTTGACGACGACAGCGGCACGCACGTTCCTCCATTTATGCAAGGATTAGGAACACAACTTCGTTCTACAAACGTAATTTGGTATTCGTCCTCTGATGCTGCTATGAAAAGAGGTGGGGAAAGGGGCGAAAAGAGGTGGGAGAGGAGAAAAGAGGTGGGAGAGGGGGCGAAAAGAGGTGAGAGAGGGGGCGAAAAGAGGTGGGAGGATGGCGAAAAGAGGTGGGAGAGGGGGCGAAGAGGTGGGAGAGGGGGCGAAAAGAGGTGGGAGAGGGGGCGAAAAGAGGTGAGAGAGGGGGCGAAAAGAGGTGGGAGAGGAGGCGAAAAGAGGTGGGGAAGGGGCAAAATTACCTGACTTTCCACTAACAGGTTTTGTTCTACCATCAAGACAGACATCGCGTCCTTTGTGATGTTCAAAACCTGCCGGGCATTCGCACACACCTTCCGGGTTGTTGCAGGTTAGGTTTCGTTCGGTAGGGTTATGTGCATTGGCCGGGCAGGCGCAGGCTGAATAATCAGAAATATAAAGATATAGCTTAAGAATCATCCTTAAGTATCACTGAATCCATAAGAGATTATCCTCCTCACTGGATCTCTAGGAAGAACAGTTTAGAGCTGATAGAACTATCCAGTATAAATAAAGTTAGTTTAGTTTAGGTTTTCTCCTGTAGTAACACTGGATCAATAAGAGATGATCCTTACTGGACCTTTAGGAAGAACAGTTTAGAACTGATAGAACTAACCAGGATAAATGGTTAAAGTTAAGTCAGTCTACATCACTGAACTTACCGCAATCTGGAGGCTTGAAGTGAGGACTCTTGCATACACAATACCAACTCTTACCGTCCTCAGATACCCTGCAAGTTCCCCCATTGAGACAGCGCTCACCTTGGCATAAACTGGTCGTATCTATAAACAACAAAACTGAAAAATTACATGGCGTTCTACGGAACTAGTGTTTCCTGAATATGACAGTATAGAGGAGAAATGGAAAGCAAAAAAAATAGTCAGTTTTCTCCGATCTTTCAGCAAAAATTTTGCTACAAGAACATTATTTCGGAACAAAATTATTTCGGAACATTATTTTTGAAGAAATCTTACTTTGCGAGCAGTCTTTTCCTTTCCATTCTCTTGTGCAAATGCATCGGAAATTGTTCTTCTCGTCGATACAAGTTCCACCATTCCTGCAAGGGTTTACCACTCCTGAACACGGAGTCTTCTCTAAAGAAAAAAGCCAAAAACATCCGAATTTCAAACTTCATTCACGCGGGATAAACTGCAAGCAACAATCACCTCGCGAATCGTACAATTACCTCTGCAGGTTCTTCCCTTGAACCCTGGAACGCACTTGCACTCAAATGTACCAAGTTCGGCCTGACAAAATCCCTCGTTTTCACAGGGATTTGGGACACAAGGATCGGGGATTTCTAACAACAGATGGAAACATAACGTATCGTGTAGTCAATGGTACAAAAAGACTAGAGAAAGCGCTGTTATATGCAGGAGAATAAATGTACAGTATTTTAATAAATATTCAGACGGGAGTATATCTCCCCTGTATAGCCTAATAAAGTACTTATACATACTTCGACAATCCTGTCCATCCCCTTGATATCCCTCATTGCATGTGCATTTAAATCCGTCCAAGCATCGTGCATTTGGATCGCAGTGGTCGCATCTCTTTGCTAGAAATGGCAATTGAAGAAAAAGCATCACCTCACTGGAACATATGGGAACACGATTCAATACCTAAGATATCCACTTACATTGGCAGTTAACCCCAAAGTATCCTTCGTAACAATGACACGTGTATCCTTCTGGGGGAATCGCGACTTGATCAATGTTCGTATAGGCGTCGTAGCATAGTCCATGGACACAAGGACTAGGATTCGAGGCACACGGATTTGGAACTAAAAGAAAACCAAGACCAATGTCCTGAATTCACGAATATAATCCTAACATCAATCCTAAACAAATACCAATCTTTATCCAACTACTGACCCCAAAGGATTAGATTATATTCGTGGATTCTGGACATGAAATTACTACGGAGATCTACTATTAAGATTTCATCCTCTACTAAGATTTCATACTACTTTCCATACTTTACCTTCACACATGTCACCTTTGTAAATACTCCTGCATTGGCAGGAAGCGTACCACGTGTTGTTAAATGTATTTTGTGCAGGATAACACTTTCCATTGTGTTGGCAAGGATTTGGTTGACAGACATCCTCTAAAGACGTTACGTTACAGACTTTATATTCCAGTACAAATAAAGTTAGTTTAGTTTAGGTTTCCTCCTGTAGTAACACTGGATCAATAAGAGATGATCCTTACTGGACCTCTAGGAAGAACAGACTGAACAGTTTAGAACTGATAGAGCTATCCAGTATAAATAAAGTTAGTTTAGTTTAGGTTTCCTCCTGTAGTAACACTGGATCAATAAGAGATGATTCTTACTGGACCTCTAGGAAGAACAGTTTAGAACTGATAGAGCTATCCAGTATAAATAAAGTTAGTTTAGTTTAGGTTTCCTTCTGTAGTAACACTGGATCAAAAAGAGATGATCCTTACTAGACCTCTAGGAAGAACAGTTTAGAACTGATAGAGCTATCCAGTATTAATAAAGTTCAGTTTAGTTTAGTTTTTTCTTTAAATGACTCACCAGTACAATGTCGTCCAGAAAAACCCGGCGCGCACAAGCACGGGTTACTTGGTTTATCTTCCAGACAAGTCGCACCATTGCGACAAAGATTGAGAGAACACGTCTTGGGAACTGAAAGATAAAGCATCTTGTAGTAACGTTTACATCGCAAATCGAATCATCAGATGAAGACGTTTACCTTGACAACGACGTCCTTTGAACGATGATGTGCACGTGCACGAGGCTGCTTGATTGAGTTCCTCACATTTCCCACCGTGATGGCAAGGATTAGGGTGGCAATGATCTACATCTGTGGATAAGAGAGGAAACGATTTCAATTCATCGGTCTGAAATTCACTTACTTTTCTTAAAGTCATCCCCTATTGATCCAGTGTTACTACAGGAGGAAACCTAAACTAAGCTAACTTTATTTATACTGGATAGCTCTATCAGTTCTAAACTGTTCTTCCTAGAGGTCCAGTAAGGATCATCTCTTATTGATCCAGTGTTACTACAGAAGGAAACCTAAACTAAACTAACTTTATTTATACTGGATAGCTCTATCAGTTCTAAACTGTTCTTCCTAGAGGTCCAGTAAGGATCATCTCTTATTGATCCAGTGTTACAACAAGAGGAAACCTAATTATATCGTATTACCTTGGCAATATTTGCCCTTGTAACCAGGAGAACAGACACACTTGATTTCGGCCAACAACTGAATACATTTAGCATCATTTTTACACGGGTGATTGTGACATTTGTCTGCAACTAAATTGATTTAGGAAATCGATTAGATTCAAGCGCGGCGATTGGTTTGGTAAGGATCAAAGATTTGAAGCAAAGATTTGAAGGATCAAGCAAGGATTAAGCAAAGATTTAAGTAAAATAAAGGCAGTATCAACTCAAAATCAGAGTAGTTTAAAAGCGTATTACCTTCACAGTTTATCCCCTTGAATCCTTTAGGACACCTGCATTCATAATGCGTCCCTTGATCAATACAATCTCCGTTATTTTGACACGGGAAAGGATAGCACCAATCTCGATCTAGCCCGAAAAAGAGAGAATATTTAAAACAGACTGTGGCTTGATTTACCACACAGGGAAATTACCCTCAGGAACAAACCGATCTTCCTTCTTTTCGCGATCGAGTTGTCGAAAAGAAGCAACAACCTTAACAAGAGAAAACATTCTTGTTCGTTACGGTCCTGAAGATAATTTTCCTGAATGGAAAATGTCTTCATTCATTCTTAATTCTTTTTATCACCAATTCTTTCATAGTTAAGCAAGCAGAATAAACTCCACCGACGATCGAAAGATCTCGAAAAGCATTAATCATTACGGCCACAACTTGAGAATACCTTGACAATGCTTTCCCTTGTAAGCCTTGCGACATAAGCAATTATAACCACCAGGACTCTCAACTATAATTCCGCCATGTTTGCAAGGATTTGCTAGAAAATGAAGAGTAATTGAGCACGCATACTGTAGGCAAAGAATTTTGGGCGGGAAATATATGACAGGCTGCCCAAACAGGGGAATAATTTGCAGACTGGCTGTGTAGGGCATATGCATGGTTAGTATACCAAACTTTCAGGGGAAAAAGCTTACCTCTGTTTTCAAGATGAACATAGGCGAGGTGAACATCTGGTTTGGAGAATGGCTGCGGATACGGCCGTGGCACGAATTGGAAGCTCTTTTGATGAACTGGATACGGGACAGGTTTCGTTACGGTGACGGGAATGGGCCTTGGAACCTTCTGGACGACAGGAAGGGGGTAGAATTTTTTGATGATGTGAACGTTGTCTGGACCAAGGGCGTTGATAACTTGAGGTCCCGAATCAGGGTGAAGTACAGGTTCAATGTGGCGAGTTGAGGGGAGGGTGGAGAGGTGTGGGTCCCTTTGTGGGCTGATGAAGCTGTGTTCCATCAAGTCACTCGAGGGTAGGTTGGTACCATTAGGATCTTGTGTTTCCGATGGTGGTTCGTCTTTTTCCATGCGCGGTTTAAGTGAGGAGAGGTCATTGTTAAAACGTCCATGTAAAGCGTTCTCGGTGTTCTGAGAATATGAATCCATTAAGGAGACACTCTGTTGAACGTTTTCTGGTGAAGTATTTTCAAACAGCCTTTCTCCAGCCCGGAAAGGTGTTATGGATGACTCCTGAACATCGGGTCGTTCTGATGTGGGTAAATCACTCTGAGAACGTTCTGCCATGCCTTGCAAAGTGTTTTGAATGTTCGTCTGCTGTTCCTGGGAAGGCATGAAGTTCGTATTCACAACTCTGTTATATATATTAGTACTCTGCGAAGAGTCTCTTGGTAGACTGTGTATGTCTCCTGCAGAATTCATTTCGAGATGTATATCTGCCATTTGTGAATTTGATTTATACGAAGCTCCTCTCTCAGGCAAAGGAGAATCACTTCTTGGTGTTGGAGACAAATTCTCCTCAACATTACCAGCAAACGAACTCGCTGAAAACTGTCGCGCCATTGAATTTGAACCTGCTGTTTCTCTTTCCACGGGGTTCCCAAAGTTCGTCTGTCCAAAGTTATTACCTAAGCCTTGGTAAGCACTGTCTTTACCAGGATTTTCGTATATGTGTTGTATTCCATTCACGCTGAACACCATTTGCCTTTTACCAGGCTTTGATGAACGTTCTAGTTTGTTGTGATGTGAATCCTCTAGCCATTTATTTTCATTGGCTTTGTAAATTATATTACCACTCGTAGATTGAGAAACATGAGCGTTTAAAGGTAAAACGCGATACAAAACTAGCAGCATTGTCCAGATCATAGTTCTATGAATAAACTCCATCATATCAGTTAATAATACAACACTACAACACTTTACGCCATCTTGGTTTCACACAAAAATTTCCCAAATACTGCAGTTCATGATTTCCCCAAAACCAATGGACTGCCTTTAACATGCAGTCACGACACATAAAATAAAAGATATATCAACGGTTAGTCGGAATATACTTCAATTTAATTACTGAATGCAACAGAGTATTCGGTCAGCCATTGAAGGAAGTTGATCTATAAAATAATTTGTTTACATTTGGTGACCAAAAGCGTTTGGTAACGCTTTAGTAATTCCAGTGAACCTTTTCTTAACTGCTATAAACATAATATTACTATAAACATATAATTTGTCGTTTTTTGTTCAGATAATATTGATAATTAAAATAAAACACATATGTTAAATTTGAAATGTTAACTTTGAACTGTAGTAAACATTTCTCTCTTTTTCATCATTGCACTTCAACTTACATTTTAGAACTTTTCTTTGTCCGATAAGCTGAAATAAGCCGATTAGTTGAAATCTTCACGTTATAGGCCACATATTCAAGCTGTTCAAAGTTAAATATACAACTAGCATTAAACAGTAACGACTTTTAGCAGGTTTAGAAAACATTTCTGTCAAAATCCATTAAATAAAACAGGTAAAAATAGCGTATATATATGGTTGACATAACAAATAGGTTATAGGTGGAATAGCCGCGAGTCGAACAAACGATTATAGATTTTTACAAACATTTAAAAAAGATTATTTTATTAACCAGAATTCATATTTCGCTTTACAAATTAGATTATTTATAAAAATATTGAGTCACAGACAGAGGACACATATATGTCATTTTTTGTCAGTGAGGATATTCTGATAACGATTTTTTTGAAGAGCTTATACTGTTTAAAATATATATATAATCCAATATCTAGAAACATATATCATAGCCTTCCTACTATTAAACTGCATGTACATTCCCAAAGGTACTTCCTATAGCATCTGCTCGGAACTTTCCCATTTTTCCAGAAAATGTCGTTTCCCGCGCGCATTCGCGCCAAGGAATAAGGTAACGGTTAATCCATACAAGCCTCTTTCCAAGGAATGAATGAATATGGATGACACATTTTTTTCACATCTAATGCAGACAAAATGCGAAGTGAACTACAACCTCTCTTCCTCTAAGAATGGTTTTACGAATGCCAGTTTTCACTTTAACCCAATGTTGCCCTGTAGATCTCACTGATCTATATGTGGTCGCTGGATGATCATAGACCATCTTCCCTGGACGAGGAAAAGGTATACGATACTTGACATAACCGTCCTCATAGTTGCTGTTCACATCTCGCTCCAACAAACGAGAACGGACAACGACAGTCGTAGGAGGATTGAACAGGAACACAAACGCCAAAATTCTTGCAAGGGTTCGGGATACAGGGATCAGGAAGCTCTAACAGAAGACAAAGGTAGAGAAATCGTTTGTGGTGAGGCGGAAGTGGTTGAGCTAGAGGCTTTGGCAATGCTCTTTCAAAAGTTGCGATGACAGTTAAGATTTTCTTTATTAAAATGAGTTATTAAAGTGAATAGGTTGCATATGTTTGAACAAAAGCACCTTCAAATCAAAGCATTCATAACTATTCGCTTCTTTGCATCTGTCAGAAGGAGATCGCACCAAAAATTGCTGCGAAATATGATGAAGTTGTGAGGTTTACTTACTTTTGCATTCGAGACCCTTTCCAACGTAACCATCGTTGCAAACGCATTCCTTATTGAGGCACTTTGCATTTTTATCACATTTGTCACAAATACGAACTACAAGTTGGAAAGAGACGAACATAACTCATGAGCGATAACGTGTTTAAGATTGTGCATGAAACTAGAAGAAGTTGGAATAAATATATTTGCTCTTTCAAAGATTCTTTTCAACGTTAAACTATCAAACGAGACGCTTTCATGTATTGCATATTCGTTTTGCAAGATATTTTCATCCGCTCTGATGCACAATCCACACTGAGGCATTTGAGGATAAAGATAGGTTAAAAAGACTCCTGAGCAGTGGCGTAGCCAGCCTGACGATTTAGTCATGCTATGCAAATTTTATGTTATTATCATTATTCATTTCTTTAGAAATTCATTGTTTTCACAGTCAATGGACACCAAAATATTAGCATAGCATGACTAAATTGTCGGGCTGGCTACGCCACTGCTCCTGAGCATCCCCTACCGTCACATTTCTGTCCCATATATCCCCTCTCACACATGCACACGTAATGATCAGACAAGAGGTCCATACGACGACCATTGAAAGCGTCAGAACACACGCCATGTTTGCAGGGACTGGGTTTAGCCGCGCACGGGTTGGGGACTGGAATGAAGAAGATAAATTAAGATGGAGTTTGAAACGGTTCAAACTGAGGGAGCTTTTCAGAATAAAGAAAGCTAGTTTAAGTTTGTGCAAGCTAAACCCTTACTTTCACATTTTTCTCCCTTGAAAGTTAGAGGACACTGACAGACGGGAAGCCACGTGGACGAGACTTCGGATTTCTTGAATAAACAAGCACCTTTGTTGAGACATGGATTTGGTTTGCAAACATTTTCTAGATGAGAAGGAAAGAAAAAATGTCAGGCAACAAAAGAAGGTTGTCTCTTCCACCAGATCTGAAGCCCATTTGGCTTTTCACAAAGAATACCGTCCCGAGTGGAAACCAATTATAAAATATTTGAATCAATTTCACAAATTTCTGCAAAAGTTAAGCGGAACTTGAAGCTTTACCTTCACAATATTTTCCGGTGAAACCTTGAGCACACTCGCAAGGTGAACTTGATTTATCCTCGTTGCATTTTCCTTTGTTACGACAGGGATTAGTAACACAAACTTTCTTCACTGAGAAACAAGAGGAATTCTTAGAGAGTTGCATTGGTTTTTGATCCTGCTCGTTTGGTAACAGAGCGGCCAGCAGTACTCGTGAAAACAGATGCTCGCGTACATACCTTCACATCTAGTTCCCTTGTACTCGTTGGTGCACGTACAGATGATACCCAGGCCTTTCTCTGTGCATTTCGCGCCATTTTTGCATGGGTTCGGATTACAATAGTCGAAGTCTAAAATGAAGAATAGGAACTAGCCTTTTACTGGATAGCTGCATGTATTAGTTTTAAACCTAGAGATTATCTGTATATCTGGTTCGATTTTACTACAGAAGGAAACCTAAACTAAACTAACTTTATTTATACTGGATAGCTCTATCAGTCCTAAACTGTTCTTCTTAGAGGTCCAGTAAGAATCATCTCTTATTAATCCAGTGTTACTCCAGGAGGAAACCTAAACTAAACTAACTTTATTTATACTGGATAGCTCTATCAGTTCTAAACTGTTCTTCTTAGAAGTGCAATAAGGATCATCTCTTATTGATCCAGTGTTACTACAGGAGGAAACCTAAACTAAACCACCATCCTTCCCTCACCTGCACAGAATCTTCCTTTATATCCAACAGGACAGACACAGCGAAGGCCACTAGCAAGATCCAAACAAGTCGCGCCGTGTTTGCAAGGATTCTTTGCACAGGTATTAAGAACTACGGTATTAGGAGACGAAAATCAAATTACAGGGGGGTCATTTCTTTTAGGGGTTCACTGAGCAGATCAGACGCTCCAAAACATCTCTTGAATTGAGTTAACTCAAATATGATGCACTGAATATGTGGTTAAAAACATAATCATCCATTTGGTCTCAAAGTTTGACTTACTTTCACATTTTAAACCGCGATATTTATGTCGACATTTACAGCGATAGTGTGTAATGTGATCGATACAATTCCCGCCATTTTTACACGGATTGGGAAAACAATGATCTTTTTCTGAAACGGAAGACAGAAGTAAACTTTGTAATATGACGCCCGACAACAGATTATGTCGTATGAAAACAAAGATAAAGGTGACCCTCTACCTTGGCAATGTTTTCCTCTGAACTGCTTGCGACAAACACACGAATATCCACCAGGAGATTGGACAACCAGACCGCCATTTTGACATGGGTTAACTGAGAAAAATAATTGAAATGAAGAGCGACAATGACTACAGCGGTTAGCTAGACAGTTCACAAGCATCTCTAAAGCAATATCCTCGTACAAGAGACACAACTCTACAATATCTATTTACACGTATAGAATAGACTTTTATAATATAGGATTAATTTTCAAGTCCGTGACGCGTGATGATAGTTGATTATCAGAGTCAATTTGAGTTGTGATGTCGCGATGTTTATGAGAATTTAGTTGTTGCAACTTAAATTGATGATCAACTACCGTTACTTAGAAAAGTAAGTGGCAGGAGATCAATTGATACACTATAACCAGCTATAAATTAGTAAAGCCGGATTTTGAGACTATGGTTTTTTGGAATCTTACCTCCCTGATGGTAATGGATGTGCGATACATGAACATCTGGTTTCTTTGTGTAGCGGAAAGGAACTAACTTCGGCACCAATCGAAACTCTGGCTTGTCATAAGGCACGGGTGTCTGTTTTTCCAACTCGATTCCGTTTGGCAAGAAATTATAATCTAGTTTCGGCAGATTCGGCGCTGTCAAACCACCTTCGATTAACGGACTTGTAGCGCTTGAAAGCGGGTTTAAATTCACCGCAGGCAGATTTCCAATAGATGAAATGTCTTGCCTGTTTGGTAAAGGTCTCGTTTCTGTCTCAATATTTCCGCCCAGAGAAGACGCGGTTGGCGAGTTAGATACAATTTCTTGTGTTTGTGATGAAGATTCGGTTCCCTGTTGTGATAATTGCGTTTGTAGCTGCCCATTTTCGACGGCAAGAAATTGTCTTCTCTCTCCCGACTTTGTTATCCCAACCTTCGATCCGTGAAGTTTGTTTAAATTTGGTTTATGTTTAGCAAAGTCTTTTTTTAACGTTTTTACATGGCGATGTTCACCGCTCGAGTTGTGTTTCCCAAGTTTTGCCTCGTCTTGATGTATGGTCAGGAGAAAGCAAAGAAGACTGAGCGACTCTATGACCCAGAAATTGAGTAACATTTTTTAATCGAATAGATTTCAATTGAAATCGGCTTTAATCTTGAAGACCAATAAATAATTAAATACGTTAGCACAAGGATGACAATTTTACTACCGGTAGAATCACTGAGGCATTCAATAAATAAATAAACTAAGCCCATATCTCTCATATAGTACGACGAAGATTAGATAGACAAAATTAAATTTTACAAAATAAATAACTTGTTGAGCAAAGTATTTATTTTTATTTTACAGACGTATTTTTAATGGTTTATTGCTTTATAAAACTGAACTTGAAGTTTTCATTAACTCTATTCATATGCTTTATATCATTAATAATTTTTACAATTATTTATTTTATTGCAGAACACTTGACATTGTGAACTGAATAACTGTTATTTTAGCCACATTATTTTGGCGGATTTAAAGTGAGTTTGTTTTATTTGTATAATGAGTTAAATTGCTCGGTGTTCTTATTACAGTTCAGCCAAGACCAGCAAGATTGTTAGTAGAAATTCATCTTTTTTTGAAGTGGTTTACATGGATGACATCATAATTCATGCACTCAGCACGGCTCCCAGTATATTATACACACTCGAACTTGCTCTGGGACTGACCGGAGTACGCGATTCGATCACAAATTACTACCCAGTTTAAACTGTTATCGCTGAAATAAGGAAACACAATTGTGAATGAAGTTATCATTTCATAAAAATGAAGACGAACTTGTTCGCAGATGAGGTAAAAACGAAAGAAATTGGTTATAAACTTACGAATGCAGTTTCTCTTTTGCATGACATAACCATGACGACATTCACAAACTCCCAAATTACACACAGTATTCACAGGACATTTGTAACAAGAGGAGTCTGGAAGGTAAGATTGAAATACGGATGATTTGATTCTTGATTGATCTAATGGATGACGAAGGTCGATGATCACACCAGGCCAGTGAACTGAAATAAGACTGGAACGCTCACTCTCTGACTTTCCTTCATTAATGAGTAAAGCCAAGATGGCGGATCATGAAGCCTTTCTTGTAGATATGATCCAGCGGAAATTTCAAAGGAAAAAATCATAATTGCCACTATTTTAACAACAAAATTTCCGCGTGGAGGCCTGGATCATACCTACAAGAAAGGCTTCAGTGTCCGCCATCTTGGCTTTAAACGTCCGACAGAGTGAGCGTTCCAGTCTTATTTGAGTTCACTGCACCAGCCCTATACCTGACTTCTCCAGTTCAACGATGCAGTTATATCCATTCCCTACGAAGTTTTCCTTGCACGTGCACACGCCCTGGATGCAATATGCGTCTTTGTGGCATTTTAGACATTTATCAACTGAAAATCAGAAAAATGAAGATGAAATGTATCCAGGTAATGGCCGGGTCCATTGAAGCTTTGAGAATGGAATAATGGATGTGTTACGAGAAATCCAGTGTAATTGAGGTCACTCACCTTCACAATGAGGCCCAGTATATTGCGGAGAACACTGACAGTCGTAACCGTTTTTCAAAGCCAGACATCGTCCACCGTTCTTGCAAGGATTCTGTACACACGGTTTGAAATCTAAGTTTATTAATAACAAATGGAAGTTAATACATTAGAATATGACCGAATACTGTTTAGAAACGTATTTATTGCCAGGGTATTACTTTTGAAAGACAAGAAACGTTTACGTAGTCTTATGAACTGTTGGTGAATTGAAACACGCGTACTTGCTATCGTCTCGGGTTCACAGAAAGGTTGTCTGAATCCTTGCAAACAGTTGCATTTAATTCGTCCTAAACTCTCCTCACACGTTCCCTGATTCTTGCAAGGGTTAGGAATGCACTGGCGACCTGTTTCTAAATGAGGTTTAAAACAAGTTTAGTGGTAAAAGAAGGTGGACAAACCAGGAAACATTGTTTCCTTGCCATGCATCGGAAGGTTCGACAAAGTGTAGTTTACAAACGTCCATACTTGTCTCGCATCTTGCTCCTGTGTAGCCAGTTGGACATCGACAAATGCAAGTGGAGCCAGCTCTTTCTTTTGTTCCACCGTTTTGACAGAGTAAATTAAGACAGGGGTCGGTCTCTGGATGAAGAAAAGCAACAATTTCATTCAAACGTTTTCCTATCAACCAACCAAAGAGTCCCGTCTCATAGACAAACGAATATATTTGAAAAAATGAATCGCTGCAGAGAAGTAAAATAGACTTCAATGGACGATTCCGAGTGACCCAAGTCGAAGAACTGCCATGCAGAAACATAGGATGAAATTTGTTAAAAAATGAAATGCACTCACTTCCTACAGTACAGCCAGTGCCTGTTACAAACGTCTTGGATGCATCTGCACAAACGCAGTCTCCATCTGCGTCACAAACTGGATCAACCGCAGAGGAATCGACGTTCTTGTTTGCAGGCGCACAAGCACAGGCTATGGAAGAAAAAAGTCAAATTGAATCACGTGAGATACTTGATCTCTGTTGCAAATGATTCAGACACACAAACCGACGTAGATTGTCCTGAGATACAAACAAACACTCTTTTCATAAAAACACAAGTCCAGGAACAATATCATGATATGATTTTGCAGATACGGAGTTTTAAATATCGTTATTTGAATAAATAGCTCACACTACAAGGCAACTCATAACAGGGCACTCACGTTATAAACATTGCACTTACCACAGTTAGGAGGAACAAATTTGTGCGTTTTGCAGATACAAAATGGCGGTTTAGTAGGGTCCTCGGGTTCTTTACATATTCCACCATATTGACAAAATGTAGGAGTACATTTTATCTTCTTGACTAAATAAAGAAATTACAGGAAGGATGTAGGTCCTAATGTGTTTGGTGGACACTCGAGTCTAACATTCTTAGGGGCTTTTTGATACAAAAGCGTGGTGTACTATAGGCTGGTAGAATTGTATTCAAGAGAAAAAGAGATCAACTGGAAATAAAACCACGTCTTGAAGTAACTGTAACTCAACATCACTTACTTTCCTCACAGTCGGGTCCAGCCTTCCCCTGTGGACAAATACACGTGTACTTCCCAGCAGCTGCAACACAGGTCGCCCCATTCTTACAAGGATTAGGATCACACAAGGTAACACCTAAAAACAATCAATATCGATTTGGAAACTTGGGGGAAATACTTCACATACTCTCAGGGAGAGGGTGGATAACATATTCAACGATCCTCTGACTTCTCTACAACCACAACACTTCTGCAAATTGCAAACTATGATCCTACCACATCTCTGATGACACCCTAAACTAAACCCTTTGGGTTGTCTAATGATTACTAAACTAAAACACGCCCAAATCCTATAAATGGTGAAGGTACCCCCCCTCCCCCCCTAAGATATAAAAAAAATTTTGACGGAGATATTCGACTACTGAACCCCTCACCCCCTCCCTTAGAACACGTATTATTTTAACATCATCGCCAAAACTTACTCTCACACAGTGGTCCAGTGAATCCTCGGACACAAACGCAATCGAAAGAATCTTTGGGAGCGTGGACACATTTAGCGCCATTCTTGCAGGGATTCGGCGAACAAATGTCGGACGATTCTAAAAAGCCGGAAACATGAGCGTAAAGACGCTGTAAGCTACAAAATACGTGCAACCGAAGGAATTTTCTAAATTCGACTTCCCTCTCAGCTTCCATTAACTAGACTTACTTTTACAGGTCTTTCCATTTCCGACAAAACCATTCTTACAAATACATTGCCCATATAGGCACACGGCATCCTTGTGACAATTGTCGCAAACGTTACCTTCGTATAAACATTGTATAATATTGTATAAACAACTTCGTATAATATTGAAATAACAATGTACTGAAATATAGCACATAACGATACATCTTAGAAAATTTAAGCTGGATCTAAATTGCTATTTGCATGGAGCAAAAAAGCAAAGCTTTATTTGCCAGGTACAGTCTGTAATTGAACCAATAACTGGCTTTAATTTTCAACTAACGATTGAAATGGTTTGGCAACAGACACAGTCCTGTCATTTGGGCTGCCCAACCCAAGTATTCAACATTGAATGGCCTCGTTTAGGTCGTTTTAAAATGAATTTTAACGTACGGTCGCAATTCTCTCCTTTAAAACCGTCTTTGCAAATACAGAGATATCCATTCAGAGGAAGATCGACGTGGTATTTGCTGGAATCGTCGATACAGACACCATTTTTGCACAAATTTAAAGCACAACGATTGCGAACTGTAAGGAAAATAAGTGAAGATATTCAGTGCATTTTCCTAGTCATCATGTTCAAGTACTACGAATCATTTAGCTGTAAAAATATCAGTATTCGTTGAGTCAAAATTTTTTATATCATGCTAGACCTTTCTCGAACGCTTGTGTTTACACGTTTGAAGGAAAACAACGCTTGTTGGCATATTCAAATTTTATCGAAATCATTCAAAGACGAGTTCGGATACACAAAAGATTTAAATCATCAATGGACATAAACAATGGCGCTGCAATGCCACAAACAATGCTGTTCGCTCAACTCCACTCGAAGGCGAAATGCATAATGATATTCACCTTTCGCTAAACTGAATCACTTGAAGATATATTTATTCCTACCCTGACATCTTTCGCCTTTGAACGTCGGCTGACATTGACATTTGTATGTCCAGGTTTTGTCAGGTTTAACTACCACTGAACACTCTCCCTTGTTGAAGCAAGGATTAGGCAGACAAACGTGGTCTAAATAGATAAATATATTGAATAATGATGTATTGAATGAAAGCTAGAAAGATTGTTTAACTAAACTAGAGGATGGAGCATTTGCAATAATACATGTCACACAATTATCACAGTCGTATTCGTAAATATCATTAAAAGCACATTACTATCGTCCTCATCTTCGTTTACCTTGACAAAAAGTACCATAAAAGCCTTCCTTGCATTTACACATTGTCGCTGTTTGCCCTTCGATACACTGACCGCCATTTCGACAAGGATTCACAAGACAACGATGTGGAACTAAAAAGTTCACTGTAGTTTAAATATCCTCCTGCAATAACACAGGATCAACAACAAATTATGTTGTTGCAAAAATAAATTATCCTAACGAGAACTCCAGAAGGAAATGAAAGGGCTATTCAAAACAAATGAAGTTGATTTAGTTTATATAAGTCACTCCAGTACTATCACTAGAAGAATAAGAGGTGGTCCTCACTGGACCTCTAGTAAACGCATATCCATTGCTCAGAATGGAATATTGTAACTAACACTCACTCTCACATATAGATCCTCTCCAATCTTGCACGCATGCACAAACAAACTTCCCGTTGCTCTCCTTGCATGTCCCCCCGTGAAGGCAGGGATTAGGATCACAGTACTCAATTTCTATAACAAGGGATAATTGGGTATATATAAGGTGTGATAAGGTATGATGGGGTGTACATGAGGTGCAATAAGATATAATAAAGTATCACAATATGGTACCCATAAAACTATTGACAAAAATTACCTCCACAGGTGTTCCCCTTGAACCCTATTGGACAACTGCACTGTACTTTAGATCCACCAACATCAATGCATGTACCACCATGTTTGCAAATATTCAGAGCACACGGATCTTTTTCTAATGGCAAAAACACACATGATTGTTATTCAAACCATTGTATATGCAATTTGGTAAAAGTTGCATTCTTGAAGTTCAGGTTATACAAACGTAATAAACATTTCCATACCTGAACATGTTGCACCCTTGAAACCTTTCAAGCACTTGCAGACGAAACTATGCTTCGTCTCAACACAATTTCCCCTGTTTACACACGGGTTGGGATAGCAATAATTTCTAGCTAGAAAACGAAGATTCGTACAAGATAATGAAGCGTCAAATGTATCGAGTAGAAGACATTGTGAAATCATACACGGAGTGTCATATTAAATTTAATCCTGCTGTGATATTTTCATTCGTTGTCCATTTCCAGTCTCGCTACATGATAGTTGTTTCTTTATTTTATATGTACAAATACACTGTCACGCTGCAAAATATACGTAATGAATATTACCTTCGCAATGTTTCCCTTTGTATTGCTTTTTGCACAAGCATTCAAATCCGCCTGGTGTGTGCAAAATTATACCACTGTTTTGACATGGATTTACTGTGGGAAAATATGCAACAATAAATATATCATTTCATCACAAAAATGGATAATACTTAGGTTTCCTCCTGTAGAAACACTGGATCAATAAGAGATGATCCTTACTGCATGGACATCTAGGAAGAATAGTTTAGAACTGATAGAGCCATCCAGTATAAATAAAGTTAGTTTAGTTTAGGTTTCCTCCTGTAGTAACACTGGATCAATAAGGTATGATCCTTACTGGACCTCTAGGAAGAACAGTTTAGAACTGATAAAGCTATCCAGTATAAATAAAGTTAATTTAGTTTAGGTTTCCTCCTGTAGTAAAACTGGATCAATAAGAGATGATCCTTACTGGATCTCTAGGAAGAACAGTTTAGAATTGATAGAGCTATCCAGTATAAATAAAGTTAGTTTAGTTTAGGTTTCCTCTTGTAGTAACACTGGATCAATAAGAGATGATCTTTACTGGACCTCTAGGAAGAACACTTTAGAATTGATAGAGCTATCCAGTATAAATAGAATGAGTTAAGGTTTCTTTCGATATGTTGATATAGTTGTCGTATTAATGCAGATATAATCATCAGGAAACAGAATATAAAAAATACATTTATGGTATCAGCAGATACCTCCATTATTGACATGCACGTGATTAATAAACACATCAGGTTTATTGCTGTAGGCGACGGGTTTTGCCACATGAACAGGCGCATAATGAACTCTGTGATATGGAACTGGAATATTCACAGAATTATAATGTCTTTTCTGTGCTGAACTTAAAAAGCGTTTTTTTCCAGCACTGTCCTTAGCTTGGCTGGCCGTTGATGATTTCAAACCGTCAACCAGCAGGTCTTTGTTATGGACATTGAATGATCTTTTGTAAGATCTACGTTCTTCTTTAGAATGGACCAGAGATGATAGAAAATGAAGAAAGAAGAGTACGGTTCCTGCACTGCGACTACATTTCATCTTAGTGGCCAAGATAACGGAGATTCGCTTGTTTTAGAGGTTAATATTCAAATGTTATTAATATTTGAAAGAATGGAACAGGTGCCCAGCTTGATCGCCCCTTTAATTAGTAAACAACTAACCACAAGTTCGTGGTGTCGGAAAAAAATGTTATGGAGGGTAGCGAGAGGGCAACAAAGGGTAACGGGAAAAAAACGGCGAAAGGGCAACGAGGCTGTAAGGAATGGGTAATGAGAGGGTGGTAGAAGGGTGACAAAAGCGCAAAAAAGAAAAACCAAATGCATGGTGACGCAATGGTAACGAGTGAGTAACAGAGGGAAACGAAAGGGCAACAAAGGACAACTATTGGGTACCAAAAGATAACAAAAAGGACAACGAAAGGACAACTAAATGTCAAGTAACAAACGGACAACTAAAAGGACAACTAAAGGACAACTAAAAGAACAACTAAAAGGACAACTAAAAGGAGACTAAAGGACAACTAAAGGACAAACTAAAGGACAACTAAAAGGACAACTAAAGGACAACTAAAAGGTAACAAAAGGGTAACAGAAGCCAACAAAAGCGAACAAAACAGCAACAATTTTGTAATATAATATTTTACAAGATTTATTAGAAATTAACAAATTGTTTACGCAATTTATGGATAATTACATAAATATTTTCTAAAATTTAGTTTTTGATTAGTATTTTGTAACTCGCGATCATCAAGTTTTTTAGTTAATGATGTAATGCAATAATTATATGATTACCAATTTTCATTCACTTATTATTATAGTCATAAGTTTAATTTTAGTTTCTATTTTTTATGGTCGCGGACTTTTTAGGGTTACCTTAGTCCTCCTAACTACATTAATGATAGGAGTATCTGTAGCTTTTACATCTGTTAAAATAAGGAAGCAATCGTGATTGAAATTTATGAACGGTATGAAGACACCTATAGTGTTTACCTTTAAAGAGATTTATCGATGGTTTACAGTCAAAGTTTAGCATTTAAGAAAGGCTATCTCGGTCAGTGCTGGTGACGTTAAACTTACCTGATAACGATGGTGCACAAACTTTCCCATTTCCGACGTAGCCAGGTTTACAAACACATTTTCCGCGGAAGCAATGAGCAAATTTTGAGTTACAATCCTTGCAATCATCCATAAAAACTAAATAAAAAATATATAATTATATCTTGGCGCTCAAAAAGGACCATCTCGTAGTGATTTAATGCTACTAAATAAAGCTTTGACCTAAAAGTCTTCACCAGGACAGGAGACATGAAGATATTTTGAAGAATATATGAAATACGACGTACTTTGACAATGAGTTCCAGTGAAGTGTTTCTTACACTTGCAGGAATATCTGCCATCTTTTTCAAAACATTCACCATCGTATAAACATGGATTTGGGTAGCATTTGCTCACGCCAGGGGCTGGAAGAAGACAGAAGATGATTCAATAATATACTTCGAGGCATCTTTAATATTCCCCCTTCTCTTCCAGAGAAACTAGCACTAAAATCGCGTAATTTGGGGTGTGAAATGTTCACCTGGGAAAGGACAATAGCACAACAACAAGATCACTATTTGTTACGATTACTCACGAGGTCGTAAACAGTATGGTCGTACGTAGCCGGACTTGCAATGGCAGACAGCGACTCCTTTCGATGCTTTACAAACACCTCCGTTTCTACACGGATTACGTAAACACGGGTCGGGTAACTCTAAAAACAATAAGGTATAGTTTAGTTTAGGTTTCCTCCTGTAGTAACACTGGATCAATAAGAGATGATCCTTACTGGACCTCCAGGAAGAATAGTTTAGAACGAATGGAAAAGCAAAAGCCTGGGTAAAACATCTGTCAACTTGTAACGAACTTACTTATCTCACAACGGGAGCCAGTGAAACCAATTGCACAACGACAACGGTAGCTGCGGTCATTTTGTGTGAGCGGAGAAATACTGAAATTAAAGCAGGTGCCATTATTTCTACACGGCTTCACACTGCATGGGTTGTCCACTAAAAAAGAAGTTAGAAAATACTCTTATTTTAAAACCTTGTTCGATTAAACTAGGTATAAGGTTGTTTATGTCCGTGAAAGGACGATTACCAATTACTCTAATCAAATATCACTCACACTCACTCAATACAGAAGGCACACATCCCCAAGGAGTCAAGTACATTTTGCTTCGTGGACAGATGCAATCTCCTTTCTTGTCACAAAAAGAGTTGATGCTGTTTCTCTGCCGTAATGGGTTTGCCTTGGGACAGTCGCAATCTATGAAAACACAAACATCATTGGTCGTCGTTCTTTAATTGAAAGACGACTTTAATTTCTCTTCAGAGCCTAGATTGCTTTAAATCTAGCTCTCTCGTCCTCACCACAAAACGGTGGCTTGAATTTGTACGTTGGACATTTGCAAAATGCTCGTGTTCCATCCTCTGAAGTCCTGCATTTCCCATTATATTTACACGGGTTGGGTGAGCATCGATCTTTGATAACAACGCCTAAAATGACAGGGAAAATTGAAGGTTTTCGGGGACATGTTATACAATAAAAGTGAAAATTTACATTGAGAATACTAAGGTTTCATCTGAGTCAAGCTATGAGCAACTTTAGAGCGACCTTCAAAATCATAATACCGGAGAATGGCACAGTGATGGAAAGGATACAACTGTTATCCCGCTAGATTTCTACACAACTTTCATTGCGAGTAATAGTGAATGAGAAACGTACGTTTCGAGCAATCTTTTCCAGTGAAATTTTTCTGGCAAACACAACGGAATGTCTTGCCACTTTCAAAACAAACACCGCCATGTTTACAAGGATTGGGAACACATTTCAAACGAGCTAAAAACAGATGAAGTGAAATGTAGCGGTCGCTTGGGAAATGCGACATTCCTGCCTGTCTAAAGTATTTACAAACGTTGGAAGAAAAATGCTTTACGTGATAACACTCACTCTCGCAGTTCCGTCCAGTATATTTGGCAGAGCATCGACAGTCGTATGTGGTTTCATCCATATTCACACAAACACCATTGTTTCTGCATGGTTTGAGAGCACAAGGACCAGTCTTATCTGAAAGAAAGACAGAGGTAATGACGTGAATTGATGTTAAAATCATCCTTGTAGACGAACGTTTAACCAAACTACAAAGAATGCAGCTCGAATGGATCCATGCACGGGTAAAAAATTGCCTGACAACCAACTATAGCAGTAGGCCGGCACCCATAAGATAGATCGTCGACTTTCACTCTCCGAGTAATGGCAGTTAAAAGTTACGAGGTATCCTAACATTCAGCCTATGAATGTCTACGATGGTGGAATGAACTGCAGCAATAGTCAATTGTTTTAAGGGAATACTTACAAACTGATTTACAAGTCAGTCCGTTTCCAATAAAACCAGGTTTACATACACAATGACCGCCTTGACATTTGGCATTTTTATGGCAACTGTCGCAAATCTTTTCTGCAGGAAAGAGACAAACAAAAGATTATTCTTTACGTTCTGACCAGAACAGGTTATCTTTCATCCAAATATCTCATTGAAGATTTCATAATATAGTTTTATCTGGCCTGTTAGAACAACTAAACAGAAACCTTACTTCTACAATTCTTCCCGGTGTATCCCTTCTCGCAAAGGCAGAGATAACCACCAGTGAGTCTCGTGTAGCGTGGATCATTCGTGGCGTCAATACATCGACCATGCATACAGGGTTTACTCATGCATGGACTGGCGACTATTAAAAAAAAAGAAGAAAAAAAAGAGCAATGGGGTCAAATTGTATGTGTTCAAAATGGATCAGCTTCTAGCTTTCTGAAAGGTTAGTATTTAGCTGTATAAAGGCTAGTTTCCACTCAGGAAAATTCTCCTTTGGATCGGACAGGACAGAAAAGTTTCCTTTGTATAAAGGCCGCCTGAGAACTCACCGACAAAGGAAATTTTCCTGTCCGTTCCGATCCAAAGGAGATTTTCCTGACTGGAAACTAGCGTTAAGAGTTTGCATGCTTAGGATCTTTTGTGCACATCTTTTGTAAATCACATGCAGTTGTCTTGTAATCTTTATAGACAAACCTTGACAAATTTTCCCGGTGAAACTTTTCGGACATGAACACTGAAACTCCCAGGTCTGTCCTTTGGCTTTTGCCTTACAAACTCCTCCGTGAAGACAAGGACTTGGTTTGCAAACATGATCTAAACGCAAAAGGAACGAGCCAGTCTTAAACAGAGTGTTTTCTTGCTGTTGTATAAAAAGTCTTCGAGCTCACCTTGACAAAATTCGGAAACAAATCCTTCACGACAACTACAGACAGGTTTCTTCTCGTCGGTTGAACAAATTCCACCATTTCTGCATGGATTAACATGTACAAGACAACGATTTCGCTCTAAAAGGGAACACAGAGTTTAGCACCAGCATATTTATTTCCAATATCCATGGCTAACATTTCAAACTAAGCAAAGGTGTAAGCCAATCATTCATTGCTGGTTATGAGAACATTCAAACAATGTCTCATTTAATGGTTTTATACCGCGACAAAAATTACTCACTGCGACAGAACGTTCCGTTGTATTCAGGCAGACACTTGCAGAAGAACTGATTTTTTTCTAACTGGATGCAAGTGCCTCCATTTCTGCACGGGTTAATTTCACATTTATTCACATCTATCCAGTATAAATAAAGTTAGTTTAGTTTAGGTTTCCTCCTGTAGTAACACTGGACCAGTTTAAATAAAGTTAGTTTAGTTTAGGTTTCCTCCTGTAGTAACACTGGATCAATGAGAGATGATCCTTACTGGACCTCTAGAAAGAACAGTTTACAACTGATTAAGCTATCCAGTATAAATAAAGTTAGTTTAGTTTAGGTTTCCTCCTGTGGTAACACTGGATCAACATTTATTAACAGTACATAAGTAACATATTGGGGAAACCCACCTGTACAGTTGATACCCTTGAACCCACGTTGACAACTGCAGTTAACCATTCCATTTCTTTCATGGCAGATGCCCGCGTTTCGACATGGATTTGGATAGCATCTATCTTTCGCTAGTGAATACAGTAAACAAAATACAGTTGCAAAAATCTTCTAAAATTTTCTGATCAATGGTTTATAAAAAAAATTCTGCAACACGTACCTTCACATTTGAAACCTTTGTAACCTTTCTTGCAATGGCATTCGTATCTTGTTTTATGATCTCGACAAATCGCATCGTTTTTACAAGGCTTGGCATAGCAGTGGTCTGTGTCTTGACAGTGATCTCCCTTAAAGCCAGGCTTGCATACACATCGTGTTCCAAATAAGGTGAAAGTAAGTGTGGCACCATTACGGCAAGGATTTTCTGAAACAGACGATACTTGTCTAAGTATCTAAGATAGTAAGGAACTAATAAAAAGCTGTCGTGATCTTAATCAAAGTCAACTTAACCAGACAGGCCAAAGTGCTTAAGAAAACCGAATTACAATAGTTTGACTTGAATGTGAATTACAAGGGACTATGATAAATACACATTATGTTTTCAAAGCATTTAATTCATACGCATAAGTCTGAAAATAGCAGGCGATTCAAGTCCTTCAAAACACATATCACAAACCTGTATAAATGTGAATATGGGCAGTCTCCTTTTCTTTATTGGAATCAAGTTGCAAATTTTTCGATGTATTTCTCAATCCTGCACTATCATGAGTTCCCAATTTACTTGTTTCGTTGTGATAACCTTGTTTACCATCGTCTAAACCATCGTCTCTTGTGGGAGACGACGTTCCAGTCGTTCCAGTCTTTGTAATCGACTTGCCATTGACAGCAGCTGTCAAACTGTTATGAAAAGTATTTACAGAGGTTTCATCGCCAACACTTGTGTAGCTGCCGTTCACGTTAGGCGACACAGAAATCTGCGAGAAAGCATTGTTTGTGAATTGCAGTAAAAGCACAATAAAGTGAAAATTTAATATATATTTTACATATCTGGTTTCCGTTGTCATTTTAGGATGAAGCTTTACGCACGCATGGTTGGTCTTTGGAGCCGTTTGACTCGTTTTGTTTAGCAAAACTGCAGGTTTTATCAGTGGCCCATTGAACAACAGGCTAAATCCTCGCACGCTTAGACGAATGAGGGAAAGAAAGAACTCGTTAAAAGCTCGTTTATGTGAGGTGTTTAAGTTAAGGAAATTTATTATTTAGTGAACGAACGTTTTTCGAGTGAAATTACCATCCAAGAAATATGCTTTTGTACTGTCATTAGTTCAACTATATCCAATCCTGAACACTCGAGTCGTTATCTGTAAAAGCGGTCTTTTTACCATTTTATTTATCCTTTTAAAATATATTATTTACACTTGAAGGTTTTCAGCTCAAGGATTATGAATGTTCTGTTTGTAAAATTGTTTTTATACGTGAGTTTTTATTTTTGTGCTATTTTTGATCTTTTGTAGAAGTCATTGTAGAATGGTGGTAAAGGTGGAGGTTTTAAAGATGAGGTTGACGGTGGGGAAGCTCCTGAAGTGACGGGTGGGGAGGGAGGAGGGCCGGAAGATGATGGGGGAAGTGGAGGAGGAGGGGGAGGAGGTGCAACAGGTGGGGCAGGAGGTGGGGCAACGGGAGGAGGCGGTGGTGGAGGATTTGGAGAGGGTGGAGGAGCAGCAACATTCGGAGGAGGTGGTGGAGGAGCAGGTGGAGGAGGGGGTGGAGGAGCAGGTGGTGGAGGAGCAGGTGGTGAAGGAGCAGGTGGGGGAGCGGGGTTTGGAGGAGGGGAAGGAGGAGAAGGTGGGGGAGCAGGGTTTGGAGGAGAGGGAGGAGGAGCAGGGTTTGTAAAGGGAGGAGTTGGGTTTGGAAGAGTGGTAGGAACATTTGGAGGAAGTGTGGGGAGGGAAGTTGAGAGGGTGGGAACAGACGTAGGGTTTGTAATCGGGGGTGTTGTTGGTGATATTGTGGGTGTAATCGACGATGTCGGTGGTGTTGTCACAGTTTGTTCGGTCTCAGTAGTTTGTTCCGTCTCAGGAAATATGAGCGCTAGTTTAAAAAAAAGTAAAATGGAAACTTTAAATTTTATTCATAAGACCATAGCGATACACTTTATTTAGCTTTGTTAGGTAATTTCTACAGGGTTACAGCCAGAATACTACTATTTAAAATACACGTTTTATAAGAGACTTTAACTTAGATTTTTTGATATTTTATACGAGGTAATAAATCGTTATATTATACTTTTCGTATACGAGTTTCAGTATACACGATGCTCTTAAATCGTCTTTAAGACTATTAATTTGCACGACAGTTTATATTTTTATTTATTTCTTCCTTTATTTGAAGACTTGATTCAACCAATTTTAACAGATGCTACATTAAAATGTTTAAAAATGTTACGTGAAGTATTGTGTTAATTGCATACAGAATAGCAACTATAAAAACCTCGTCTTACCTACACACTGGTCCCCTTTAAATGCGAAACCATCAGTACACTGGCAGACATTTTGAAAGCATTTCGCGTTTGAAGGACATGTCTTACAGCTTGATGAACCACCAGCTGAGGGAAAAACGAATTGAGAAAATGTGGATGATGTTTTGCACACAGGTAGAATCACATGGCTGCATACATACAGTGGTGCCTTTTATATAATCTTTCGATTTGCAATTGAAATATACTAGTTTGGGGCAGTATACCTTCAACGCAGTGGAATCCAGTCCCTATGTAACCCTTCTTACAACGACAAATCCCAGCGATACACAAAGCTTCTGCATCACACTTGGAGCACTTGTCAACTGCACGAGGAAAATAATGATTTTGTAAAAAGCATTTAATTCGTGTTTAAAATGAGATTGGTTGAGACTGGAAGGAGTGAAAACGAAAACAAAAGATATAGGTTGTGGTACTACACTCTTTTGAACTCAGGCAAAACTGCGCATAATTGAAATAACTATAAATTAAGAAGAAAAGAAAATGGCAGGCGTATTTCGTGATCACTGACCTTCGCAATGAGCTCCAGTGAACTGAACTGGACAGTTGCAATCGTAACCTCCAACAACGACCTGACATAATCCGCCATTTTCACACGGATTTGGATGGCAGACCTCCCGCTTTGGTGATTTACCAACTGGTTCAAAAAATGCATAAAGTTAGTGGAAAGCCTAGTTCACGACTCATCTTGACCACGAATCTCATCACCAGCTCTGCTGGCAAGTGGTATCATAATTTAACGACAAAACAATATCATTGGTCGTGTTTGAGATGACTGCAAATCATCATCATCATCGTCACTTATTCCAATGTACTGAGGTAACTTACCATTGGTCGGATCTTCCTCACAGCGAGGACCAGTGTATGGCAATTTGCAATGACACTTTCTCAGTTTGTCCTCAACATAACAAGTCCCAGAATTTAAACAAGGGTTAGGAGAACAACCGTCTAAAATAGTGGAAACAAGTTTTATTCATCCATTGTTACTACAGGAGGAAACCTAAACTAAACTAATTCTATTCAACTTACTTGTCTCGCAGCTGTTGCCAATCCAAGGTGAAGCACAAACACATTCATATTGACTGCCGCTGATTCGTCTACAAGTCCCTCCGTTCTTGCACGGTTTGTTCAGACATGGCGAATAAGCCCCTAGTAAAAAGATTTGCTTGTGTTGGTTCAATGGCGAAATATAATAACAAGAGAGTATAACCTAGTACAAAGAAGACGAAATGCATCATAACATACTTGCAGCCAAACACTGTCCCTTTGAATCCCGAGTAAACCCTCCAGGACACACGCATTCTCCCACAGCGTCACATATCAAATCAGCGGTGTTTGGGGCCAATGATTTCGGACATTTACAAGCTACAAAACGAGACCAGAAAATTTCCTTCATCTGCTCTTATAGGATATCTCAATTACTTTGGAATCCAGTCATTAATCTGTCGTTTTCAGATTACAATGACAGAAATCTTGTCTTATCTTTACTTCCATACACGCCAAGATGTAAACGAATTAGCTCCGGCAACGGTTGAGATTCAGTGCAGTTGTTTGCAGTTGTTGTACTTACTTTCACAAAACTGTCCACTGAAACTTCCTTTGCATTTACAGGCTGGTTTTCCATCCTCATTGATGCATTCTCCATCGTTAAGACACGGATTAGGAAGACACGAATCAGTGACTGAAATAAGTAAGTATGAAAATACAAATAAGACCAAACAAGAACGGTCCGTTTTAGGTTCAAGAGAAAAAAGTTATCGTACTTTTTTCACAGTCTTTTCCACTGTATCTAGAAGAATGGCAAACGCATCTGTAATCAGCGTTCTGTAGAGCCACGCACTGTCCTTTGTGACGGCATGGACTTGGGATGCACGGATTCTTTTCTGTAAAGGGAAAGATTTTAGACAATTCATTCAAGGTAAGATATGGAAGCCCTTGATACAAGACCAGAGTGCCTTGACAAAAACCCCGAAGCAAAAGTCATCTCAATTTGAAAGAGTTGGTGAAGCACTGTAGTAATAAAAGATTGGTTCGTTGGGAAAAGGCAGAGTACTGACAGCGTCCACACAGCAAGAGACAAAACAAATGAAACCCACCTTCACATTTGGAGCCAGAATAACCGCCGATACAAAGGCAGTCGTAACCACCTTGAGGATTCTCCTTGCATGTTGCTCCATTCTTGCAAGGATTGGGGTGACATAACCGAGCTTCACCTGGTAGGGAAATATGGGGATAAACAAAGATTATATAGAGTAGCAGAGATAAACTAGGTACATTATGAGCTCTGGTCAAAAGGGCACTGGTGAAACATTATAATCTTACGTTGGCAGTGGAATCCATCTCCTTTATAACCAGGATTACAGATGCATGTGTTGTTTATACACTTGGCGTATGGATCACAGTTCTTGCATACATCAACTAGACGAATGAAATGATATGTATCAGACGCAGAAAATAAAGTACCACACTGACAAATCATTCCGTTTTTCGCTTTTAACCTTCCTCGAAGTCAGTTGTTTATTGCCATACTGCTAGCCTTAATGTTACCATAAATACTAGCCTGCCTAGACAAGCAGATGTCGTAGATTGGCAAAAGCTATATTTCTCTTGTGCAATTTTTCTTAGTGTGGAATGCTTCTTCTATTCACATAAGCTAAACGCTTCAATACCTTCACAATTTAACCCTGTATAACCAGGACGACAGATGCAAAGGTAATGCAATGAACCATGGTTCCATTTTGAAGGATAACCATTGTATCCGCTGAAGGAATCGACACAGAGAGCTCCATTAAGACACGGTCGAATGTGACAGGGATGTGGAACTAAAACGATAGTTTATACCTTTTTATGGTGCGTAAAAAATACCGAGTATTTATTAGTCTATCGGTGAACAAATTATGATTGAAACTAAACAACCAAATTACTTACTTTCGCAAACATCGCCTTTAAACAGTGGAGGACAAACACATTTAAAATGACCAGATTCCACAGAGCATCTTCCTTCGTGCATACAAGGACTTGGATGACAAACGTGTTCTGAAATAGGGAAACAACTATTGCATTAAGGAGATAATCAACCTTTCAGACAACCTCAGCTCTAGTAAAACCTCGCCACAAGTTGTGGAAACTTGTGATGGACTCCAAATTCGGTTAGTTAGAATAAAAGAATGACACTGGTAACACACACACATCTTCTGATGAATCATAAATGTGCAGAAAGGTATCACAAGTCCTGCTGTGATCTTGCATGGTGATCTTACCTCCACAAAACTCTCCAGTAAACCCGGCTGGACACGTGCAGTTAAAACCTTCGTCATGCTCCAAGCACGTGGCACCATTCAGACAGGGCTGCTGGAAGCACTGCCTTTCCTCTGTAAAAGGTAATCGTACTGATCAAGAAGGTGCCAAAGTTTCAGACGTTTGGAAAGAATTTTCTGAAACTCACCTTGGCATGTGGGGCCTTTGTATTCGTGCGTACACAAGCATATGGACTTTCCTTCTCGTTCTTCACAAGTTCCACCGTTTTTACAAGGACTTGGCTTGCACTTGTCGACCACTAAATAACATGTAAAACAGATTTAGCAGTGAGACAGATGAACGATGGATTACACGTACTCTGTGGCAATGACTACGAGTACGAGATTCGTGATTCTTGCGTGTGTTTGCTCACGCCATCTGACGAAACTCGTAGTCGTCGGAGTTTTGAGTGGGGCTTACGTTCACAGCGTTTTCCTTTGTTTCCAGAACTACAGATACACTGAAATCCTTCATCTTCGTCAGAGATTGTGCACGATCCACCGCTTTTACAAGGATTTGGCTGACAAGGATTCTTTTCTGAAATGAAAACAAATTTTGCTAACCACGCTAATGCCAGGCTAAGGCCCTAGCGCCCAGCACATAAAAAAATGTGTAGCATTAAACAAAGAGAAATAAGATCGCGTGAGACCAAATCTAGGGCTTATCAGGACGTATTCCAAGAGTCATTCATTGTGACATTACCTTCACAGTGATTACCCATGAAACCTCGTGCGCATAGACATTTATATCCATTAACCATCTCCTCGCACGCGCCGTTGTTCTTGCAGGGGCCTGAGGAACAGTAATTCCTGTCTTAAAGAGGAAGAACAACATTGATTAGACTAGAGCTAGGCAGGGAAAGGTCATATCAAAAGCTCCTCTACAGCCAGTGTCTTCGCTGGTGACTGAACTAATCCGTTCGCTCAGCGCGAAGGCGGTCTACTGCAAGAATGAAGGAATCAATTGAAAAGATTTACCTTGGCAGTTCTTTCCTCGAAATTCTTTAGGACAAATACAGATGTAATCGTGATGGACCACGGCGTAAATACCACCATTCAGACAAGGATTTCTGTGAACTAAGAAACGACAGACAAACGATGGAGCTATTCGGTATAAATAAAGTTAGTTTAGTTTAGGTTTCCTCCTGTAGTAACACTGGATCAATAAGAGATGATCCTTACTAGACCTCTAGGAAGAACAGTTTAGAACTGATAGAGCTATCCATTATAAATAAAGTTAGTTTAGTTTAGGTTTCCTCCTGTAGTAACACTGAATCAATAAGCGATGATCCTTACTAGATCTCTAGGAAGAACATTTTGCAAATGATAGAGCTATCAAGTATAAATAAAGTTAGTTTAGTTTAGGTTTCCTCCTGTAGTAACACTGGATCAATAAGAGATGATCCTTACTTGACCTCTAGGAAGAACAGTTTAGAACTGATGGAGCTATCCAGTATAAATAAAGTTAACGTTAGTTTAGTTTAGGTTTCCTCCTGTAGTAACACTTGATCAATATGAGATGATCCTTACTGGATCCTTATGATGATCCTTACTCCTGATAGAGCAAACGTTATATTGAATTACAGGGTATCTAATTAGCAACGATTCAAATAATATATATTACAACTACTTACGATCCTTGTGGATATGAAAATGCTGAACTCTCAACTGATTAGGAACCTCGACAGGAACAGCAATGGGTTTTGCAACATACTGCACATGTTCCACGGGGTATGGTTGAGGAACGTAGTTCGTGTGTCGATCCAAATACGGCTGTTCTTCAAACCTATTCACAGGAAACGGTTCGGGAATTGTCACAAAGTTATCACGCTTCTCACCATTTTTATCCACAAACGTTTTCCTCGGTGCGTTCTTCCGCGTTTTAGCTTTGCCAAAAAAAGAAGACGCGGCCTTAATATTCTTCAGCTTTCCAGCGACGTGTCTGGAAAGATGATCTTTTGAGCTATGGAGAGCCTTGAGTTTTATATTGTCTGCTTTGCTATCGTGCTTTGAACTTTTCTCATCTGTAGTGCAATTACAATATGGCAAAAGAAACAGATAGATTATAATGAAACATCCATAAAAGTACAAATTCAATTTCCCAGCATTTCGCACGAATCTAGCCATTGATATTCCAAATACGTTGATTACTACAAAGAGTTAACTTCATGAAATAACGTCGCCATACTGCTTGTGTCAGTTGCTCTGTAAATCTTTTAAAACCAGCCAAAGCGGTTCCATTCACCCAAAGGTATGCATCAGCTGATAATTTAAAAAAACACAAACCCAAATTATAAAACAACAATTAATTTACAAAAGGACAAATTACATTCGATGAAATTAAGTCAAAGTTTAATGTAAACGCTTTGTAATTGTTTTTACTGGTAGAAGCAAAAGAATAATACAATTGAACAGGTACTAACTCTTTATAAACCGTTAAGATGGCTGGCGGTTGGGAAAACATTATATTGAAAGTAGATTCCAGCGATTTACGTTAGCTTCATTTATAGTAAATAAAGCATTTGAATTTGGAAGTTTTGAAGCGTATTTTTAGCTTGTGAGTAACTAGTTATTCGTTAACAGTTGCCTAAATATAGCATGCAATCGATAACATTCGCTTGTTTGGAAATAGGGAATTCGAGTTCTACAGTGTAAGATTCAGAAATATACCCTCGATAAATCTTGATAGATTTTCGTTTCAAATAGGCCTGAAATGAGTGTCGCTACACAGTTGGCTGTGGATAAAAGGTTGTGAAAAGTGTACAACAACATTTCCTCAATACAAAAAAAATACATTAAAACGCTAAATTAATTGCGACAAGAAGAACAGGTTAATAAATGATCACATAACAAACACTCCATGCACAGACCCTTAATTTTAGTGCAAACGTTATCATCATTGGGAAACGCAAAAAAAGCTTTACTGCATGACCTTGAATTTCATTGGAGTTGATTTGTTAAGAGATTATAAAGCTCCATAAACTACCTGCGTTTTCATAATGAAATACTCGGCATGAGGCACAAGCTATATCTGATGTTAAATGCCCCGTTGATTTTGAATCCATTTAAAAAGATACAATGACAGAAAAAAACCTGGAATAAAGGAGATAAAATTTGCTTTCAATAATAATAATAATATTTATTCAAAGGTACATATTACTGCCAACGGCTTACTCGCGTTTAGCTTGGGCCTTCGTTAGTTTATCAACATCCACAGAAGGCACGGGGACAGAAGGCTTTGCAATATATTCGTGGCTGTGCAATATAAACTATTATTCCTAACAATTGTATGCATAAATAGCAGAAAGAATGTCTAGGCAGTCTAGCTAGGAGAGTCCAACCAAAGCTATCACCTGCCTCAAAAATTTCCCAGAATCCTTACCCAGATTGGGACGACAGACATTTTCTAGAAAGATAGAATACTGGCTTTAACCAAGCTTGTGATCGAATTACGATCGCATAAGGCACGATTGAGATGAGAGTTGTATTGTCATATATGGTAAATCTATACGCTTCGTACATTTACCTTGCGTTCGCATCGAATGTGGTATGACAACTGCCTAAAATTGAGAAAACACTTCTGGACGTTTCGACCGAAGGGCCTAACTCTCAGATTAACTCTTTTGAAGAAGGTCAAAACCTCGAGAAGTGTTTGTCAATTTTAGGCAGACGTTGTAACACACATTTGATGCCAATGATGCTAAGTTGTTTTGAAGACGCTGCCACGTTGCTCCCTAACTGGTTATATGTGAAATACGTTGTTCAAAGATTATGAGCGTATTTCAGACACCTTCTCGATAGTAAATACCTTAGAAATACACGCTTGAGCCAAATTTATAAGAATTTTGAAAGAGCTACGTGACCAATTTTATGGCAGCCAAAGTTACATCTCACAACAGGTTAAAACAGGTTTTCTTTGTCTCATGACTGTGTGGTTTTAACTCTCAAAATCATTCGCACGAAGAATTCGCGGAGTGCGGTTGGTCAAGAATAAGCTAACTAAAAAGCGAAGAAAAAGCATCAAAATATCATATAAATCCTCTGGTAAGTGCGGTCGATGTTCCACGAGTAATTGCTACTTCCTTGATGTGCGGCTGTTGTCGATCAGTACAATAGCCTGATGATTTCGTGAATTGAGCGCTGATTCCCAGCATAATTGAGCCGAAAATTGAAGTTCATGGCAATACATTTATCAACAATCGGACTGAATCGGTGTAGTATTAAAATTCGCTGTATATTGGAATCACATGGTCACGGAAATTGCAAAATTTCTTGTTTAGCCTTCCGTATACTATCGAATGACGACATTTCATGTGTTAAAGTTTACTTTCCCCCCTCACCGCACAAAATTCCCATTCCCAGAATTCCACTCGTTCTTTCGCAAACCTGTTAAAAACAGGATTATAAACAGCCGCGTCATCATCATCATTATATATTAATTTGTTTCTTTGATGTTTCCAAAGCAAACATCTGAGAGCAAAAATTTCGGTTGAACAGTCCTTATTGAATCGGTTAAAACAATTACATGACACAACTAGGCCTACTGAGTATAGAACAATCGCAAGGAGACGAAATTGGACTGCGACTGTTGCTATCAAGCCCTAAATCAATCTTAAAAATTGTGCGTTGATAGCGACGCTGGCATTTTAAGCTAGTTTCGTTTTTTGAATAAGTATCGTTGCCATATCCAGAGTATTATTAGATCAGTTGGCGGTTGACATATTGACGTAAACAACAGTCTTTTAAAAATTGATTGATGAGTTTCAGGCACTATTTCGATAGTTGATTCGAAGAAAAAATTAAAAATATATATATATAAAAGTGTATATATAGATATGATTTCACTCACAAAACACCCATGATGTATATATAGACCATCTGGAAGAAAGATGAGCTGATTCGATCGAGCCCAGTGTAATGAGATGCGCATAGTTCACTGAAACGTCATTTCTAAACATTACGTGTGGTTATTTGAATGAACGAAATTGAACTTATTTTCATCATGCTTACGAAAAATATTCACAAAAAGCTTAGATTAGGTTTGTAGTCACATTCGATGAAGTAAAAAGAAGCAAAGGGTGTAAAAGTGAGAAATTTTAAACATGTTTTACACAAAGGGGAAACCCCATTCCCAGAATTCCATAGTTTCCCCTCGATTCATGGGAGTTTCCCTTCGATTCATGGGAGTTTCCCTTCGATTCATGGGAGTTTCCCGCAGTACAACAGCTAACAGGTTAAAACAGGTTTCTTTTCTATTCTTAAGTAACTGACACAAATAGACAGATTGCCAACCTTATATAAGCGCACCCTGCTCAAAACTTTATCGTCATTCATACAAGGGTTTCGCTTTGAGCGCTAGGCAATCAGTTATAGCATAAAGATAAGGCGGCGCCGGCATCGAACATATATATACACGATCTCGTAAGTAGGTCTTCAACGAAGACTGCTGTTCAACAAACAAATTATGGAGGTGAAAAGTGAAACACTGGGGAGACAAAATGATTTAAGAAGGGTTAGCTGGACATGGAAAAAACTACAAAATTGGAGGACGAACTGTCGTAAACGCGCCGAAAATTGCAATATTACTCAGTAAACATTTAATTTCAGTGTGAAATCGCCATATTTCTGGTCACTCTAGGAAGAGATTTGATGAACCTGACCCAGAAGCTTAAGTTAGAAAGGTTAATATAGTGCTTAAACTGGCGAATGTGCGCCATTTCAGCAAATAGAGAAATAAAAAAGAATTTCATTATTTTTAAAATACTTCGGTTTTTGATAAGCAATAGCATCAAGGAAAACAAGTGCCAATAAAATTAAAATATGATGAGGATATGGAACGCGATAAGCCACAGAATGATTCCACAGGCACAACAAAGGAAGATCTACTAACGCGGTATGAAATTTAAGAGGCTGATAATATTGCTGTGATAATTCTTCAGTTTTGACATAGTAACGCGGCATATCATAGGCAATAGACCTAAAATTCTTTCTGTTTGCTTTCCTTGAAGGCATAACATTTAAAGCGCTTTGAAAAGCGTTGGCTTCATTGTTTCCAGGGGCCGGTTGTATCAGGCCTGTTTAGCTTAAACAGTGGTTAAGTCAAAATGAAATAACACTCTTACATCTCTCTTGAATGAGTCAACTTGAATATTATGAACTGAATATGTAGTTATAAACAGTATCTTTGTATTAAGGTCAAAAACATTTAGTTTGCTTGTTGAGTAAAATGGGAAGACTTGCTTTCTATTTTGAATAACCACCGGGCTTGATACAAGCGGCTCCATAATCACCAGGGGCCGGTTGTATCAAGCCCGTTTAGCCTAAACGGTGGATAAGCTCAAAATAGAAAGCAAGTCTACGGTTTTATTCAACAAGCAAACTAAATGTTTTTAACCTTAATACAAAAATACTGTTTACAACTACATATTCAGTGAATAATATTCAAGTTCACTCATTCAAGAGAGATGTAAGAGTGTTATTTAATTTTGACTTATCCACCGTTTAAGCTAAACGGGCTTGATACAACCGGCCCCAGACGTATTGCATATATATCGTGGTGACGCATGCGTACTAGATTGCTCTTATTTCGTATAATTATATATACATTACGTAATCATATTCATATATTTTCTTATATACCTACCGGTTATCATTCAGAAACATAATTTTTTCATTTGCATGTTTATTTTTGACAGATAACAATCATGTCTCAAGAGCGAAGGGAGCGTATGTTAAATATGGACGAACTAAACACCGGCGATCTTAAACGAATAATTGCCGTTCAGTCCAAAGAAATTGAGAGGAAAAATGAACAACTAAAAGGACTACAAAACCTGGCAAAAATCTGCAGCGAGTCGGAAGAGAAACGGCAGAGTTGGAAGACCAGGGCAGAGAAATATGAGTCTGCTCTCAGACGCGCCGAAGCGAGAATCGCAGTTTTGAACAAGAAACTTGGCATGCTTGGTCCTCAAACAGCTTTTGATATCAAAATTTCGAGACACGCTTTCGATGCGATTACTAGAGAAAATATTGAGTTAAAAGAAGCCTTGGAGCATATCGTACCCACAGAACTCGGCGGTAAAGACGTAGTTTTGGTAAGTAAAAATTTTAAGGGGGTCCTCTACCAAAAAAATTTTTAACCTTCCTATTCATAGTACCAAACTGATACCTTAGTATGTTGTTAGGCTATGGTCACTGACAAAAAGTACATACAGTTGCAAAGTTGTGTTGCCTCGGTTACCAGGAAATGCCACGCCTAATAGCAAAATGGATGCCATATTGCAAACATGATAACTACACAACTATTAGCCATAAAATGATGAAATAACTTTTATTTACTCAAAAATAACATGGTCTAGGAGTTGAACTAAAACCTTTCAGGTTGGTGGGGTTTTAGCAGTTTTACGGGCAAAACAATTGAAAAGGTTACAATACATTCCAATGAATTAGATACCACTTGATATCTATACATCAGAATTTAATTTCTTTAGTTCATCTCCTAGAGCTACTCATACTGAGGCTATCCTGAAAATTTCAGCAGGATAGCTCCAATACTTCTTCAGATATCTTGCATACAATATCGGAAATTGCAGATTTTCGGCATGTTGAGAAAAATGCATTTAAAGTGTAATATTATGTTCATAACACAAACAGGTCTAAATAACAAGGCTCTATTGCTATTTTATTGCTACTGTACAATAGTTACCACATTAGAAAGCTCCTGCTTCATAAGTGGTGCCCTCTTTTTCTTTATTTTTATCTTCTTTCTTCTTTTTCTGCCCGCGGAGGATTTTCCGTCGCTTCTTTACTTCAGGAGTGTTCCTATGTTCAGCCTTCCTTACTCGCAAACGATCAGCTTTTTCAATGCCTTCTTCAAAGAAATGTCCTGGAACTAACTCCAACTCTTCAAAAATGTTCACAGCTGCTTTATTGCCAAGATTGAAATGAGCTACAGCATCATATGTTCCAAAATTCAGGACATCCGCTCCAACAAAAATGGTTTTCGGCAACCGGTTCCAAATCATGCCATTTAGTGACTCATTCTGGTTTTGGGTTTTTCCATCTAAGCACTTGCTCAATAGTTCATCATTGCTAAGCCTGGCATAAATAGGTTTGAGCAATGCAATAATATCATCAGGAAGACCTTCACCTGGTTTGTACAGCTTTGTATTGTTCGCTTTATCTTGTTTGTAGCGACACCAACTATCTGGACCATCTGGACAATAATGTGAAGGTTTCGTTTCTCCGAAGAAGCACAGTGGAATAGGCTTGCATGAACTGCAGCTTTCATTGCAGCTAAATCTCCTGAATTGCTTCTTATAGCAATCCCGTAATAGTTTTGTAGTTTGTCAATTTTGGCGTTGGTTAACTTTCCCTTTCCTCCAATCCCTTTGTTTGCCTTCTTCAGGTTTCTTAGGTTAGTGCCAACACGCTTTTGAACGTGACCAACACATTCCTTCTTCTCTACATGAGCATCCTTGTAACAATTTTCCACCTCATTATATGCCTTGCTATCACCATCACCATAGTACTCTGTGTACTGGAGTTTGCGGGTTTCCTCACTTCTTCCAAATATTCTTTTGATGCCTTCGTTTCCATTGATGGTGCAGACCCCTGATAATTCACTTTGCACTTACTGTTGTGCTTCTCCAGAAGTTCTGCCTTCTTATATCATCACACTCTTTTTCAATTTTCTGGCAACCATGACAAACTTTGGTGAGGACTTCCACATCCAGACATTTACCTGTATCAATAGATAAGGTTGTGACACAACCATTTAATGATGAGTGACCACGTCTTTGCCATGTACCATCACAAGAGACACCACATTTTACTATTTTATCACCATCTTCACTACCGTGTAATTCCCTGGCTGCATCTTTCATGCTTTTTGTGGCAACAGTCTTTGCTGCTTTTGTAAGTGCAGCATTACTGGCGCTGTAAGCTTTTGAATGGAGTGGAGGTGGCATGTTCATCAAGCCACAGAAACGTTTCATTGATGAGTGTCCTTGTCCCCATACTCGCATAGCATACACAAATCGCTTGTTGATAATCAAACGAGTGTTGAACCTTTTAGATGTATAAAAGGTATACACCCAACCACACGTTTGGCAACGTACACGAAGATGAGACGCACTGCCTTTTCGTTCACGTGGGTCTTCTTCTAAAACAACACAACACGATGAACCACATTCACTGCAAATCATTTGCTGAAAAACATAGTTCAGGATCTCCATATCAATAAATCGATACCCTGTCACGGTAGCTGTAACTGGGGGAGCATTTCGAGGACATGGATTGCCAATCTTACGAGCGGAAGCAGAAATATTTGGAGACGAATTGCCTTCGATCATTAGTTGAAGTTGATGGCGCAACAGAATCATTCTCAAGACGCGCTTTCTTTACAGAGTCCATGAATCTATTGCCATGAAATTTCCGTTTCCTTACTCTTGAACCTTCCCTTGGCATCGTGAATATATGAATATATAATATCGAGATTTATGCAAATAACACAAATTACGCTTGACGAACGCTTGAGAGTTTAGAACACGAGAACAACACAATGAGTTTATTTAGCTCAAGAGACGCCTTCAGATCGTTAAAAGACCTTTCAGCGGGTGTGTTAGAAAAGCAGAAGGACTACTTCATATAGTATACAAAAAATCGTTCTCATTGGATAAAAAGAATGGCTTTCAGGCGGAGTTTTCAAACAAACCAGCTGTTGCTAAGGGCGTTGCTAAGGTAGAAAATAGCCAAAGGTTCAGGAATTTGCTTTTTTTTAGTGTGTTGTAGTATTCTATGCGCACTGAAAATTTCTGAGGCCATAGAGGAAGGCTGAAAGTACATATATTGACGGTCTTTGAAAATTCAAAAATTTCGAAGTCAAAGTGAAAATTTTAGTAGAGGACCCCCTAAAGCAAATATTAAAATATGACAATCGTGCGGTGAAGATGTCGGTAAACATCTCTGTTGTTTTGGTAAATATCGTTGGTTAATTTGTAATCGATTTGTTTAAACATTAAGTAGGTGCAATATAGGTTATTTGAATCCAGATTAGTCGGTTTTGTAGAACTTCATGTTGCATGCACGGAGAAATCCCTTCCCATGCAGGTGGTCCGTTGTTACAGAGGTACTTTCCCTTCTCCAAGTCCGGTCAGTTGAACGAAAGCTGGATAGCGTGGGCAGTTAAGACCAATTGAAAAACCACTATCGTCTTTCCGGTCGATAGCACTATCCAGCTTTCGCACAAATGCCGCCCATGGAATACAAGCATAGCCTTATAACAAATGAAAACCAAAAACGAAGCGTAGACCTAATCTCCAAAATAACATAATAAGCTAAAATCGTAGACTACGGTCTTTGTTTTAGAATGTTAAAACGCTTTTTAAGTTATTTAGAGGTGTACGACAATCGTATCATACATCCTTTATAATATATGCATGTCTATGTCTGGCTATGTATGTTTTTATCACGCAAAGGCCTCGCTATATATCGTAAAAAATAAAATTAAGCATCGAAGTTCGATTGCGTTTCCTTACATCTGCTAAATGTGTATCTGTTGGTACTTTCAGAGAAATCAGGAACTCTATGAATTGGTTACAAAATATCAATATGATATCTTGCAATATGGCAACCACATCAAAGAGTTGGAGGAAGCATTGGCTAGCAGTGAAATTGAGCTGGCAGCCAAGGTTAGTGATCTGGCAAAGAAAAACATGAAACTGGAGAGATCCATGAACGCGAAACAGGTTTTCTCTGAAAAGTTGCTGAAGGAAAACAAGGTTGTGGTCAATCATTATGAAGAAATAATTGATGAACTAGAAAGAAATAAGTCGGAGTTATCGAGACAAAATGAGGCAGAAAATGAAAGGAAATCTGTGGAGATTCAAATGTTGATGAATCAGCTGGAGATAACAGATGAAAGCAAGAAAAAGCTCAAATTTGACTTAAATGAGACCGTAAAAAAATGTTCAGATTTTGAAAAGAAGCTTAACGATCAAGTTCAAACTTTGGAGGAAAAGGAACTAAAATGGGTAGTGGAACGTTCGGAATTAACGTATGGAATTGTGAATTTGCGCTCACAAGTCGATGAGAAGAACGCCATAATAGACATGAAAGACGGGGTAAGTTTGTAGCAGCAGAACCATCTCTGAAACATAATCGCAGAAGACTTCCAAGCCAAAAAATCACCCACTGTCACCGACTGTCACCCACTATGAATACAACAGCCAAAATTGATTCTATTAGATTTTGGATAAATCACGCGAAATATGTTTTTTTATCGTTGTTCTTATATATAGGAATATCGTGGCCAGGTCGCAAGCAAGCAGCGTTTACAAGAAACGCTGGCCAACACTAGACAAGCGCTGGCCTACACTTTCCAAGCGCTGGTCGACAGTGAAGACAAGGTCGTAGCGTTAACTTTTCTGTGGGAAAATGCATCGGAAGATGCCCGAAGATATAAAAATCAGCAGAGAGCTAATGCAAACTACGAATCGCCTGAGCTTGATTAAGCAAACGTAAGACGGTAGGTCGTGTTTAGTTTCACTTCTGTTTTACAACTATAAACTTGTTTTGTTTAACTGATTAAATTATCGAATGATCAGTGCATGGTTAGATGTTATTAGTGGTTATGTACGACGTATTTTCGCTCTCACCGAAAATACGTCGGAGTATACAACCATGCAGGGTATAAATTATATGAGATGGTTTAAGCATGAACTATATGAAATATTCCGATGCCAATCAACCATAACTTAACCTCTAAGAATGACATGACTCTGAGAATTACAACCGCAATAGAATTCTCTTCTTTTTATTTCCTAGTGGTGATATTAGATAAGATTGAAGATTGTAGCAATCGTCTTGCAACTTGTTTTGAAGATTCGTCCGTACTTGTTCTCTCTCTCAACACCTTGTGAAGATGACGTATGCCGAGGCATGACAAAGGAACAGGGCAACTCATGGCTTAACCATATTTCTACGGTAACGACTTCATTAAAAAAGGACAAATGGTGATGTTCTTTCACATAATAACGCATACTGGAAAACCGACATTTACATGTAATCACTAAGTATATTTTTGGTATAAAATGCAGCATTCCTTAAGTTCATTTTGCTAAATTTTGAATAGAAACTTAGTTCTATAAAGTAGTGCATGTAATTTATCTTCTTTAGTTTTTATAAAATAAAACTATCGAATACATTATTCCTTAAAAAGTACATTGTTCTTTATTTTAACAAGTTCAATGGATCATGAAAAACGAACTCCAATTCTAAATTTAGCCAAGAGATTAAGAGAAAACGAGGTCTGGAGATTTTCTAAGTTATTGTGGAAAATTTTGAATATCTATGAGTCAGGTGATGAGTAATTTTCCATATATTGGCCGAGATCTCTTTAGCATCACATGATGTATTTGTTAAACATGGATGAAGGTTATATTGAAAGCCTATTTCAACTTATCGTTTGGTTTAGTAGTCGGGAAACAAGCAAACGCATGTCTTCAACATGCTATTGTTTTTGAAAAAAAGTCGTTAAATAATTTAAGATTTCTTCTTTCGTCTGTGATGTTTAATTTTGGATCTGGCGACTTTCATTATTTGCGACCTGAAAAGGTTAATTATAGGTTTAAAGTATAGTTTACATGCAATTATAGGTTTATTTCTAAGTTATGATCCACCAAAAAATCCATTTAAATTATGATTAACATTTTATTTTTTCATAATGGGCAATGTTTAAATAACTGTCTGAAATAAATATTTCAGTATTTGAGCTAGTATAACAGTATCTATCTACCGAATCTGACACTGAGGAAAAAACACGAAACTTGCTGCATTACGGAAAGCTATTTGGCTTAATTATTTCATCGCTGGCATCTGCTGTAATTTTGCATCAAACTATATGTATTTTCATCTCAGAAATGGCAGATACAAGTCAATAATAAATTTGAAAGTAAAGTATGTAGTTGTGATTCAAATTTTTCTGAATGGAACTCGAACATTAGCAAGTCCAGTTAAGCTGTTTTTGTAAATAGTCTGTAGAACTGCTATACTTAATTTTATTGCATGATCGATTATTGAAATTTTTCCTAGTACTAATAAACCTATAATAATTCAAATTTGATTTCTAGTTAGACACACAAAGAGGCCTTCCTGCATATGCATATTGACTGCTCAACCCAAGAACTACCCCGGGAATTTTTAAAGAATATATACGATTGTTACCTTTTAGACATACAAATATTACCATAACATTGACTGGGAGGCGGGCACGTTGAATACGTACAGAATGAAGTCGGTGGGGGAGGGGGAGGCGGTGGTGGAGGAGGTGGGGCTATTTAAAGAAAGAAAAAAATTTTAGCACGAAATTTCAGGCTTTTTTAAGGCCGTAATTACATGTGCCGAATGCATTTAGGCAGTTGTAAAGCCTCATAAATTGACAGGCATTTTACTTACGCATTGAGCAGGTCTGTCCATCTCCGATAAGCGGGAAAAGACAAACACACGTCCCTTTCTTACACGTGGCCTGGGAACTACAGCTGTCACAACCACTGTCCGAGTCTAAGAAAGGATTCAATATAATCAGAAAAGAGCTTAGCAAAGAGACACAGAAACTGTGTAATTCTTATTCTTATGTATGTTAATACAACTGCAAGTTTAGAACGCAGTAAAATTAATGTAGTGGGCAAGATTCGGTGAAAACTGTGAACTGTGAACCCTACCTTTTAAACATTCGTATCCATTTCCTATGTAACCCGTCCTGCACTTGCAGTGACCGCTGACACATATTGCATGCGGATCACATTTTTCACATTCGTCAACTAAGAATTATAGAAAAAAAAAGGTACAATAGGAGCAGGTTGTTTCGAACAATTTTAAATGCTTTAAATCTGCGCATGCTCACTTACTTTCACAATGAGGTCCTTTGAATCCTGTGGTGCAGATGCAATCGTATCCAGGCCCGTTCTCACGACATGTCCCAGCATTTTGACACGGGTTAGGGTGGCACTGAGACTTGGGAGCCTGGGCTTGAACTATGGAGAAAAGTAAGCAGAATTCATATCTTGTACTCGCAAAATCTGATTACCTGGAAAAGGTAAAGTCCTGGTACTGTTTTTTACCTTGACAATAATCGCCAGAGAATCCCTGTGGACATTGACAGTTCGGTTTGTTTGCCGTTACGGAACAAACACCATTGTTCTTGCAAGGGTTAGGACTACAAGGATCCGCTGCACCAATTGACTGAGTGTCCTCTGATAAAATATAACATTATTGTACCAATGTACTGGCTGAATAACTAATAAATGATCTCAATATACTCAACAAAAGCAACAACGTTTCATGGTTTTATTTTGATTGACTAATAAACTAAAAAGATATATTAAAATACGATAGCTTGCCAACTGCAGGTGGAAAGTATAATCTATTACCATCTCCATAGTTTTCATTGCGGAAAAGCAAACTCGGCTTACTCAGGAAGTTCTCACACAGTGTTTGTATTATACAACAGACAGTAAAATGTTGAAAATAATGATGCAATAAATGCTTACCTTGTTCACAAAATCTCCCGTCATAACCTTCGGGACACTCACATCGTCCTGGTTGGCGACAAACACCGCCGTTTTTACATCTGTTAGGAGTACATGGATCTTGGGCTGAAGACGAAAAAAAGTTTAAAGGCAACGAACTCAACACTATTCTGTTAACTCATAAAGGAGAAACGTGGCACCAACCTCCTCCTCGTTCAATTTCGCATCGTTTCTCAGCAGTCTCGAGGTAACCGTCATTACAAACGCAACGACCTTGTTCACAATGAGCATTCTCAGGACATTTGGCACATCTGTCAACTTTGGAGGAAACAAAATATCTTTAACAAAAGGTATTACTGCAGGTAAATAATCTTATAGAGGTTTTGCATAACTGGTGCCCAAACATTCATTTAACCAGCAAATATAGCATTTGCAAGTTGGAGCATCTAAATTAAACATTCAATGAGAGTTATAACTCTCATTAGGTGAATAATATCAGCCTGATAACATTTTACAGACTCGTTTCATACCTTCACAAACCTTTCCTTCAAACTGCATAGCGCATGCGCAAACAGCGGCATTGTTTTCCTCCCGACAAGTCCCGCCATTTCGACAAGGGTTGGGATTGCAAACGTCACCTTCTAAAATCATGAAAGATGTCAATTTAGCATTAGTTTGTTGTGTTAATAAACATTAAAGCTACTACGAGGGAGGGAAATTCGTGGTTCCAGGAGAAAACTATGAAATCAGGCTGAACTTGGTTGACGTGCGTCAATAGTAGATATTTCTCAGTTGTGTTGGGGTATTGCATGCACTGATGATTCAGCCATGTCAACAAGCTATGTCAAGCAATTTAAGAAATTGTGGAAAGGATTCGATTTTACCTGAGCAATCGTCGCCTTTGAATCCTCGCTTGCAGGAACACGAGTATGCTTGAGTTGACGGGACGCACACACCTTCATTCTTGCACGGATTTGGAAGACAAAATTGACGAACTGAAAAACAAACAACATAGGTTCTCAATATTAGCAGATCTAATATTCCAAACCATTATTACCTCATTCAAGGATTCGTACTGATAAGTATTGAGAAGCAAGATTTTCGTCAGCTGCCGTGTGCCAGTCCAACAAGAAGTGTTGCAAGATGATAGTTTGCCAACCAAGACAAGAGTTGCATGATAATATTCTTTTAGGATTGCATGGCGAACAATATTAAGCTGCATTTACACACCGGAAAAATTTCCTCGAAACGGAATTCATTCGGAAATATTTTATTCGGAAAGTCATTTAAACGTTTTTTCATCAGAAAAAATCTTGCATTCGGAAAATTTTCCTCCAAGGAATTTTTTCCTGTGTGGCCACTAGACGACGAAGACGAAATTGGTACACAAAACATAGCCCTTGTTGAGCGTACCACCTCTAGAGGTAAAAAAGACCGAAGTGAAGCACCAGCCAGCCCCTGCAGCTTCCTAGACAAAACCATGGCAGAAAAGTTTCTATAAATTGGCAGCAAATTGTCACGTTCTATCAGCATTGATGAGGTCTCCTACAAAAGATCGCCAGAGCCAGCTCAGCCTTCGGCAGACTCAGAGAGAGAGAGAGTGTGCGGAAAAAAAGAGGGATCAGCCTTCAGACCAAGCTAAATGTGTACCGTTCAGTCGTTTTCCCTTCCCTGCAAAGCCTGTGAAACATGGACGTTGTACAGTCGGCACGACAAGCAACTCCCTCCACATGCGATGCCTCCGGAACTAGCCGGACATCAAATGGCAGGTCAAACTGCCGGAGACAGAGGTACTCCAGAGAGAGAAGATGGAGAGCATTCGCGCGATATCGCTCAAGCGCTCTCAACTAAGGTGGGCAGGGCACGTACTCTGGATGTACGTACTCTGGATGCACGTACTCTACGAACGCAGAGCAGCTGCTCTATGGAGAACTGAAGGAAGGCAAGCGCTTCCGTGGAGGTCAAAGGAAGCGATACAAGGAAACTCTGAAAGCCTCCCTGAAATACTGCAGCATCAACTCTGACTTCTAGGAAGAAATTGCACAAGATCTCTCCCCAGCTGCTTTACTGGTGTGTCAGGATACGGAGCCTGGCGTGTGGAGGGGCAGGAGCAGAAGGGCGCCAGTGTCGTAAAAGCAGACCGAGCTCTGCCGTACCACCTCTCAAGCTGATCCTTCGGCATATCCTTCTCTCTCTCTTCTTCAATTTCTCCTGCTATAGGAGAAATTGTGGTTCTCTTCGCTCGCAAAGGACGCATATCATCAACTCTAGAGGCATCGTGTCCAATCAGTTTTTTTTAGAACCGCCATGTTTTATTTAACCTACGCTCCAAACATATAAACTGGCAGACAACACTTCCGAGTCCTCAGTCTGAAATCAACCTAATTAATACTGCAAAGCTCGGGCCTTCATCTGACGAAGATCCGGGCTAATTATAACCCCTTCTGTAGGCTAACCCCTACATAAAGCTTTACATTAAATATAGTATAGTATATACCTTCAAACTGTCAAGTATTGTTATTAAATAGCATAGATGGAATAACTTCAAGATCTTTCCGCAACCGTGTTTAATTTGGCCATAACTCACCCTGACAGAGAGGTCCAGTGTAACCAGAAGGACAGTCGCAATCAAAGCTTTCACCCGCCTCAACACATTTTCCAGAATTCTTGCATGGATTAGGATGACAAACATTTTCTAGGGAAAAAAGACATGTGATCGAATTATGATTGCATCAGTTTTGCCATATGGTAATCACGAGAACCACCTGCAGACAATAGGCCTTTCCTATAATGACGTCAAACGCGGAAAGTCTGATGTTACACGAAATTTGATTGGCTCCACAAAACTATCGAGCCAATCAAACTTCGTGTAACATTATACATTCCGCGTTTGATGTCATTATGGAAAAGGTCTATTGACCTAACTATAATATGTTAATCGCGATGTCTGAAATATCGCTGTTCAAAAACAAGAGTGTGTTTGCAGGACCGTGTATGATCAGACACCTTTTCGACAGTAACAACAGCCTTGAAAGAACCTTCGATCGCCGAAACTGCATATCAGATCTAACGAAATCATTCGCGAAAAAGGCTGTTTAAGGCCATCAAGCAGAAAACAGACGGACTCACAACGAGAGTGGGCGATATGCACATATTTAATTGCGACACTGACCGAGTCATTTCCTGTCAATATTGTGTTTCAAAAGGTCAATAATAGAAAGCATGAGCATGTCTTGCAATTTTCGAGCAGTTTTCACATGAAGAAAAATCCACTCCGAGAAATTTTATTCCCAAATATCCCATTCCCCTGCATACATGTATAAAACCACATGATAAAACCATTATATTGCACTGACATGAAATCCCTCCAGCCTGCCTAAGAGCTCAGTGGTCTCGTGGTGGGAAAAACCCTAAACGTCAGCGTTTTTCCGGTACAAAACAAGTTATAAACCTGTTTAGTAACCTGTATAAAAGGTTTTGTTTTACATCATCGGTGGCGGCGTAAGCTGGGTCGTATAACTCCAACGATCGGCGAAGTATACTCAATCGGCTAAATTCAACAGAGCTATGAAAAATAGAAATGAAACACCAAACGTCTTGAGAGAATAAATGTAACGATAGATGTATGAATGGATCTGGTTTGGTTGGGAGACCATGGCATGAAAATAATTGCTATTCAACAGAGCTATGAAAGATAAAATGAAGCACAAAGACCTGAGAGAATAAATATGATGGATGTATGGATGGATCCGGTTCGGTTGGGAGACCATGAAAATCATTGCTATTCAACAAAGCTATGAAAGATAGAAATGAAACACCAAAAGACTTGAGAGAATAAATATAATGATGGATGATAAGTTCCAATATAACCAAGGAGCAGCGTGGCAGCGTCTTCAAACAAGTATAGCCTAACTCTCCTGACGAAGGCCCTCAGGTCGAGACGTCGAGAAGTGCTTTTCTATTTTGGCAGTTGTTATACCACATTTGATGCTATAATGATGGATGTATGGAAGGATTCGGTTCGGTTGGGAGACCATGGAAAATAGTACCACGTGACGTAACAAGTTCGCGAGAAAGTGTTTATTTCAACGAGATATTCGGGTTTGGTTTTCAAAGCTTTTCAAGCATTATTATCGATACCGTGTCGCGTGTTATAGAATACGGCATATTACATGTACATATACAGGCGTTCGAGAAATTTTTATCTATCGAGTATGTTAATCTTTAAACGTGTTCAACAGGTTTATAAACAGGTCATCCGGTCAGGTTTTCATTGTTTTGAAATGAGGAAGCACGCAAAAATTTCTTTGACAAAATATTTAACTCTTTTAATTTCGAAAACAATCTCTCCTTTTAAGTTAAAATGGATACATGACAATTTTGAACAAATCAAATTTTAACTCGGTTATTTGAAATGCACGCAATTACGGTGTCGGTTTCTTAGTAAAGCTGCGGTGATTGTTCGCCTCTGTTGAGTTGTGAAAGCACATATACTCGATCTTTTGTCCGTTTATTACTTCTAACCATTGCTGGGATGAAATGTTTAGTATCGTCCGCAGACACGGAGTCAGAGGTGTTGGCAGAATATTGTTACTCCTACGCTTGCGACATTCGAGAAGTTTCCATAGAGATGGGTAAAAAATAATCATTGACCTTTCAGCCTGCATGCCCGATCCAATATTATTTTATCCATAATGTGATATTATATAATGTGATATAATTATACCATAACACACGTGAACGAAAATTTTATATCATAGGCGGCCCAAATTTGCGTGATAAATTGAACGCGAGAAATATTTCCATTATTTCGGCAAGTAAAAAACTATAAATATTTCAACTGGACGGTCACAGCATGTCTGGGCCAAAGGATTTAGATAAACTAACCGCAAATGATCTTAAACAAACTATTGTCAATCCACAAAGCGAAATCGACGCAAAAAATGAAATACTGAAACAAATATCAGAGCTGACAAGAATTTGCAACAAGGTGAATGAATTTCAGCCCACGACATCTTCCCGTGATATTGAAGCCGTGGCGAATATTCACGCCAGTTTGAAGGAGAAACTTGGTATCGGCCCTCAAACGGCTTTGGATATCGATACCGTTAATTCTGGGGTTTCAAGAAACGATTCCGACGCGGTTACCGAAAAAAATACAGAGTTAGAGGAAGGCTCAGAGCCTGATGTAAGTATGAAATAAAATATATAGACCATAGTACTTTGCCATCGTTAAAATAATACTTGCAACATTTTATAACAGCTTTTAACTATAGGAAATAAATCTATGATAGGTAAACTGAGATTAAAAGACGAAAAATATTTCAAATAAGCGAAAATCTTATTATATAAGCTTTAAGACTAACATTTAAAGATATTTGCAGAAGCGGAAATTATATTTTGGCATGCTAATGGCTGGAGATATGTAACAAATAACAATACGTTACTTCTTTAATATATCTCTAGTCACTGATAAAATGAATTATAACGCTATCTATGTCACTATGAGGGCGATGAGGCTAAATAGGGTTTAATTTCCCCTATATTTCATCTCAAATAGATAAAATGGAAGATAATTAACGTTTGCTCCCATGAAAAGGGAAAACCCCTTTCCCCCAAACCGCTGAATATGGAACGACAAAGCGGGTGCTTTTACGAGCAATTTACCAAATAAAAATTTGTAAATGTGAAAAATCGTGACTAGTTATACAGATGTATACATACAACGGTCACTTTTAAGTTAAATCTAGTTTAAAATTTGCTAAAGGCCAACAATTTATTTCTATAATTTAAAAATATGATAAGGTATATTCAGAAAAGGAAATATTGTTTTACCAAAAGGTTCTACTATGCCTATGTTGTATGACAATTAATGTATGTTTCTCTATAGGCAATTCGGGAACTCTATGAAATGGTTGTAAAATTATTGGAGGAAATCGTGCAAAGTGCCCACTATATCAATGAGTTGAAAGAAACATCAGCCAGCAGAGAAACTGAGCTGGTTTTGAAGGTTAGTGTGAATTTAATATAAATCTGCCATGCGTAATCCTTTAACTCTTTAGCTACCAAAAGGGTCGTTAACGACCCTGCTGGGATTTATGTGGATATTTTACCCATATTTGAGGACAAAAAGGGATTGAAAGGGTCTCTGCACTATAGTTAACATATATTGTAGCTAACATGAAGTTCTTCACGTTTTATTTCGAAATTCTTAGTATTCTCAATAAATCTTGTTATTTTTCCTTCGCCATGTTGGATTTACAAAATGGTGGCAAGTTCTCGTTGGCAATTAGACGAAATTTTAAGCGAAATATTAGTTTCTGATCGGGAATTTTACAGAGAAAATGAATCTTTTGCATTTGAAGACTATAAGGAAGCATTAGACATAGGAATGAGTGCAGTTACAACTCACTAACGACGACAATGTTTTACTCTTGAGAGAAGCACCAAGTCGTCATCCTAAGTGTGGAAGATGTGCATCTTGGAGGTACAAGAAAGTCGAAAATTAAACATTTAAGCACACAAAAACTTTAAACTATTGCATAAAGTGTGATAGGTTTCTCTGCAAAGTTGTTTTGAGTTCTTTCATATAAAAAAAATGTGTAAGGTAGATTTATTATAGAACAATGTAAAATAATTCCAATTTGGGAAGAATGTGATGACACATTATTCAGCCATAACTGGCCGCTCGTTAACTTATGTATACAGATAACCCATTTTAATTATTCCGGTAGGGATAGGACATTGATATTTTGATGCATTTGTAGGGATATTGTGCATCATTAATTATTTATAGGGAAAGTAATTTAAATTTTTAGTTTTTCTAGCATAAAATTTTATTATTTGTAAATAAGCACATGACTTGTGACATCATACCTTGTTAATTAGCATAAAAGTGAATGCATATAATTAAAGACCTTGTTCTGCAGATTCTAAATATATATAGTTTTGTATATCTAACTGCACTAAAATACCCATTATAAGTAACTCTATGTAACTTCCCAAAAATTTCAAAAATCGGAAAAAATTATCTTGGTAGCTAAAGAGTTAAGCACTGATGATTTCAAAATGTCCTTCCCTGACATTCACCTGAAAAGCTGAAACAATCCAGAATGCTGTCAAATTTCACGTGTGACCACTTTCACATACAACCACTTTGTGCCGGACTATGTCTGAGTGGAGATCATGAAAGAAATGTATAGGATTACAGGCGAATCATTATAGGGGAACACTGATATCATGTATATGTCTATCGTGTCTCTAAAGCGCCTACGACAGCCACGTATTTAATAGTTCATCTACATGCAATATATAACTTTTCCCACTTTGACTTTATAAGTAAATTAGCTTGTATCAAACAATTTACATCGAAATATTTCAGCTCAGTTGTTCAATAAATAAATAATTTTGTTTTTCATTTTGAACTTAGGGGCTGTTTACATGAGCCCGGTTACCCGAGATTCAACGAAGCGTGAGAGGACTTTGAGGTGTTGAAATAAGTCTTTATGACACCAAACAAGCACATGCTATTGTTATGGTGATTATACGACTGCCAGGATCATGTCATCTGCTCATTTCAATACCTCAAAATCATCTCACGCTTCGTTGAATCTCGGGTAACCGGGCTCATGTAAACAGCCCCTATCTACCGTTTAAGCTAAACGCCTTTCGAACAACCTGATATTTTTGTGCAGTACAATTTATTTAAAGACTTCATTCTCAGTGGGGATTAATTGTCCCAAAAAATAATAATAAAGATAGTTCACTGATCCATTTAGATTATGTTGTGAACTAAGTCTCTAAACTGTACGACAAGAGTTATTTCAAAATATAATGCGGCCATCAACAATGTTATAATGTCAACGCCATTATCACTGAGATGAATACAAAAGTAGATTCAATTCAAGTGTCATTTTCTTCTCGGCGTATCCCGAGAAATCTTTTCATTTTCACAATATTTTGAGATTATACAGTAAACATACTTTATAGATGCTTTTTAGGTTTGCAAAACATTTTTAATGTTGAAAATTTTAGTACTGTTGCATGTAGATAAACCTCGTCATGTTACAATCTTTTGACAAGTTTTTTAGAAACTGTTCTAATAATGCTTGATTTACACTCTGTATACAAAACATAAGGAAACCCACCAGAAAAAGTCCGTTCAAAGTTTCCAATCACGATGTACAAACAGTAAATTTCGTCTGGAACTGATGGAAGTCATGCAGAGATTCATCACGGTGCCTGTTGCTATGATAATCGTGTTGCTATGCATAAGTTACATGATATTATGTTGCTAGACATATGCATGTATGTTAATTAATGTACACAATCATGCACATTCACATACACCCACAGCCGTTTAAGCATTAAATTCAAAACGACAAATAGCAAACGTGAAACATGCACAGCAAAGCTGAATTTGGTTTTTGACTGCATACATACATCAACAATGCACGGCCTTTGCTCTTACATCACTGCTGAATATAACGAGTTCTATATGTACCACGTTTATGATTTAACGTTTGTTGCACACTCTAAGATAGCGTTTCCCTATATATAATTCGCGAATATATACGCGTCTGAACGCAAACTGGTGTTACGGGGTTTACAAATTTTTATCCCTATAATATTGTACCCTATACAATATTATACAATATTATTGTACAATATTAAATGTGTATATATATATATATATATATATATATATATATATATATATATATATATATATATATACACATTTTGAATGAAGCATGCAAACGGGGAACTACCTTTCCCACAAATCCATTCGGGCCTGGTATCTTTAAACCTGTTAATCGTGTTCTTAACGCAGGTTTGACATCTTATACAGCGCCTGGCGCTACACTAATGTGAAACAGAAATACGTGGTCCGGTAACTGTTCCTTGCCTTTGCCCATACTTCAAACACGGACGTAATATATATAATATATATATATATATATATATATATATATATATATATTTATTTATGTGTGTGTGTGTGTGTGTGTGTGTGTGTGTGTGTGTGTGTGTGTGTGTGTGTATGGTTTAGATCTTGTGTCCAAACATTGCTAAATTCTAGCTTCAGAGAATGTGCCACTCTATATATTATATTTTTGAGTGAAAAGGTGAAAGACCTTAGACCTATTTATCGCCGTAATTATGGGCGAAATTTTAAGCAATGTGGGACGCAAGATGAAACAGCTCCTGCAATAAAGCAGCCGCAGCAAACTGATTTCGATATTGAAGGGATTAATCTCTGGATTTCGAAAAGGAATTTATTTAGTTCTGAGAGATTGAGATAAAATATCAAATTTATGCAATACTCATCATGTGAGACGACGTTGAAACTTGAAAATCTCATGCATACGTAACTATTATTCTAGAATTACAAATTGTAAGTGAAATGCTGCGAGTGAATACACGTAGAGCCTTTATCTTCCCCCAGTCATCTCTTTGGTAGTCTTCGGGATAGTAATGCAAATATTGCGTGTCAAAAAACTTGATCTTGTTTATACTATGATAAACGTATACAATATTATATTGTGACTATGCTGATGAGAGATGTCTCTCCCTATCGACTGAACGTTTATGCAATACTCATCATGTGACTGATGTGAGACGACGTTGAAACTTGAAAATCTTATGCATACGTAACTATTATTCTGGAATTACAAATAGTAAGTGAAATGCTGCGAATGAATACACGTAGAGCCTTTTAGATCTCCATGTAGTCATCTCTTGGGTAGTCTTCACGATAGTAATGCCAATATTGCATATCAAAAAACTTGATCTTGTTTATATTATGATAAACGTATACAATATTATATCGTAATTGTGCTGACACGAGAGAGTTCTCTCCCTTTCGACTAGTGTTTTTAGCCGCTGATGCAAGCAACGTGCACGTACGTGCTAATATGAAGCATTGCGCATTCGAATGGCATGAAACCGCAGTACTATGGTACGTGGGCTCAAAAATCATCCTGACAAACAAAAATCGCAGAAATCGAAGTGCAATGTCAAGAATATAGACAGATACGGTGGCCCACAAATGCAAACACAACGCAATATTAACTAAGCACGACGGTGTATTTAGTAAAGCTCAACAGCAAGTAAACTCGAAGAAATATCCATCGGCCTATCACAACACAATATTTGCAAAACACAACAATAAATTCATGAAACACAACACAATATTTGCAAAACACAACAATAAATTCATGAAACACAACACAATATTTGCAAAACACAACAATAAATTCATAAAACACAACACAATATTTGCAAAACACAACAATAAATTCATAAAACACAACACAATATTTGCAAAACACAACAATAAATTCATAAAACACAACACAATATTTGCAAAACACAACAATAAATTCATAAAACACAACACAATATTTGCAAAACACAACAATAAATTCATAAAACACAACACAATATTTGCAAAACACAACAATAAATTCATAAAACACAACACAATATTTCAGTGCAAAACACAACAAAAAAATCCTTAAACACGACACATGCAGCCACGACGTGTTATACTGAATGAGGTTATCACTATAAAATACAATTAATTGTAAAAGAAAAATTCTTAAAACAATCGAGGAGGACATATTGACAGCAGAGATGTAGCTCGTTTATGTAACAGAATGGATGGGAGTATACAATGTTTGTACTGCTCTCGGGAGTTAGAACTAACCTCAATGAACTTTTGTCCAGAATGTGGATCTGCTGTAAACAAGGAAGAACTTCTTATACGCTATTTTCATCGTGTAGTTATTCGTCAATTATTTTGTTTTTAAATAACCGGCACGAGATCGAAATTTCTATTCGAACTCTGCAAAATAGGCTGTCAGAATATGGGTTGAAAAGAAGAGGTACAGATACCCCCAATGCAGTCGTTTATGAAGCAGTCCAACAAGAATTAGATGGTCCTGGATGTATGAGAGGGTATCGTGCGATGTGGCACAGTCTCCGTCTAAAATATGGAATTCAAACGCCCAGAAATAATGTCGAAAGAATTCTGCGCGAAATCGATCCAGAGGGAACCGAATTAAGAAGAACTCGTCGACTTAGAAGAAGATCCTATGTAAATCCTGGGCCTAACTTTGCGTGGCATGTAGACGGGTATGACAAGCTAAAGCCGTATGGTTTTCCGATTCACGGTTGTGTGGACGGGTTTAGTCGTCGTGTTATGTGGTTGAAGGTTTGTCGAACAAACAACGATCCATCACATGTTGCATCGTTTTTCTACGAGTGCGTGAAAATAACCAATGGTTGCCCAAGAATATTACGAACTGATTGCGGCACCGAGAACGGAGTCATGGCTTCAATGCAGTGTTACCTTCGTGCCCCAGGAAATGACAACCAAGCAGGTTTAAATGCACATGTATATGGATCGTCGCATTCCAATCAACGCATTGAAAGATGGTGGTCATTCCTTCGCCACGACAGATCCACATGGTGGATAAATTTCTTAAAGGATTTAGTGGAAAGAAATGTTGTTAATACCGCAAATGAAACAAGCATGGAATGCCTTTGGTTTTGTTTCAAAGATATTTTACAGGCAGATCTTGATTCGGTAAAAGATAATTGGAACAGCCACTATATCCGCAGATCCCGATATGACACCATCCCAGGGAGGCCAAACGAGCTGTATTATTTACCTGAAAATAGCGGCTACCAAGATTACAAGTGTGTCGTTTCTGAAGAAGACCTTTGCGATATGGCTGAATACTGTGAATTGTATGATGACGATGATGGTGATGATAGCATATATGATGAATACTTTAGTTATCTCGTGGAAAACAATAATTTAACACTACCATCAAACTGGAGGGAAGCATTATTGTTATACAATAACTTGATGCATTTCGCATAAACACCACTGATCGATGTACTTATATATGCGAACATTACAATTTGTAATTTACAATTAATTAATAATATCATTTTTGAAGAAAACATCGCCTCATCGACGACGCAGGCTAATCTCGGGTGGAAGAAAATTAGTTTCATACTCGTTGAATCAAAAATGGATTTTTTTAAATTTGAATAAAACAACTTACAACTATTCACAACCGTATGACATAGCCATAAGCATAGTAATCAGTTAAGTAACTTGTAACTATATACATGTATGTGCAACCAGCAGGACTAAAATGGACACACCCCATAACTATATCTCTTATATTAGGAAATTTCCGTGGCCAAAAAAATTTTTGGAATACAGTCACTGCAAACTAGACGTTGGTTTTAATCCTGCTGAAGCTCAATGCGAATAAAAAACATTTTAACATAACACAACTTACATAACTATACATATAACTATACATTTGCATGCAATTATGCATATAGTCAAAAAAGTTAGTTATAAACAATCATTGAAAAATGCAAAAACGAACAAACTTTACATAGGCTAGATGTACATCCTGCGTTCTCAATTATGCATAGCCAAAACCTTTAGTGTTAAGAAAAGCTAATGTTAGATCCTTTTTGAAGTCGTCATATGTGCTATGGACTACTGGCAAGTGTAATTCACATGAGCAAGTGTTGGCCTTTGGAAATTTAGAGAGCAAACCATCTTTTTCTGGCGCATGGAGGAAACACAGCTCCAAAGACAACCCTAAAGGGGGAAGCTCTTTACATCCACAAGCAAAGAAAAGAATGTCCGGGAAATCCAACCCACCAACTACTTTCTCTTCCACATCTTGTAAGAAGTCATTCCAATGCGATAAAACTAAACCTTCCAGAGCAGATTTATTTGAACCTTCTTCACTTCGCAAGACAGAAAAGATAGAGCCGAATGTATCAGCACTAAACTCTGTACTTGAATAACAAAACACACTTTTAAACTGTGTATAATGCACACATCAAAAACACCAAGAACACTAAGACCTGCTTTAAACCTCTCAAGGGATGCTTGCACCCTCTCCAATACAAACCAATGAGCAGTTTTTTTAGCAACATTAAAAACATCTTCTTTTGTCTTAAGCACCTCAAGGGTTCCAGCAAGATCAAAAATTGTTTCTAAATTGCTGTTTGATATTACAGTTTGAGCTTCTTCAACTGTTGGGGAACTTACAAAAGATTTAAGAGAGCCTTGTAGCTCAAAATCATAGACATCTTCTACATCTACAGATGCTCTCTGCACCCCAATTGTCAATGCATCATAGAGAGACTGACTGAAACATCTGGGACCAGGCCCACCATGTACTACTGACATTGCTATAAGCTGACCAGCATGAAAGTAAAAGTCATTATTCAGGTAATTGGAATTAATTGACAAACACTTTCCCTTTCACTACCACAAAACAACTGAGAGCATAACATCCACTCAATAATGAGAGTGAAGAATTCTCTCATCGGCCCCCAGAATCGACAGCTCCTTCAGCATTCCCAACATCATCTGTGAATTTGACAGAGACCTTGTTTGCTGGAGAGAATGTCTTTCTGCTTAGGCCTCTTACAGCCCCTTCCCAAATATGACTTCGACTTATATTAAACTTGGATATTTCATTGGAGTTAATTTGAGTATTTAAATTTGAAAGTATGTCTTGCAAAGATTTGTCATCATCTGTAATCTCCAATGGTACTGCTGGGTCCTGTAAATATTCGCTTTCTGAATCACTCCAATGCATATTCTCATCAAAAAGCAAAGATGCATACAGCAAGTCATCATTAGCAGTAAGCAACATCATTGTATCAGATGAAGATGCATCAATTTCATTACTTTGCACAATATTATTATTGGAACTAGAGCTCTTATCATGTTGTTGTGTTGCGCCATAACTTGGTGGTACACTGTTACTAGAATTGATTCTATCAAGTTGTCTTTCAGAATCTGAATCAATTTCAATGGGACATTTACCATCATCACTATAGGGAAATGAGGCCATATAATTAGCATGAATGACCTTGATTGAAGTACTATATACATGATATATTATTGCTAAAATATTAACAATTTTATTTTGATTACCTGTTTTGTGGACCAATATATCCTGCAGTGTCATTTTCTTTTTGTTCCTTTTTCCTAGTAACATTAATTCAATGTTAGTTATTTAGTGTGACAGAGTGCTGCTACATACATCCATGAAGCTAGTGATTAATCTTGTAATTATTTTAATCACCAAATTAGCCATAAAGCAATAATTGGAAAAAACAACCTAAGTAATTCACTTTTTTCATAATTAAACAAAGTGCTAAAAGGAGAGGGGCCTGATGGCAATTAACTAGCCTCTAAACAATAGGCAACTTCAGTTGTAACTTTTGGGGTGCATAATTGTTAATTAATTTATATATTACCAATTATATGTCATTTCAAGTCATCATAAAGACTAGCTTTTTTTTTCATATTATATAGTACACCTTTTGTCTCAGTAAAACCACACTGAATATTGCTCAACCTTTATTCTGCAAATAATGAACTTCTCAAATGATTTAGGTCACGTGTTCTACAGAAAGTTGACTATAAAACACGTGTTTTATAGCCTCCTGGCTGCACCTTGCACAGGCAGCACTTCCCCTTACCTCATTAGGGTCAAAACCTGGGATTTTCCAATTTTATAGAAATATATTTTATTAATTTACCTGACATTTTGATCACGATCATACTGATGGTGATCATCACTGCCAATGTCTTCTGAATTCATATTGTCGGGTTCATCAGGACATAAATATAATGTAATTCTATTATATGGCTTCCCCAAGTCTTCTTTATACTTCCTCAATGTGAATTCTTCTTCTTGTCCAGGAAGAGTTGAACAAGGTTGGCCGTCAGGGTATACTAGGTTCCAACTCAATTTGGTATCAAATGATTTATCATATGCCTCCCGTTTTGTTAGCGCCATCGTGAAAACTTCTGCATAGGGGGCATCTTTTTTAACTTTCAGTGGCAATGATTTTCCCCGAACTGGAGTTGTTGTATCAGCGCTGATGTATTTCATTAATCCAATGTTTATTAAAGCAAAAGGTTCTGTATCTTTTGACTTTTTTTTAGTCTTGGACGACGTTCTGAAATGTGTCGATCTTTCTTGCCTTTTTTTTGCAGCAAACTGCTCAAAAGTGAGACATTTTATGTCTTTTTTACCGTCTTTTTTGGAAGAGACCTCCCCCTTTTCCACTGCTTTATGCCCACAAGTAGGGCAAAATTTATTTGTTGCCTCCGTGGGTCTGCCACATTCTGAGCAAAACATGGTTTAATATACTATTTTCGGAAAGTAAAAGCAAGTCGAAGTTCGGTTCACTGGTTCGCCATTGGATATCGTATTATTAATAATTTATTATACATGAAGTATTACATTTGTTTTGCAAATATTGTGTTGTGTTTTATGAATTTATTGTTGTGTTTTGCACTGAAATAATGTGTTGTGTTTTATGAATTTATTGTTGTGTTTTATGAATTTATTGTTGTGTTTTGCAAATATTGTGTTGTGTTTTATGAATTTATTGTTGTGTTTTGCAAATATTGTGTTGTGTTTTATGAATTTATTGTTGTGTTTTGCAAATATATATTGTGTTGTGTTTCATGAATTTATTGTTGTGTTTTGCAAATATTGTGTTGTGATGGGCCGATCGATATTTCTTCGAGTTTACTTGCTGTTGAGCTTTACTAAATACACCGTCGTGCTTAGTTAATATTGCGTTGTGTTTGCATTTGTGGGCCACCGTAGACAGAGCTAGTCGCTTCGCTCGCAGGAATTAATGCAGTTAATCTACTAGGCTATACGACGTCAAAACACAAACCAGTTCAAATCTTATCGAATCCTGATGTCTCAATCGTTTCATGTAGGAAAACCGACAACTAAATGAATTAGTCGCAACCTTGCGATGTGATATTTCTCAACGCGACCGGCAGATCAGAGAGTTGGGAGAGAAATTAGAGGACTATGCCGTGACAAATGACAACCTTCGGGAGCAGAATATTGAAGGTCGGGATTTCGCCGAAAGTTTATTGGCAATCAACAGAGAACTTAACGATATACAAAGAACCACAAACCATCAAGTACCAGACCTTGATCAAACGAACGTGAGTCGTATTTACTATAATCAAAGGGTACGTGGACATAAAAGCCCCAACAAGTGTCTAAGGTTATCGGCACTTATAGGCCCCGGAAGTTTTGCCCTGCGTCTCGTTCAACCACTCTAAGGCGGGCATTTCATGGTTCATTTAAAACTTAACACATCTTTTGGGATTTAGGAACAACTCAGCGTTGATCAATCCCCTTCAGCCAGCTTTATTAGAGTCAAGGAGAGAGAGAAACAACTTCTAAGAAAAACCGGGACCGTATGGAGGCAAATCACAGCTGGCATAAACGAGCTGGCATATTGCCAAAATAAATGCAAAGCAATTAACTTGGAGTTGCAAAAATCTGCGGAACAGATCTCGTCATTGCAACGGACGATTGAGAGTTTGCGCTCAGAAATTGCTGAAAAGGATGCAAGGATCGCCCTGATGCAGGATTTAGTAAGTTTTTGTTAATCACATAATAAGTGGATGTTTAACAACAAAGAAGACAACACAGTTTTCTGTTTTTTAGAATACGAGTCAGAGTTCTCAGGATGCCAATAGTGGACCGGGTACATCCAGAAGCTGTGCTCACGTAAGTTTGAGATTTTGCGCCTTTAAGACAAACGTTATTGTGTATTATTAGGCATTTAGTGAGCTGATATATTCACATTTGTTTAGGATAGGACCAACAGAGGTTATCGCGACTTCACTCTTCCAAGATTTCGGTCGAACGCTCCCAATGTGAGTTGAGAAAAATCTATACAACTTTTTTTGCAGTTCTATGTCTTCTAAGTATGTGTTTGTGTTTTTATCTCTGATTGCGAGATGGTAAAATAACAGCCTGCATGGATTCTGACGCAGATTACTTTACGCTAACCGTGAACTTGGTTCTGTCACAGGATCGACACAGACAACTGCCAATAATCGTGGCAGACGGTGGAGGTGACGTCAGTCAAGAGGATAATCAATCGGTGTCATCGTCAGACCTTATTGAGTGTCTCTATTGCCCGAGAAGCTATCCAATCAATTTGATTGAAAAGCATTTACAGGAATGTAGAGCCTCCATGAATGGTTGATTAAAAACAATACTGCATGGATCAGTTGGACTACGACATTTTCACTTTTTGAAACGCCACTGGCTAACGTAAAACGCACAACGTTTAAATGTACCTCGTAATCGAAGATTTCCTGCCCACGAGTGGGCTATATTAATACGAGGTACACCTGAATAAATCATGTTTAGGGAAGGATTAGCCCACCATGTCGTTTTCAAAAGGTGATTGGGCGCAGTCTAACTAATTTCAATTAGAATTTAAAAAATACTGTTTGGAAAGAAAGATAACTTCAAACTATGATAGTAGAATTTAGAATGATAATTTAGAATTTAGGAATAAAAATGAATTTCACTCACTGTGACAGCGCTTCCCGTCTCCATGGTAACCAGCTCTGCAACGACATCTGGTTCCAAAACAATCCGCGAAGAAATGACAGTGACTGCAGGAGTCATCTTGAAAATACAAAGAAATATCTCAGTATCACACTTATAGCCCCCAAGGAACCCTTGCAATAACATCCCGCTCGAAACTCTACTGTACTTCATTTTCATCTCATGCACCTTACCTTCACAATGTGTCCCTGAATACCCCGAGGAACATTTGCAATAATATCCATTAGTGTACATAGATGATGGGGATACCATGCTGGCATCAAGGTGATGATAGTGCACAGCAGTTGTGTCAATGCAAGTGCCACCATTGAGACAAGGATGTGAAATACAGGGTGTCTCGTCTGAAACACAGAAATGCTAAGAATTAGATCTTATTTTTAAACTCATTGAGCATTAAATGGAATCATGCAACTGAGCAGTTTATAAGACTCAAGAGCCAACAATGGCATGCGCAGGTGCTTTATTAAGCAGCATTCAAGTGTCGTTAAATACAAAAGTAAATACGCATACATTCGCAGTTATTTCCATGGTATCCTATGCCACAAACACATCTGAAAGATCCACGTTCCTCGAGACACGTCCCGGAATTCTGACATGGAGAAGGGTGGCAAACGTGATCTAAAAATAGTCATAAGATAAGTTTAAGATTCCCTTTTAATTGAAATTTGCAGGGTGTTTTTCGATTGTAAATCGGTGTATTCCTGTGTGATGCAAAACTCTCTCTAGGATCCAGGTTCATTTGAGGGAAGAGCCACATGCAGGTGCCGTCCAACCCCCCATCCCCTCCCCCTTCCCCACAGCACTCTCTGGGAAAATCTGTGCTACAATCACCAGCGATATATACATATAAGAGATCTTAACGGTGTTCTAACGTCTCTCAATAGAAAGATTTAGCATGAGGACGTGAACGTCAAAGAGGACGTGAAAATGGCAAATAAATGGCGTGATGCCTATATATGGACATACCAAGCCATTTATTCGCCATTTTTACGTCTTTTTTGACGTCCACGTCCTCATGCTAAATCTGCCTAATGTCTCGAAGTTCCAGATCTCAACCAGTCTTGAGAAACACACCATACCCAGCACATACCTTGGCAATTTATGCCGCTGTAATGATATTTACAGTTGCATTTATATCCGCCAGGTTCTTCAATGCAAGTTCCACCGTTGAGACATGGCGCAGAGAAACAATTACTGCGTTCTATGCAACACAAAATGAATTTGCTTGCATCGTGCGTGTATATCATATGTATTTATACGTGGACTTTATAGTTTCTCTGTTGGAAAACCTCCTGCTTTAGTCGCCTTTAATACTTTTATTGTTCTTTTGATTATAATTTAAATTATTTACGTAAGACATTTGTTGAATCGATTTTATGTTTCTATTGCGAACAACCAAACGGAATACGAGCTTAATGCTACCGTTACTATATACCGATAAATACCCACACTTGTTCCTCACCTTCACAAGTTACTCCCTTGTATCCTAGAGGACACGTGCATTCGTACTTAGCCCCCTTCTCGATACACAACGCTCCGTTCTTGCAGGGATTAGGACTACACTGGTTTACAGCTAAAATAAAAAGTAGAATCAGCCGATAGTCTGAAACAAGGCAGTGACAATGGTAGGAGATGTAACCGGATTATCCTTTACCTTCACAACTCTTCCCCTTGTATCCCTCCCTGCAAGTACATTCAAATCCATCAAGGTCATTGGTACCCGTACATATCCCTCCATTGCGACAAGGATTAGGATGACACTTGTTCTTGTCTGAAAACACACAAAATTCTCTGAATGACTGCATTTTAAAATCATTACTTTGAATAGCATTAGTCGCTCTGTAATGTTCGTATAATAATATGAATACTACACGACGTACCTTCACAAGTGCTGCCTTTGAAACCAATGGAACACGTGCATTCGTATCCAGTCCCCACATCGTAGCACGATCCACCATTCTTACATGGATTTGGTTCACATTGACTTCGAACTATGATCAAAACATCCAGGTATTAATTCGAGATCAGTCGGCTATTCTAACATACTGAACAAGGTCATACCTTCACAATGTGAGCCCATGAACCCAGCCGGGCACGTGCACTCGTAACCCTTGACAACTACAGTACAAGTTCCCGCGTTCTGGCACGGGTTAGGATCACAAGCCACTGGAACTAGAAAAGATGAAATCAAGTTCAGAAAAACAGTTGATGGAATCAGAACGGTCGTGGGGACCCCAAGCACATGATCCAATTTCAGGAGATCCAATTCACTTCTGATGGATGTTTTATAGTCTGTTGATTTACAATGTATATGAGCAGCAAATCAACTCAACCCAATTCAGTACTGCTTTATCATCGACAAGCTAAATTCCATACGGCAGAAGTTAACTGTATCCGGCAAAATAGGATGACTCATGCTGTACGTCTTTTGCACGATTTTCCCTCTGATAGATGTGAACGAGCGAATAGTTAGCAATAGAGTATAAATTTGGTGCCCTAACATAAACGTTTGTAACTTATTCACTCGTTATCATCTATCAAAAGGTTTTTTAAAAGACAAGACAATCCCTGCAGCAGTTTGACCAAATCTGGTGAATTTTTTTACCAGATCCGGTCGAATGCACAGAGACAGCCAGACTTGAATTTGATAATTACCACATTTCGACCAGGAGGGGGGGAGGCCAGTTTTACTAGATTTGAGCAGCTTTGGTTCAAAAAATTTGCATACATAGTCACACTGCCCAGCAGGTACCTCGTAGTTTTTTGAGAGAAGTTATAATTTTACAACCGAAGAATCAAAATGATACAAGATTGCTGAAATACATCACAAGCAATGCACTTGAATCTTTTGTCTTAGCTTTAAATCTCGGCAAACTTGTCTCCATATAAATATTATTACAATTTATATTAACAGAAGATCAACAGTCAATGTAAACAACTCTTATAGGTTGACCTTTTTTTCAAACAAACTAAATATTGCTTGATGAAGTGTTTTTAAGATGATTAAACCAGGCATTTTAGAAGAATGTGGCTCGTTTGATAAGAGTCATTTATACTTCCACAAATCGCACCAGGGAATTCAACTTACTTGCGTGGTGATGAACTACAAAATGGCGTATCGGTGGAGGTTTTAGGATTGGGTAATTGGGAGGCCCATAAGGTCTGAACATAAACTGTCGTTTAGTAATGTCTGCCTTTTTATCCTTTGAACTCAAATGCGTCTTCTTGAAATCATTTTCTTTTAAACCAACCCGTTTCTTTTGATGTTTACTATGCTTCTTGTTGGCCCCATGACGTCCTTGCTGATTCCCGTGGACTTTATCGTTCACGAGCAGTATCAAACAAAATCCATAAAACGCCAACAATAAATTCATAGCGAGGTCTTCTCTAGACCCAGATTCCGTCAGAAAATCACATTGGAATCCTGAAAAGATATAGAAAGCAAAATTGCTCTGAGCTAGTTTCCTCCACGGCTTGTTAATATATTCATGAAGAATAATTGATTTTAGTTTGCTGAAGTAAATCACGCGTATATAGTCGCCGTTCATAGCAAAAACAAAACAAATGATATCTTAATATTCTGTTAAACGTTCTTACTCGATAAACAACTTGAAATACGAAAAAAATCCTTGTTTATTTGAAAGCAGTTAGTTCTTGTCCGTCGGAGTATTTTTTTCTACAGGAAAGAATTTGAAAGGCACCACCGGTTGTTTTTGCGGGTAGTGAATTGTAGTGTACAATGAAATCTAGAGTGTAGCACCTTTGAAATTATCAACCTGTATTAATATTTTAATTTCGTCTTCATTTTTTAATATTGGAGATCCTTAAGCAATTAGTTGTGAGGGTTTTTTGAATCTTATTATCGCCTGCGATTGTGATCAATTTAACTTTCCTGACGTGGGACCAAATTAAGCAATGTAGATCAATTTCTAAGTTGTTTAACCACTTACATTAAGTGGTTTGTGACTGAACTATCTGAAATTATATCTCACACAAAGTTGTTCTATCGTATAGACTGTGTCTGAACTACCTGAGAAAGATATCTCAGACGTGACGGACTGACGGTCCAGTGTAGGTGGTATTCTACAATAAGTTGTCGTGGTTTGTGTCTGAACTACCTGAGAAAGATATTTCAAACGTGGTTGGTCCAGTGTAGGTAGTATTCCACAATAAACTGTCGTGATTTGTGTCTGAACTACCTGAGAAAGATATCTCAGACGTGACGGTCCAGTGTAGGCAGTATTCTACAATAAGCTGTCGTGGTTTGTGTCTGAACTACCTGAGAAAGATATTTCAAACGTGGTGGTCTAGTGTAGGTAATATTCTACAACTAGTTCTCGTGGTTTGAGTCTGAACGGCATTGGAAGCCGTACTTGTATAGAACAATCTCGAGGCATGACCTGGGTACTAGTTTGACCATGGAGTTGAACTTCACTACCCATGGTGAACGGTTAAAACCCATGCATGGTTTAAAATCAACATGATTTAGAAACGTCGCTATAATTCACTCGTTCATTTGTACAAATACACTGTTCCGTCGCATAAAAAAAGAAATTTCGTTTAAAAATTACTCTGTTCAGACACAAAGCACGGCCGTTCAGCAAAGCACGAAAAGCGGTCAGCTAGATTTCAAAGTCCCCAATATAGCACCCGTCAAACTGCTTTAAAAAACAATGAATTTTACAGGTGGACTTCATCAGCGTGATATGAAGATATAGCTCGAATATACTGGAGTTAAATTTAGGATTTTTAATAGCAATATAATGATGTCAATCTAAAGGAAAATGTAAAAAAAAACTGGATAAATATGGGCTTCATTAGAGGCAACATTCTGAGTGGATTGAACAAGAAGAAAGCAGTTTGTTTACTTTTATTGGTATTAGTAAACGTTGAACTAAACACAGCCTTTAAAGAAAAGCAGCGAAGTAAAAGATCAAGCTTTGGCAATAGCATTCAAAATAAAGGAAAGCGAAATGTACTTTATAACTTTGTAACGGATCGACCTCGCGTCCAAACAACAAACATTCAACAGACAGCGGCTAGCCAGCGAAACAACATTGCTTCGTCGTTAATGGCCCAAAAGCAACACTTAGCTCAGCTAGCAAACTACCGGCAATATTTGACAAAGTTGTATTCGAAAAGACGATCGGACATAGATGCCCCGATACTGCAGGGAGATATGCCGGACTTCAAGGACAAGCATTATGAGAATTCGGCTGAACTCGTAAACGATAATCAGTTGAATGATGCCTTGGATGTAAACAAAAAATACGCCTCCAAAATGATCGGCTTGAATTACTACACAAAAGACGTGTTGCCGGCAAGTCATGTTGTGCTACCTCATGAAGACTACCGCAGTTCAATCGGAGGAGGTGGTTTGGTTCAAGGATATTCGCCGTATTCGTCGCAAGAAAGCTCTCTTGTTGGCAATGGAGGAGATGCGAGTCAGCCGCTGCTGACGAATGAGGATTCGCAGATCGAGAAGCTGGTTGAGATGGAAAAACTAAGAGAGCTTGAAGAATTGAGAGGTCAGTGCATGGTGTTGGAATTTCAACGTCGTTAACGTAAAGCGTTTTATCAAAACTATTCTGAGGTGAAGAGGGGAGAAGATTTGCATGAGATCTGAATGTGTATTACCACGCGCATGCAGTGTAAAAATGAGTCTTCTTTCATCGAGGGTCATCCATAGTTTTCCCTTTTAGAGCAAGCATACAGACACCTTCATCTTCACCCCTGTCAGATCCACACGTGTCAACACGGGCACTGCATATCAACAGGCAGGGGTCGATATAAATGTTCATGTAAGCCTGGGTATACTGGACTACGGTGTCAATATGGTAAGGATTATATCAGGATTAGATTAGTTCAAGATTAGTATCAATCATTATGGTAAGAATTATATTAGGATTGATTTAGGTATGAATATGGTAAGAATTATATTAGGATTGATAGGTATTAATCCAGGATTAGACCAGTGTCAATATGAGAGGATTTAGAACTATATCCACCCGGATCAACTAAAGTCAGTCAAATTCATTTCATTACTCTGCAGCACAGCATCGAGCGTGCACGCCGAACCCTTGTAAAATGATGGTGTGTATAGTGACTGGATACGAGTGTTCGTGCGCCGCTGGATATCGCGGCGAACATGCCAAGGTAAGGTCAGTGAGCTCTATATATATATGGAGCAGTAACTTGGTTGCTAAAAGTGAAGCTCACTGGGTAAGGTTGGTCGGTTGACATAGTACTTTAATAAGAAGCACAGAGCTTTCCATTTCAAATACAGAGCATATTTAACCGAGGTTTTTTGTTTTTTCTTTTCTTCAGAGGAGCTCCAATGTGAAAATGAGCCGTGTCAAAATGGAGGGACTTGTACTGAGCTGGATAATGGTTTCGTCTGCACATGCGCGAGAGGATACCGAGGAAAGACGTGTCAACGTATGTACAATGTTTATCAATAAAACATCACATTATAAAGATTATCAGTGGATAATAAACGGATTGTTTATTCTAGTTGAAAATCCTTGTCTTGTGAATCCTTGTCAAAATGGCGGGAGATGTGTCGAGGCCGCTGGACGATACTCGTGTGTTTGCAGAACTGGATGGAGATGTAATGATTGCAGTTGTAAAGGTAATGTCATTGATCGATAATTTCTGTTAAATTGTCCAGGAAACAAACAGGAATCGAGTTTTGCTGTGCTGTGAGGGATGATACTCAATCTTTAATGGTTTCAGTTGAAGTGGAGGAGGCCAAAGTAAGGACGTTACAACTATTTAAACCCCCAGTGGATGAATGTCAACCAAATCCTTGCTCTCATGGGGGGACATGCTCACCCACCCCCTCAGGGTACACGTGTTACTGTGAGGATGGCTACAAGGGAGACACCTGTGAAGGTAGGTGTGATTATATGGATATTTGGGGTGATATCCACACTCGCATGATAATTCCCAACCCCATTTCCTTCACCAACTTAATGTTTCCATTCCTTCATTTTTCCTCATCCAAAGCACAAGATTTCTGTGCGGAAGCTCCTTGTATGAACGGTGGATTATGCATTGAAGGTGGCGGGGAATTCCTGTGTCGTTGCAAGCCTGGGTTCAAAGGGAAGACGTGCGAATGTAAGTGGAAGCACTCAGTCAGAAATCCAAATTTACCTCGCTAACCTGAACTTGTACTTAGAAAAAAGAACATTGCTAAACATGTACCGTTAGCTCTCACAAGATGTCATAAAGTTTCTTCGTTCTTTTTAAAAACTTCTGCGCTTATAATTCTATAAAATGCCACATCATGACTTTTTATCGTCTCTTCTGTAGCGACCGACTTTTGCAACCCAAATCCATGTCTTCACAGCGGCGTGTGCGTCATCCGAGACGCTGGGTACAAGTGTAGATGTCTTCCACAGTTCATTGGTCTAAACTGCGAAGGTAAACCTTCTTTCTACTTCCATAATGTCACTTGTAAAGAGTTCCGGGCTCAAACAAAAAGAAGCGAGTTGACTCTCTTATTTTGGTTCGTTTAAAGCTAAGAATCCCTGCATTCCCAACCCTTGCGTGAACATGGGAGCCTGCAAGAGATACGGAACAAAACACGTCTGTCATTGCGCGAATGGATTCACTGGTCCTCGATGCCAAGGTAATTCAAACTTGTTGAGATGCGACTGATCGATTTTTTTACACAAATTGGATAGAAGCTATTCCTATCCATACTCATCCATCTTCAACAACTTTCAGAGCAAGATCTATGTTTTCTGCGAACTCCCTGCAAGAACGCTGGTAAATGCCGTTCTACAAAAGGCGTCATATCCTGTATTTGTCCCACAGGATTTACTGGACTGCACTGCGAACGTAAGAAACTGTTTGAAGAATTCTTGAACACGAGCAGCAGGCCGTTTTTCATTCACAAACAAGGCATACATGTATTTCTCTCGATATTTAGTGAAAGATTTATGCGAACCAAACCCGTGCGCTAACCACGGAGTATGCAAGACAAACGGAGCCTCATTTCAATGCCGCTGTTCTCGTGGTTTTACTGGAGTGAACTGTAAAGGTAGGTTTAGACACAACCTTGCATATCAGACTCTGGAATTGGATTGAAAGCTATAGACCTTCCTGATCAAGGCTATCGACAGTATGACAACTGTATTAATTTATGATATCTTTACTAAAGATTACGATAATTGTGATCCAGACCCCTGCCAAAACGGAGGTCGATGTTCAAACAGCGCTGGGGGTTATCGATGTGACTGTGTAAATGAATTTGTTGGAGTTCATTGTGAAAGTAAGATGATAAATTATGGTTAATAAATAAAACTAGTGTTTATAGAGCTTATTGCTGGAAATATCAATTGATCTACCTCCACCAGTGAACTCTATCTCAACTGGAACGATAACTTCAATCGACAACTACCATCGATAACTTGAAATGACAACGCCAATCCCTTTCTAATGTTTTCGTCTTCACGTTATTGACACAATTTGGCTTCAAATTGATTTCAAAGATGGCGGCCACACAACCGCCATCGTTCCAGTCTTTATGGAATTCACAGACCTCCACTGAGCCAACTTCAGCAAACTATGAAGTCATTGATATCGCTGATTGATTGCTTGCTTGACTGCACATACTCTCATTCGTCTCTTTCTCATCTCTCGACAGATGAAAACCCATGCAAGCGGAACCCTTGTACGAACGGCGGTGAATGTATAACAATCAGGAGCAACGCACAGTGCAAATGCCCGAAAGGCTTTGTGGGAAAACTTTGCGAACGTAAGCAGATGAATGATGTCATCCTCGTTGATTTCAAAACCTCTCTTGTCTGAAAACAACATCCTTGAATGTTTATATTTTTCATTGTAGATTCAGACCCCTGTCTACCCAATCCCTGCCAGCACAATTCAGAATGCAAGACGCAAGATGATGGAAGCTATCGCTGTGAATGTGAACCAGGGTACACGGGATCCCTGTGCCATCGTAAGTATGCTCAATTCAGGTTTGCTTGTGTGCAGGTAAAACGCCAATCGCCAAAGCCTTAACCAAATCTTACACGGTAAAAGAGCTCCACTTTAAAACCCAGACTGTGAGCAGCAAATCAAGGCAACTCTTCAAAGTTCAAAACTAGTCGGGAAGAGTTGTAAAATATTTCTTATAAGTCTTTCGTGACTGTGGCTCAAACCAGTTCATTGCAAACTGTGGCTCGTATTGTTTTTTAATCAATTTAGTTCGCAGCCATTGCTATCACAATCCATGTTTAAACGGAGGACGATGCGAGACCTTCCACAACACTTACATTTGCCACTGTCCACTGGAGTGGGGAGGACATCACTGCCAAGGTGAGAAGAGGATTGGTATAACCCCTCGACTCGACATGACATCCACCATAAACAGCAGGTCAGATCAGTACACCACAATCTAACTCGTAACATCAATAATTTTTCAGAACACAACTTATGCTTTCCCGACAATCCCTGCGAGAACAACGGCGTTTGTAAAAGCGATGGGCATAATGTTGTCTGCAAGTGTCATCCAGGGTTCTTGGGGGATCACTGTGAAGGTAAAGAGATAGAATGGGATGGTATATTTTCGTCACGGTTAAGATAAGTTTGATTATCATATTTTTGAAATACTTGCCGCATTTTTTTCCTGCAGAAGTGAACTATTGTCACAGACATGTCTGTAAGAACGGTGGCAAATGTTACAACACGAAGTCTGGGTATGAGTGTGATTGCCCTGAAGGTTTTGGCGGCAAAAATTGTGATGGTAGGAATACTCTTCATTGTCTCCTCTCAGACACAGAGTATAGAACGTGCTATTGAATTCGTTGAAAGCAGATCTGCCGATACTTGATAAAAAGTATAGTTGCAGTTTTACATCTCATACATCAAGAGTAAAGATGATCCGAATCAAGTTTTAAACAGACTTGAGTTAGTTTGAGTATCGCTTGTACGAACACGGAAGAGAATAACGCACTCACTATTCCTTTAACCAAATCTTGTTATTTCTTTTCAAGGTTATAGTTCTCCTTGCATGCCCAATCCCTGTCTCAACGATGGATTTTGCGCTGAAGACAAAGCAAATGAGCACGGCTACATGTGTGTTTGCAAACGAGGCTTTGCTGGAAACCAGTGCCAGAGTAAGAAACACTCCGTTGTTTTTGAAAATAGCTTTGACTTGTACCGTTGAGGGAACATGAACCAATCAAATGCGATAACTGTATCAGGTTAACCAATCACGAGCGTAAAACGTATTTGAATTTGAGCATCTCTGATACTAACAGATGACGGAATGGTTATAGAAGATAAGTATAAATAATAGTGATTTGTATTTTAAAAGTTCCAATGTTGCTTCACAGGAAAGGACGCATGCGTTCCAAACCCCTGTCAGAATGCAGGCAAATGTTTCCTGGCAGACAATCGTCTTGGATATCATTGCATTTGTGCTGCGGGAAAACGAGGTCTTCATTGCGAACGTAAGTGCATGTACAAAGTGTTCTCTTCTTTCACCCAATAATGTTTTAGATTTCCTATGTAAAGATTTCCTCGATGTAAAGTGCTATGACCTTCCTAGATTGTCCTCAGATTGCATTTCAAACTAACTAAACAAGTCGCACAGTAACTGGGTCAGCATCTAAACCCAAAAGAAAATATGAAGAAGACTTACACACCTGAGCAACGAACACGCCCCCCCCCCCCACAGGACCCCTAATACAATTTTCACTGTATTAATAACCATTTTTCTTTGCAGACAACGATTATTGCTACCCACAGAACCCCTGTTTGAATGGAGCGACGTGTTTCAGCACTCATGTTGGTTTCGTCTGCAAATGCAAGCTCGGTTACAAAGGACAGAAATGTCAAGGTACGTGTTCACCAAATCATCAAATTGAGCCGGCAAAAGAGAGATGGACAAGTTCTCATACTAATACTGTCATAAACGGCTACCATATACAACAACAAATTGATGAAGATAAGTAACAAAGCATTGCAAAACAAACTCGAAGGAACCTCAATGCTTCTAAACGATTAACTTTAGTTAGATGAATGTAATCGCGGAGAACTGTAAAGAGCTTAGTGCATGGACTAGAATTCTGCCTTGAGTTAGTGGTTAGTGATATGGGGTTAGCATTTCAGAGGGGATAAACCAGGATACTTCGATAAGCTGAGGACACAGAGTGCACTAATCACAACCGATATGAGGTCATATATCAAACAGGAATACCAGGGATAGCGCGCTAACCGTGTTATCATTTCTTTGCAGCTCACGATGAGACAAACCCTTGTGCACTGCACCCGTGTTTAAACCATGGTACTTGTTACGACCAGAGAAACAGCCAAAGCAACCTGGTCAGACTGAACAACCAAGACGCCTACAAATGCTTCTGCATTAATGGCTACAGTGGAAAAAATTGCGAAGTGCCTCAATTCGCGTGTTATTCACAGCCCTGTCAGCACGGTGCCACGTGCATGGACGCACACAAGTTCTCTGATATCGCCTTCGATTCAATAGGCTACAAATGTCTCTGTCCCTATGGTTTCTCCGGGCGAAATTGTCAAAGTGAGTATGAATGAAATAAAACCACATGATGGTGGTTTGGGAGGCAAAAGTTTGAAAGTCAATTGCTGCCGGAAGACCTGACTTGATCTGTCAAATGAGGAATTCATCAGTTCTCTGTACTTATTAAAAAGTATATTCAGTGCTAAAATTTCTTCTTTTTTCGAGTAAACTCTTCAATAAAGATCTCTCTGAAAGAGCAATAAGCTAGGTACCTTCCCAGCAGGCATGGTACACAGACATGCATTTCAAAAAATGCCACATCCACAGCAATGTGAAGAAGAATATGCCATGTTGACATTTTATTTTCCAGTGAATCTTGGCAATGTGGATGGTGGAACATCAGATCTGATATCATCGCTCACCCAAGGGTATGACAGACAGGGCTACGTGCCAGTGCCCAAACCAGACCTCATATCACGATACAGTAGCCCTATTGATCCGAGACAGAGCAATTATGGCAATGTTCCCGTTCCAACTCCGGGACCACCAACTTTTCCTACAGGTGAGATCGTATGGGGCGGGTAGTACTCTTGGAAGACATTCTCTCATTAGATTGGTAGGAGTACTAAACACTTAGTCAGACTACCAGCACTGCGATGATCAACTGACATCGAGGCAGTGAAACACTGAATAAAACATTGCAAAGCAGTAAGTACTAGACTAGTCAGGCTAGTATTAGTAGCAACAGTCAACACTCAGTCAGACTAGCAGTATTGCAATGATCAACTGACATTGAGGAAGGTTGAAAGAGAAACACTGAATAAAACATTGCAAAGCAGTAAGTACTAGACTAGTCAGGCTAGTATTAGTAGCAACAGTCAGCACTCAGCCAGACTAGCAGTACTGCAATGATCAACTGACATTGAGGAAGGTTGAAAGAGAAACAAACTCAACACAGTAAATTTTCCTTTTCCCTTTAGTAAGACGAACCTATGACACACAGGAACAAAACAATGTTAACACAGGCAACCCAGAATACAGGATAGGAAATTCAGCAACAAAAACCGAAGATTATTCGGCAAACAACCAGCCAACGGACGAGGAACTTGAAGCTCAGGCGATGGGCATACCGCAGTCAGCACTGCCTGGTGGCTCAAGACGCGGTCAGATTGTCCGCTTATCACAAGGAATGCAGCTCGTACGGGTACGAAGGGAACGCTGATCTCGGAATATTTCTGGAGTCATGATGCAACCGGCATCCACTTCCAGGATGAAATATCAATGAAAAAAATCAGTTGACCTTTAGTCAATAGTGACGTCATCGTGGAAATGTGACGTCATCGTGGTATACCAAACGGCATCGGAAGTCGAACCCAAAATGACCCTGGATGTAAATAGCTAAAAATACGGTAGTTCATTTATGTTTAAATGCAATAAAATTGACCAAAGTGAATCATTTTGATAGATAACATACGTTTGCTGTTAAGTATCGAGTTTACTACGATGGACTATCAAAACTTGTTTCGTGATTAAAATAAACTGAGTAAAAGGGCATTAATCTTCGACAAAATTGCCCCAATTTACTCGGCTAAACCCAAGAAAGTTTTCCTGACAAAAGAAAAATTCTTCCAGTGTTCCTTGTTGAACTATACTGAGGTATAATGAGCCCTAGTCTTCACTCTCAAATGCCAGATATTTTCACTCGATTTTACTTCTCAATGGACGTCTTTACGCTCTGACTTAAACAACACAACAACGCGATATTTTGACAGGCATAGCGACAATTTAAAATAACAATTCTGATATGAAAAACCAGATATTTCAATAAAAGATCCCATTAATTCTTCTTGTGTTTTCAGTGGAAGTCAATATATCAAACAGTGCCTTCAAATCCGAAATGATAAGTCCCTAATTTATCAAAAAGCAGTCAATCACAATTCAATCGACCACAAGCGAGAAAATACAATTTGTTCAAAGTGGAACAGGTACTTGTGGGGTGGCAATACGCTTCGGAAAGATCGCTAAATTTCCTCGGTCGGAGAGGAAGATTGAAACAAGTCAAAGATTAAGGCGAACTCTGTAAAAAATTCCGACAAAAAGCCCTAATGAATTTGGGATCATGAAAAGGGCTTGCTTTGTTTTGGTCGCTGTTGCAATCGTTGTGATTTTAATCGCTGACGTTTCTGCCAAGTCGCGCGGAAAGAAAAAGCCACATATTACTAAAAGCAATGGAAAAAGCGTTTTAAAGCATTCGAATAAGAATGGAGTGACTAAGAATAATACGACAAAAAGGCAGTTTATAAACAGGCCGAGGATTAGATATTTCGGAAACCGGCCTTACATATGGATGAAACCGTCTCCGTTAACGCAAAGAACGATTGTGACAACACACATACCAAGGCCGCCATTAGCCTTGCCTTATTCCGCACGTGTAATGCATTTGCTGGCAAGTAGGTATCCGTCCTTGTATAATAACAGGCAGGCTCTGTCGCAGGGATTTGCCGGATATGCCGGAGGATTGCCTCAGAGCCCGCTGCTTGGAGCTGGCTTGGATGGAACGGCGGTATCGCACGGATTAGAAGACGAGGAAGCAGATGACGGTAGGTAGTCAGTTGAAACAACAAGCTTCAGGGATTCAGGTCTCAATTTACCGGGAAAAACATGACAGATACTTTGAGGATTCGACCCAAAGCTCTGTCAAGGTAGGAATCAGCTTCCATGGGAAGCCCTAGGAAAACCTGCAAGATTTGTTTCCTAAATGTACTTATCTTATAGATCCAGATCGAGTGGTTTGTTTGTAATGTTTAATTTCAAATAAAATGCGCTTCAAACCAATGCACCATCTCAGTGCCTGCATTTTGCTCCTCATCGAAGACCAAAAAACATTCAAAATTCTTAATTATTTCCACTTTTCCACTTCGTCATCTATCAAAGCATCAACTAGGGCACATTAAGATCCAGAGATCAACCATATTTCCCCCCAAGGAGGCCCAGCCTTGTATTAGCACTGGTCGACCTAATCGACAAAAGTGGATCTGCGTCTTTCTTAGAACGCTGCGAGCCGAATCCATGTCAGAATGGAGGAACGTGCAACGAGATCAAAGAGGGATACGAGTGTATCTGTTCCTCTGGATTCAAAGGATCTGACTGCGAAGGTGGGTCTAGATTTTCACTTGCAGAGAAATTGTTCGCTGGCGAAATATTTGCATATTTTCCTTCGAATTGAGAACAGTCAAGTTGGACTTACTTACAGCTGGAGATCCATAGGAAGGTGTTCAAAGTACAAGAGCTCACGGGTAGACTACATAGGAATCTGACAATTTATGTACATTATCCTGAATCCTCCGATAATCCGGGTAATAGCATTCAGGATAATGGCTCACATACAATCCACCTTCTTTTCATTTTCAGAGGAGAATCATTGCCATCCTAATCCGTGTAGAAACGCTGGGGTTTGTACTGAAGCTGACGGCGCTTTCGTCTGCACTTGCAGTGAGGGATTCAAAGGAGTAAACTGTGAAGGTACGATACCATGATCCACCTCTTTACCTAACTATCCTTATTTACTCCTAATCATCCCCATGCATTCCATTTAAACACGACAGATGAACCGCATTCCTTAATCTCGTTCTTCAGCCTATTATTTTCATATATTTGACATGATCCTAATTTTCGTCTACAGAACACAACAAGTGTCAACCTAACCCCTGCAAAAACGGTGGATCATGCACCGAAATTAACGCAGGATTTGAATGCAGTTGTGGGGCAGAGTACAGGGGTCCCACCTGCGAAGGTAAGCGAAACACCTCGCGCTTGTTTCCCAACAAAACCTTTCACAAACTGTCCAATCTGAATACACTTGAATACGCTTATTCCCCCAACAAAACCTTTCAAAAACTGTCCTCCATTCTGACGCGCTTTAATACAATAGTGGATTTGACATGAAAACCGATATGTATTTTGGCGCCTCAAAACTGTTTTATTACTTTGTAGAGATCGATCACTGTCATCTTAGCCCTTGTATGAACGGTGGGACATGCATGGGTGGCGAGGGACCTGCCTCGGTATCATGTTTGTGTCCTTCCGGATACAATGGCATTCATTGTGAACGTAAGTTTTGAAGTCATACGATTCAAGCTTTAGGATAACTAATTTTAGGCTTTAGCATAGATCGAGCTATGTAAATGAAGTGTAAATGAAGTGTAAATGAAGTAAATAAACAAAGTACATAACTATTTGTAACCAACCTATCTTGTTTAGTTGAAAGTCGGTGTCACACAAGCCCATGTCGAAACGGTGGGACATGTCTTGATAATCAGGGAGCATTTCAGTGCCTCTGTCCTCAAGGTTTCACTGGAGTGAGCTGTGAAGGTGAGAAAAACATAAGAGTCACATTTTAATGAAGAAAGAGTTTGTGTGAAATTTTTATATTAAATTTTGACATTTTTTTCTAGCTGTGATGAATCCGTGTGATTCAGAGCCTTGTCTGAATGATGGCTCCTGCATTAATCTCGGGCCAATGGTCTTCAAATGCGCATGTGCTAGAGGTTTTAGAGGCAGAACATGTGAAAGTAAGATTTGAGAACATATACAAAGATACAAATTATAAATCCTATCATAACTTTCTTCCTTTATAAGACAAACTGAATACTCTCTCTATTCTCTCAAAAAAACTACACATACTATCCTAAATCCTTTATTAAGCGCTGTGAAAATTCACAAGACTTCTTTTACTGTAGTGGAGAAAAGATGCGAGCCTAATCCATGTCAAAATGGTGGATTTTGTCATGAAAGTTTCACCACGGGCGACTACAGATGCGAATGTCCAAAACCTTACAAAGGAACCAACTGTGAAGGCAAGTCATGACATCTTCATATGACATCGATAATGAACTCCCAGTTCTCTTCATACATTAACAAGAACTTCCTCAATATTTCAACCGGAATATCTATCTCTTTCTCATCACGTTTTCTTTCAACTTTAATGATATTTTACTCTCTGAAATTGGTTGAAAATACAGAATACAAAACGTTTTCCACCTCAAATCATCTGCGTGACGTAACTCTAATACGACCATCACTCCAAGTCGAAACATGTTGTAATTTACCTGAAGATGACTCGACTGAAGACAAAAACCTTTTTGCATTAAAATTTTGGAGTCGTTTTAAGTCGTGAAACATATCATTCAATATGCATTTAGATCATATCAACGCATGTGAAAACAGCCCGTGTCTCAACGGGGGAACATGTACGACATCGTTTGGGCTTCAGACAAAAGTCTGCTTCTGGATACAAAGGACAACATTGCGAAGGTAAAGTGTGAAGAACAGTAGAAGAAAAGAAGTCAGTATATACAGTTATGTCAGACCACAGTTTGACCCGTGTGAAGCCAATTCGTTCTTCTTGCTTTCAGAAGAGGAGCACTGTCGCTCAACGATATGTCGAAATGGTGGCACGTGTTCCCCGGGAACTAACGGCGACAGCTGTACATGCTTAGCGGGATTCAGTGGTCCTACTTGTGACGGTACGACAGACGAGCTTTGAAGGCTGGGGGGGGAGGGATTGCAATGAACTGCAATTTTGAATCGTCACAGGCGTGTGTCTATCTATAAGGTTTTTGGATACTGTCGCAAAATTAGGTTGCGAGAAAAAAAGATCATTTACTCACAGTACTGAGACATCAAATATGGGCAAATTACTACCTGTTTTGCAAATATTTGGGTGTGGCCCCATTGGAGACATTTCACATTAGGTGCACAGCCCAAGTTTACATTTCTCTCTCTCAATCTCTCTAGTCCGCTCAAAATGTCACCCCAACCCCTGCACCAATGGTGGAACGTGTTTCGAAAATGACATGGAGTTCACCTGCACGTGCCCAAGTGGTTTCAGAGGAAAGACATGTGAAGGTATGCACAGGGGTGCACAGGGGTGAATACCCTTATACACCTTGATCACTAAGCATGCAAGAAAGGTCTATATAGAGCAATAGTTTAATGTGTTTCTCTGGATTGTTTAGCACGAGATAAATGCCATCCAAACCCTTGCCACCATGATGGAATATGTGAAACTGAAGGACTAGATTATGTGTGTACGTGCTCCTCTGGTTGGACCGGTGATACCTGCGAAGGTAGGGCTAACCATAGACCAAACTGCGCCCGAGATATTTGCTACTTTTAAGGCCACAAATAAAGGAGGTTGGTCCCCCATTCAGTAAACAGCAAAGATCTTCACAAAAATGCCATAGGATGACAAAATTTATGTCACTAATATCAACTTAGTCATGATAAGTTTTGTGGGGATGCAGAACCTTTTCTGAGGGGACAACTCACTGGTATAACTCTACAGGAATCACCTAATTGATTAATTATTAATTAACTTGTATTATATTACTAACAATCACTAATGGCATTGCGATAGTTGATAACTAATCCTATTAATTTGAACTAAATCATTCAGGCAGATAAATATGTTACACGTCACAAATTGCCACAAAATTGTATCTAACTATTTAACCGGTGAAAATAACTAATTGATTAATAACTAACCTCACTAACCATGATAAAACAGACAAGGATCGTTGCCGCCCTAACCCATGTGACCATGGCGGAATTTGTATCTCAAGAATCAATAATTACATCTGTCATTGTCCTGCTGATTGGATGGGAAAAACCTGTGAAAGTAAGAATCAGAATCAATGTAATTTCTAATTGAACCACTGCAGACCATAGGGGACGAGATAGGGAGGTTCTTCTACATCAATTATACATCCTTGTAGCTGAGAAAGCTAAAAATTTCAGAATGAAAGAAGAATCAGAATTTAATGGTTGTTAATACTATTTTTCTGCCTTTATTCTCCTAAGATAACATCAACATTGTTGTTTTTAAAGTTCTAATCCTAATACTTCTCAATACTACAGCACTATAGAACTACTGCAATCACGATATATATCTAACCTGAAATAACGCAAAACTAACACCAGCTATGCTGAACATCAGCATCTAAAGTAAAAAACAAATTCCGAATAGCCAAGACATCTTGAGAGCAAATATACGACGAATCATCCCAAAGATGACTTCAAAATCACAAGTCTCAACCTGTATCTAATGTTTCAATCATATATTGACTCATATATTGATTTGATTATATTTTTATAATATTTTAAAGCCATCTAAAAGCTATTTTAAAATCTCGCCACGTGAAATTCAAATACACAATAAGAAAATCCTTCAAAAGAAAGTGCAATCCCGACAAGAAAACCCTAATATTAATCTAAAACCCACCTTTATTAAAATACTTTTAAGTCTTTGTTTACTTCGTGGACATTTAAACTTTAAATGGCATTTGAATGTGGCAAATGTAAACGTAAAATTTGTATTCCCCGCCATTTCATACGCGCGTCTTTTTCGATCGATCCCAAATCATCCATAATAATCCCTTAAAAAAACATCATAAACCCTGGCAAATCCATAGATATCACTGATCTGAAGATCTGCCGTAAATTGGGAGACGTATTTTGGATAGAATATTACCCAAGCGTTGCCACATGGGGGGTCCACCTTATGAGGAGGTAGGGGGAACTTATGGGGAGGTGGGCTCATTCGGGTGCCACCATGGTTTGCATCAATACTTCGTTAGCCAATCTCACAACGAGGTGCAAAACCACCACTAAACAGATCAATTCAAGGGTCCTAATACACAACTCAACTATTTATTGTTTTAGTTTCAGCATTCAACAACATTGCCAGCGCGTCGGGAGGATCTTGTGCTACAACACGATGGGGTTGCTGCCCTGACGGAAAAACACCAGCCCAGGGACCAGGGCAATCAGGCTGTCCAGGTATGCAACTTCTGCAATTTCCGTGCAGATAGGAACAAAACCTTTTGTAATATCACCAACCCAAAATCTCAGCCTTGGATTTAATCCTAAAGAGACCTGGTTTGAATTCTCAATCGCACTTCTGACTTCCCACTATCGCAATTTTAAACGCAGGAAAGCTGTGACATCGTAAAAGGGCTTAGAACTTACCTTTCTTTTCCTCCTTTTCATCTTTGTAGAGCGTTTCCGAAAAAGGTAAAACCTTTTATTTGTATTTTACTGAATATAATTGATATGAATTTATTCATTTATATCACACTCAAATCAGCCTGATATGTCCCTAATGATAGCGTCTCCAGGGCCGCCGAGAGAAATTTGCCATTTTCCGCCGAATATGACCATGGTCGTATTTTCCATTTTTCCGGCGAATATGACCATGGTCGTATTTGCCATTTTCCGGCGAATATGACCATGGTCGTATTTACCAAGTTCCGGCGAATATGACGATGGTCGTATTTGCCATTTTCCAGCGAATATGACCATGGTCGTATTTGCCATTTTCCGGCGAATATGACCATGGTCGTATTTGCCATTTTCCAGCGAATATGACCATGGTCGTATTTGCCATTTTCCGGCGAAAATGACCATGGTCGTATTTGCCATTTTCCAGCGAATATGACGATGGTCGTATTTGCCATTTTCCAGCGAATATGACCATGGTCGTATTTGCCATTTTCCGGCGAATGTATGACCATGGTCGTATATTTGCTATTTTCCGGCGAACATATGACCATGGTCGTATATTTGCCATTCTCCGGCGAATACGAGATCACCGGAAAATGATAAACACGACCATGGTCGATTCCGCCGGAAAATGGCGTATTCGAAAAATAGCCCCTTCAGGTTTGGGGCCCGGAGCAAAATGCACCCTACCCCCCCCCTCTCGGTGCTGGGCATCTCAGTTCTGTATCTTTTTAGGTCAAAAGTGCCTAGAAAATCTACCTAGGCTTCCCGCTTCGTCAGAAGTCAACCATGCTGCAGGTCCTGGAAATCACTAAAGGCTTGTTTTTTTTGCAGAAAAACTATATACGTAGATACGACCACATACGCATGTTGGGTATTTTAGAAAGTACAGAGTACAATCATTCATTTCAATTTTGACTTTCATTTTCTACAGTACACGAAAAACGATTGTGAAAAGTTAGCTATTGTATAATAGTTTGTATAAAAGTCGTAAGTTCGTAACCGATTGTAAAAAAGTCGTATTCTATCCTTCACCTCCACAATGACTTACTGAGTTTAGTTGTAGTAAATTCCAAAATTAAAAGTACTGTTTTTAAAGCTCCTGTGGTACATTAAAAGACAGCAATTTGGGCATGGCTCAGTCATTGCCTGTTCGGTCATATTTTTCGGAAAACTATACTATTGGTATGAAATGTGTTTTACTCCTGAGGAAGCCTAACCGCTTGTCCTGATGCACAAGACTTCTCGCATGCCTCTACAATTTCACTAACAAGCAAGATTGATTCCTTCGTTATATCCGTCGCACATTTCCCTTGGATTACGTCCAGGAAATGTTCGATAACATTCTTATACGATTTCGCAAATCTCTCCATGAAAGAATTCAAAATTCGTCCAGTCGACGAGCCTTCTTTCCCGGAGAATTCGACGTTCGTAGCCTTGTAGTTGTTTTGAACAAGCATTCCTTTATTGCCAAACACCTCAACGCGTTGGTCATGACCAAAACAAGCAAAACGTGAGAGGTCTATGATCCCGATACCTCCGCTAGGAAACTTCAACACGATCGCCACTGTATCGACGTCGTTTAACTCCCCTATTTCTTTGATAAAGCTATGAGCCGCCGTATACACGCTCAGCGGTCTCTCTCCGTAGATCCACGTCAGCAAATCGATGTCGTGTATTGCGCAGTCGTGGTAGATTCCTTTCGTTGACTTGAAGTAGTCTATGGGCGACATCGGCGAATCACGACTGGTAATCTTCACCATTTGAACCTGTCCAACATCGCCAGCTCTTGTACGTGTGTAGATTTCGCGAAGCCCTGGATCGAAACGACGGTTGAAACCACAAATCAATGGGACTCCCTTTTTCTTCGCTTCGTCGTAACACTTTTCTGCAACAGATTGTAAAGTTAGCCTCATGAAAATTCATTTAGGTCAACAGTGCAGTTTCAGATTACGGGTATTTTAGAGTGTCTCAAGAGCTCCCGGGCCCATTCAAGTAAATCGTTATTTACATCTGCCTAGCACGGGAAATGCAGTTTCACCGCTTTATTTATAACAAAATACTCGTTGGCATATAAACAACACCACTAGCTACAATCCCTGTAGTTAAGTTGTTTGTATTACACTATAAACTAACCGATTTCCTCGACAGTGTCAGCCAGAGGCTTCTCACAAAAAACGCCTTTCCTGCAGCTATACTGGCTAGTACCAAAGACGCATGAGTATGATTTGGAGTCGATATAACACATGCGTGGAGTGTTTCATCGCTCAGCACAGATTGCATGTCGCTTGTGTGAGCTACCTTCGTGTCAACCTGATAGTCCGCAACATATTTCTCGGCTTCCCTGTGTAATTCTTCGACTACATATTTTATCTTGACCCGCGAGCTATTGTAGAGATCTTTGAAATGAACTTTCCCCAATACGACCCAAACCAACACGGCAATTGATGCGGACTCCATAGTAAGAATGAACCGAGTGTCTTCTAGATGAGATCATATTACCGCTTTGCCAACGATGTATATCAGTTGTGTCGAGCTCCCGAGTAAACAAACTTTACGAAGCAAAAAAAGCAATGGGTGCAGAAGCGACGATGGTCAGATGATGAATTTAGGATTGAAAACTCAAAACTGGAACTAGTCGATGACGATGTATCAGATTTGGTGTTAGGATAGCTTTAGATTAGTTAAGAATAAAAAGCCAATACTAGCCGACAATTTCAAGAAATACAAAACAAAACATAATCCAAAGATTAACATCTTGAAACCCAAAATATAGGATAAAACAAGAAAAATAAATTCGTGATATTTCGAATTTATTACAAAATCATCATCAGACTAACTGAAGTTACAATATACACGTAAGATCTCATATGCAATCGGTAATCCGTTACATCATATAACGGAAATCTCAATCAAAAGACCACGACAGATTAGCAGTGAGAGGTGTGATGATATGGGTGTAGAATCACGAGAAAAACTAGAGCTCTTTGCTTGCCTTCAGACCAGAATTTAGCTTAGCCTTAGGTGAACGATATTGATATAAAGTGCTTCAAGCAATATGAGAATTACACGACATTTCTGAGTTAATAATGCATGTGTATTCGGGAATTGTTAATAATTAGGTTTGAAATTAAAGTAGAGACGTCGTGTTCGTCTATGGTAAATTATTTATAAAGTTTGTCGAAAGCAAGGTGTAGACTTACAATGGCTTATGACTTTTCATTTTCGTTTTCATATTTTCCTGGGTCGGTACGTATCTATATGAACAAGCTTTGCTATTGGCTGATGATAACAATAAAACACAATGAACTATAGAAAATGATTTCTGAAAGAACGAATCATAAACACTGTTCAAAAAACTCGTTCAACTTGCCTATGATAATAAACTGAACTGAAACGAGGACAAAAGATGAGGTGTCATATTGTTAATTGGCAATTTAATATCCACATAAACGTATAATTTTAAACGCTACATAACTAGAGTTTAACACTACCTAAATGAAGTTTATTGCGGCAACATAACCGCTTGACCGGATTTTAGCGACTGTTCGCAGGCTTCGACAATCTCGCAAGCGAGTAATGTCGACTCCTTGGTAATAGCCGGTGGACATTTTCCTTGGATGACATCAAGGAAATGATCCAGAGACTTGACGTACGATTCTGAATAGCGACCTGGAAACGAGTGATAAATTCGGCCAGTCGAGGATCCGTCTTTGCCGGAGAATTCGACATTAGATGGCTTGTAATTGGGCTGGATCAACATGCCTTTGTCACCAAATACCTCAAAGCGTTGATCGTAACCGAAGACGGCACGCCTGGATATATCAACCAGCCCTATCCCTCCGCTTGGGAACTTCAAGACAATCGCTAAGGTATCCACGTCATTCATCGCTCTAATTTCGTCGATGAAGCAATGAGCCGTCGTATATACGCTCAGCGGTCTCTCTCCAAAGATCCACGCCAGCACGTCGAGATCGTGCACTGCGCAGTCGTGGTAGATGCCGTTTGTTCGTCTCAGGAATTCCATGGGTGGCAGAGGTGAATCACGACTTGTGAGTTTGGCCATTTGCACTTGCCCCACCTCACCAGACTTAGTTCGGTCGTATATCTCCCGGACTCCGGGGTCAAAACGCCGGTTGAAACTGCATATTAAAGGTAGATTTCTCTTCTTCGCCTCGTCATAACATTTGGCTAGAAAAGACGATGAATTTAAGGCGCTGTTACACTATGCAACTTTCCTTGCAACTTGCAATCCAATTCTAATTTTGAGGGGTGTTAATTTGCAAAGAGTGTACAAAATGCTAAGAAAACGTCATCAATCAAAGGAATTGTTTGCATTTGACAACTTTGGATGCCTCACAAGTGGAATTGCAATCGAATTGCAAGGAAAGTTGCATAGTGTAACAACGCCTTTAGTGATTTAGACAGCGTTTAATAGACATGCACCTCCCGAATTTGTTCTCGGGCAATGAAAACCTTAAACCTTCCCACTAACAATAGATTTCATTGCCCGCTTCGTTTCCAAGCTATTTTTTTGCGTGCACTCAAGCAAGCAAATTCGGGAAGTGTCAAGAGTCTATTGCTATTTACTTAGTGTTTCATTCAAATCACTGTGTTCAAATCTAGAGGCTTACGTGTATGACGATGACATATCTCTGTCGCGTGTTGTGACAGCTTATACTGTATCGATTGCGAAATATTTAGGCAATGTCCGCAATGATGATTGTAGCTTCACTAGCTTGTCTGAGAAACTCTGAGCTCTTACGGACCTGCGCTTTTAACCTCGCATAGATCTTGCCTGATCGATCTTATACCAAGCGAAATCTGAACAGGTCGATAGAGAAATACGGTTTCTGTGCAACAGTGAGTAACTAAATCCCCCACAAATAACCTAAAGTCCTAATTCCACGGGCTAAATTTTCAAGAGATATGCGAAATATTTCGCCTGCTTCTTTTGAATGTGAGCAATGGAACAGAATTAATCAATTCAAGCGGTCGAAATTCAAAAGAAACAGGCGAAATATTCCGCATTTCGCCGAGAAAAAGCGCCCGTGGAATTCGGCCCTATTCTGCCCTAAGTTCTCTGTGTCTGTGTCGTATTTGTGAATAGTAAACTTGCTTGACATTAGATCATTTCATACCAATTTTTTCTACGCTGTTTGCCAAAGGCTTCTCACAAAACACAGCTTTGTTCGCCCCTAAACTGGCGAGCACCAACTCTTCGTGGCTTTGCGTCGGAGTTGCAATAACACAGGCATGAAGTGAGTCATCACTAAGAACGCTCTTGTATTCGCTGGCGTGAATAATTTTGGTATTTAATCCATATTCGGACACGAACGTCTCTGCCTCGCTTGTGTATTCCTCGACCAAGTACCTCAAGTCAACGCGCACGTTATTAAAGAGGTTTTTAAAGTGAATTTTTCCAGCCCGACCAAGGCCAAACAATGCGACATTAATGCGAGAATCCATGGCGATGATGCATGCGGCTGATAGTAATACACGAATTTAATCCTCTTGAGATCAGGTCAGGTCTTAATAGATTAGGTTTATGATTGTTTAAGATTAACTCTAAACCTTAACCTTGTAAAGAGTGTTTAAAATGCTAAGAAAACCAGTGCTTCCACTTTCAAATTTGAAATCAAGCATATATCCATGCTTGCAAAGTTACATAGGACCAGGGCCGTCCTCAGGATATTTTACAGGGGGGGTGTAAGGTAATCTAAACCGACTGATCGACGGACTTGTACCGACTACACTCTGGATGAAACTTTGTCAAGTTTATATTGGATCGGTCTATAGTGTCAACAGTATGTTTGTCTGCCGACTAAAATAGCAATTTTACCGACTAAACCTCAGAATAAACTTTCTGGGGGTGTGTGACACTCCCCTAAACCCCCCCGTAGCTCCGGGCATGCTGATAGGACAAGCATTTGACCATTAAAACAGCGTGGTTATCCATGTCAAAATATTTAACTTCATAACCAAAGCATGGCTATATTGTTAAATGTTTGTATATGAGCACATAACATACTTGCAACTTTACATAGGACAAGCAATTGACCATTAAAACAGCGTGGTTATCCATGTCAAAATATTTAACATCATAACCAAAGCATGGTCATATTGTTAAATGTTTTTATATCAGTATATGAGCACAAAACATACTTGAAACTTTACATAGGACAAGCAATTGACCATTAAAACAGCGTGGTTATCCATGTCAAAATATTTGACATCATAACCAAAGCATGGTCATATTGTTTAATGCTTGTATATGATTACAAAACATGCTTGAAACTTTACATATATAGGACCAGAATTAGACCGTTAAAACAGCGTGGTTTACTTGATTCAAGTATACTCGATTTTTGAACAAGTGTACTTGTCATAGAAAAAATTGTCCGGCAAAGTTGGGCGTACAGATGAACAATTAAAACTTGTCACATAAAACTTGTCATAGAAAACGTGCTCGTCTGTAAGGGGCCTAAAACAGCGTGATGATGCATGTCAAAATATTTGACATCATAACCATAAATTAGGATACAGCTTCTTGCGCCAAATTCAAAGAGCCGTTAACATCACTACGGCCATTTGGAAGAATACCGCTTAGGTAAAAATGTACTACTGTAACCCCCCTCTTATATTACAAGCGTAAAAATTGAAACCTGTCTATAAACGCTAATCACAGGTTAGTCGCAATAACTTCGTAGCAAAGCTGGCCAAATCTGGAAAATCGACACTAATGATGTCGTCTTTGTTGGTAACAATTTTCTCGAGTTCGCCCCTAAATTTCTTCACCTCCTCCTCTTTTCCCGCGGCAACGCCAACAATTTTAATATCACGTGACTTCATTGCGTCAGCCATCTGGTGAGCAAGCTTTAGGTCATGCGCATTACCGTCTGTGAACAGAATCAAAATGTCATCGACCAAAGGTCGGTCGTTGCCATATTTGTTGAAGACCTGAAAAACATTTCAATATAATCACCGCGCTGGAAATTGCTGCATGTTTGACGATGTCTTCAGTTGAAATGACAACTAAATTTATGAACTTCAATTGGAACAAATGAGAGGCATTTATCTAAATTCTAATCGTAAACATAAGACCTAAATCCTGGTTGAATGTAAATCTTGATTAAGTCAGAAACATCCAGTCTTATTGGAATAAACTAAATTGCTCTCCGCCTAAAAATGTCATTCAAATTCAAGTTTTCTCTCAAAATTCTTCAAAAAACTAACCTCTGTGCTGACCCTACTCAGCGCGTCCCCAGTCCTCGTTTGGCGTCCAGCGTGATACGTCATGGATTGTATGACGTCAATGATCTCCTCCGTGGAGTGCTTGTCGAGCCTTAAATTTTTTTCAGTTCTTTTTGCCTCGCTGTATTGCATCATTCCAATATGCAGGTTATCATTCTGCCTGGTCAGCAGAATGACGAGGTCTTGGAGAAGTTTTCGCACATTTCTGAAGTTCGTGTGCTTGATGCTGGCTGATCCGTCAATTACGAAGTAGATGTCATGTGGGCGACCATCGCATTGAAAAGAAGCTGGTGGGTCTGAAATAATCAAAATATTTTGGCATTATAAATAAACAATTCTCCCAAGAGCTTGGGTGACTCTATCAGTTCTACGCTGTTCTTCCTAGAGGTCCAGTAAGGATCATCTCTTATTAATCCAGTGTTACTACAGGAGGAAACCTAAACTAAACTAACTTCATTTGTACTGGATAACTCTATCAGTTCTAAACTGTTCTTCCTAGAGGTCCAGTAAGGATCATCTCTTATTGATCCAGTGTTACTACAAGAGGAAACCTAAACTAAACTAACTTTATTTATACTGGATAGCTCTATCAGTTCAAAACTGTTCTTCCTGGAGTTCCAGCAAGGATCATCTCTTATTGATCCAGTGTTACTACTGGAGGAAACCTAAACTAAACTAACTTTATTTATACTGGATAGCTCTATCAGTTCTAAACTGTTCTTCCTAGAGGTCCAGTAAGGATCATCTCTTATTGATCCAGTGTTACTACAGGAGGAAACCCAAACGAAACTAACTTTATTTATACTGGATAGCTCTATCAGTTCTAACTGTTTCCTCTGAGTGAAAATTGTTCCTTAAATATAAAGCACAAATAATCCCAGGAAGTCCTTCATTGTATAAGAGAGTTCTTCATCGCACTTACAATTCTTCCTGTAGTAAAACTCAGAGCATATGGGCTCCCAAATGAAATCAAACAGCTCGCGAAAATGGGATGGAGGCGACAGTGTTGATGTAAACAAATATGTAACATTCACAATCTCGTTCCACTTTTGATCAACTAAGTATCGCAAATCGCCGAAGGAGATGACGATGATTTTGATATATCTTGCCTTGAGCAAATCAATCTCAGACACGACCTTGGCTTGGTCGCTAGCAAAGCCGTTTGTCAACAAAATGATGATACCTTGAACTTCGTGCCGGTCATGTTTTGTGTTGAACTCGTAGAACTACAGCAACGAAAAGCAGTACATCAGTACCTGGTGTTTATAGATTGATGGAAGCATCTCCCTTTTAGATTCACGTTGTCATTTCAACGTCCCAGACGTGTTCAATGAAATATCTCATCGAAAAGCATCTCCTTACGGACCTTACCATTTTGATATAGATATATTTAGCTTAGCTAGGATGAAACACATAGTATCTCGACGTACGCTCATCTTGCAACGGAAAATACTCGTTCGGTATAGCACTGTTTGTGATTGTTCAATAAAATACCCGAAGAAACAGCTATTTTAGTAAATGAAAGGAATGAAAGGATAAAACTACTCATGTGTATAGAAAAGGAAAGCGTTTAAAAGATTTCTAACCGTTTTTCCAACTTCTACAAGCGCTTCCCCTGTGAATCTTTTTGAATGACCTTGCAGTTCCATTTTATCCAAATCATTCTCGAGGTCATTTCTATCCTTGTACTTTGTGATATCTCTAACCATTCTGGCCGTGTTTTTATCGCTGAACTGCATCACACCCGTCATGAATGATTCATCAATCTGATTGAAACGTGCAATGGAGTAGCTGATAAACTGTTTGGCCTTTTCTAATTCAGACTCGGTGACGTTCGCCGTGGTGTCGACCATGTAGAGGATGTCCCTCGGTTGTGTGGTGGTACACGCTTCAGGCGGGGGTCGCTTTGTAGGACGGGTGGTTGGTCTTGTTGTCTCGACGGTCGTTGGACGTGTTGAAGTCGGAAGGGTTATGACCTTATTAGGGGCTTGGATTTCTATTGAATTTAAGTCAAGCACAATTAGCAACAGATGTAACAAATCTCGAAACAATTTAAAATATAACAATTTAAAATGTAACAATTTAAAATGCAACAAATTTCGACGTATAATCTCGAACAAGACTACTGAAAAACAGTGTCCGCAAATTGTTATCACAATGCAAGTCAGCTATTGAAGATATTGTGTTTTTGATCAAAATTCGTTGTTCTTATTATTTTATTAATTTCGTGTAAAATGAACATCTGCAGTCATCAAACTTTTCCCAGTCATTTATTGATTTGGACACGCACTATACGCACAATATGCTAATGATATTCACAATATACCTGGCTCTCGAGTCACTGGCACCAATGTACAAATTTTGTTCAGAATGTGATTACCGACTTGGTCAAGATAATCAAAATTCGACCTAAGCATGTCTTGCAAGCTCGAAGCCATCAGCTCGATCTGATCTTCAAACAATTCCGTTTCGGTTCCAACCGCGGCAGCGATTATCCGCACTCCGCGAACTTTCAGTTTTTCCGAATATTCGCTAGCGACCGCTGCGTCTTTCATTCGGCCGTTCATAAGGATCACCAGGGTGTCGCCAACCTCCGGACGATCTCCGTCAGAGCCCGTAAATACCTGAAAGAGTGTTGATCAGAAACAAGTTGAAACAAAATTGATGGTAAACATCATTAGAAAACATGCATGATCAGATTTGAAAGCGACAAACTACGAAGTCATTTGCTTTCATTGGAAAAAATAAGTTCACTTTAAGCCATGAAAAAGTGGCTTATGTTACTGTTGATTATATTATGGTACTCACCGAAGTATAGACTTTCTTCAGTGCTTCTCCAACGTATCTATCTGGTTTGTTGTAAAACGGCATATCCTTGAGTAAATATTCAATATCAAGCGGATTTTGCGAGGACTCAAAACTAAATATTACTTTTGTTCTCTCCTTGTTGCTAACTTCTATTACTCCAAGACGTATCTTCCTAGAATCCAGATCAACTTTTCTCACGAACCTTGCTAAGAATTCCACTTGTCTTTTGAAATTTTCCGGCCCTACACTAGCGCCGCCATCAATAAGGAAGAAAATATCGCGTTCGTTGCACTCTAAAAGAGGCAAGACGTGTAATATACTGTTTAGAGTATTGGTGTCTTCAAATAAGAGAATGCCTTAAAACAAGATTACCTTCAACTCGCATTTTAACAGGTGGACCAGCTGGGATTCTATCAGAGGTCGTAGGAGCATTAGTTGGTGTTGTTGTTGGTTCTGGTGTTGTTGTTGGTTCAGGTGTTGTTGTTGGTTCAGGTGTTGTTGTTGGTTCAGGTGTTGTTGTTGGTTCAGTGTTGTTGTTGGTTCAGGTGTTGTTGTTGGTTCAGGTGTTGTTGTTAGTTCAGGTGTTGTTGTTGGTTCAGGTGTTGTTGTTGGTTCAGGTGTTGTTGTTGGTTTAGGTGTTGTTGTTGGTTCAGGTGTTGTTGTTGGTTCAGGTGTTGTTGTTGGTTCAGGTGTTGTTGTTGGTTCAGGTGTTGTTGTTGGTTCTGGTGTCGTTGTTGGTTCAGGTGTTGTTGTTGGTTCAGATGTTGTTGTTGGTTCAGGTGTTGTTGTTGGTTCAGGTGTTGTTGTTGGTTCAGGTGTTGTTGTTGGTTCTGGTGTTGTTGTTGGTTCAGGTGTTGTGGTTGGTTCAGGTGTTGTTGTTGGTTCTGGTGTTGTTGTTGGTTCAGGTGTTGTTGTTGGTTCTGGTGTTGTTGTTGGTTCAGGTGTTGTTGTTGGTTCAGGTGTTGTTGTTGCTTCAGGTGTTGTTGTTGGTTCTGGTGTTGTTGTTGGTTCTGGTGTTGTTGTTGGTTCTGGTGTTGTTGTTGGTTCTGGTGTTGTTGTTGGTTCAGGTGTTGTTGTCGGTTCTGGTGTTGTTGTTGGTTCTGGTGTTGTTGTGGGTTCAGGTGTTGTTGTTGGTTCAGGTGTTGTTGTTAGTTCAGGTGTTGTTGTTGGTTTCTGTGTAGGTTCCGTTTCATGAGCTATGCAAAGCTTGTTCAACAAACTTCTAGAAGTTCGAGGCAAATTTTCAAAGGACGTTGTCAATAAATCTCCTGGACTTGTGGCTAGTCTTCGTAGTTCTATCATTCTCGCCTGTGTCATTTTTCCAATTCCAATAGGTATAATTCTGATGTTCCTTGCTTTCAAAAAAGAAGCCTCAAACTGTGCTTTTATAATATCACTGGATGGACCAAAATTAAGTAAAATTACAACGTCCTTAACGTTTCGTCGATCACCATTGCGTCCCGTGAATACCTATTGGAAAAGAAACAGTTTAACCGTGAAAAGGAATAACTCGTGCAAAGTCCAAAAAGAAGTTACGCTACACTCTTGGACTGAGATAGAAGAGTGAAATATTAGTGATATGACAATTGTCACGAACCGAGCCTTCGACAGCTTGTAGTGCCTGTCCAGTATATCTGCCTTCACCTTCCTGATAGTACAGCGAACGTATCCTTTCCACAAGGGAGCTTTTGAATTGTAAGTCTTGAAACATAATTTCCAAAGATGCTAAGTGAGGTAAGCTAAATTGTAGCAGACCAATGTGGCTCTGTGACGGGCTGACATTCGAGTCGTTTACAAAATTTGTCAAAAACTCTTTAACTTTGGCAAAATCAACATTGTCCGCGACCGAACCGTCTACCATTAGGAAGATATCATAGGACTCACCGCCACAGCTTTCTAAAAGGAAATCACAGTAGTTATAGACTATACTCACTATAGTAAACATCATAATTACGCGTGTTCATTTATAAATTGGGAATCACCTACTTGTTGTCGCAAATGCTTCTGTAGTTGATCGTTTAGTCGTCAGGGCCTTGGTGGTTGTAAGAGCTTCTGTAGTTGTCAGAATTCTGGTTGTTGTCGGAGCTTCGGTGGTTGTTGTTATTTCAGTGGTTGTCGGAGTTTCTGTGGTCGTTGATGCTTCGGTAGTCGTCGGTATCTCGGTGGTTGTCGGAGCTTCAGTGGTCGTTAATGTTTTAGTAGTCGTCGGTATTTCGGTGGTTGTCGTAGCTTTAGTGGTCGTTAATGCTTCGGTAGTCGTTCGCATTTCAGTGGTTGTTGGAGCTTCAGTGGTCGTTGTTACTTCGGTAGTTGTTGGAGTTTCTGTGGTCGTTAATGCTTCGGTAGTCGTCGGTATCTCGGTGGGCGTCGGAGCTTCAGTGGTCGTGAATGCTTCGGTAGTCGTTGGTAATTCGGTGGTTGTCGCTGGGCGAGTTGATACGGTAGGCGTCTCTAACGCCAGACAAATTTCATTTGCAACATCCAGGGCAGTCTTCTTAGCCACATCTTGTGTAAGGTTCGCAAAAGTGAAAGTATATACATTTCGTGGACCAGAGGCCATTTCTTCAAGATCTTTAATAAAGCGAGAAAGATAAGGCCCTATTCCGACCCCGATAATTCGGATACCATTCTTCTTCAAGGTCCCGGCGTAATTTTTCGCTTCGTAACTGTCGTGTGCCTGACCGTCTGTGAATATGATTATCAGATCGTTCGCATTCGGTCGGTGATAACCTTTTCCAGAGGATACCTGATTTAAAGGCAACGTTTGTAAAAGGACGGATTTTGACACAAATTTCTATTCTAGGAACTGAGCTGATTACTAACTGCTGGATGGATAAAAGTTTGTCTGGTTGCACGAAGCCTGGATGACGCTATATATACACTGGATGGTGATTTTTTCAACCATTGCAAAAATGCTTGAAAAGCAATAAAGTTGCAGCTTTGGAGCTGATAATTATTAAATAGGATCCCAATTTAAGAATCCCAAGGTTTATTTAAGGTTAACCCCCCCCCCCCCCTTCAACGATTCCTCTATTTCACGTCTGAAGCAAGTCTTACCGAGTCGAGGACTATCTTTAAAGCTTGACCAGTAAACGTTTTCTGACCGCTGTGATAGCGCATGTCGCTGATTCGTTTCAATATGGCTGACTTCTCCTGTCTGTCTTTGAAGTCAAATTCGACACTCGTGAGCTGTTCTTCGCTGAACTGAATGAGGCCGATGTGGTTCGTGTCATTACCAACTTGTACATAACTAATGAAGTTGATGAGGAAATTTTTGAGCTTTTTAAAATTGCTTGGTGTGATGCTTAGAGATCCATCGACGATGAAATAGATATCGTGAAATCTTTCGTAATTGCATTCAACTAAAGAAGAAGGCATGGCGAATGTTTTGAATACATTGAAAATTGACAAGAGAACACGATAAACAGCAATGGCAACCCCCTGTATTTAGCTGAATCGGCATTTACCTGATGAAATATCACGCTTTCTGCGTGGCAGCCCGTTGACAACATGAGCATTCAACGAAGCAAAAACTACGAACATTATATATACCAGAGCCGCCATTATGTGAGAACCTTCAAAGAAAAATGATCACAAATTAATTCGATCAATACAGAACGGGAAATGGCTAAATATATATGATTGTTTGTTTGTAAAACCGAGTAAAGCCATGCCACAGGAATGTGCGTTGCTATACCTAGAGTTTGTCTCTCGAAATTTATCCACTGGATGACAGTAAAGGTGGCTAGCCCCGAAGATGCAATTTGCACTAAGGTGCAAATGTAACATTATCGATTCACGCGACGATTTAAAGGCAAGGGCAGGCTGCACCTATTGACCAGCCAGCACTTTTAAATAAACATGATGCGTTACTAAAAACCATATTGAATAACTATTATAAGCAGATCCAGTATAAATTAGGAGGTTTTGGTGACCCATCCATTATACTGACAGCTCAGAGCTGGCTAGGCGCATGTGCGGTGATTGGGTTCCAGACATCCTTAACGTCATATTGGGCTTTCTCTGTATACTAACGAGTGACAGTCTTGTCTGAAAGTCTCGTGTCCTAATGATACCTCAGTGGGACGCCACAGCATGTCGAAGCACATTGAAGATTATCTCGCTGGACTACTTGAGAACTACATCAGGCTTATTATTATTAATCAAGAGCTCAAATACCAAGCATAAAATGTGTTGCAGATTCCGAGAAATCAACTACCGAAATCTATCGCTTTGGTAAAAGATGCGAGGCTATTGCCTTCTAACAAAGGTCGGAGTGATAAAAGATTGCATTTAGAAAAGTGTTTATGAACACGTTTGAAGGTTGAGCAATGCATTGCAGATGTTTTTTAACCTGTGATTTATCCACATCAACTGGACTCTAGCCAATTGTTGACTAGTTTGTTTGGTTGGTTGAGCCACTCAATTCGTCCCATAATCCTATTGTAATCGCTTACATCATCCGTATTTTATATCTATGATATATCTATCGATTCAAAACACCATATAGAAGTTGTTACGCGCGACATTTAAGTACTCGATTCCCAACATTGAAACAACCACTTATTTTTATTTCATCGTAGGACTTCCAATCTTCTAATCGTATTACAAAGCAACGATGATAGTTTGTTTATTGGTAAAATCTTGACTTTAAAACTAAGAGGATCGTAAGGATTGAATTTCAAGCAACGTGCACATTTGAAACGCATTAGCTAACTAACGTATGGCATGAGGTCACGAATTTCATCGCTTTGTGAACAGGCAAGTTTATGTATCTTCCCTTCCAGTAGATTCGGAGCAAGGCAGGCATTTATCAAGAGGAGAAATATCACGCGGGAACCCAGAGAACATTTAATCGCACCGTTTGTGAACACGTACGAAATGTTGCGTCGTTTGAACCACACTACACTGCGTGTGTTTAAAAAAAATTTCACGGCAAAAATCCGCGTCACTTTTCGTACGAACGAAAGCTAAACGCGTACAATTTGTCACGCGAAGCTGAAGGAAATAAAACAGAGGGCAGCCCAAACTTGAATGAAGAATTGTTCTTGATAGTTACATAATGCGATATATTCACTACATAATCTGATATATCGAAGTTAATCGCATGCATCGTATCATGAAGGTAAGCAAATGTTTATATTCACCGCAGATAAAATTATTTTAAGCTGAAGTTAGAGTTTTATGCGTGGCATAACAAAGAAACCCGTTACCCACCTTTAAAACAACCCACTTTTAAAGCAGCTTCTGTTTCCTCTCCGTACAATTGTGTTTTTGGGAAGCTATTCTTCGATAGATTGAGCTACCATCGACTGCAAACGTTTAATACTGACTTATGCCGTCTGACCAATGTGTATCCTTCTTTACTCTGACCAATTTTGGATACCTCTTTCAACACTCTGGATTGAGAGATTTATTTTGAAACATAATTAAACATCTGAAGTACTTTTAAAGAACATGATGACGTTCTAGGGCTACGATTAACGGCTATCACATAACTAGAAAAAGTGGAAGATGACAGGCTTTAATATTCGACTCTAGTTCTTTTTCATCTTTCCAAGGTCATGCTAGTAATCTTGTTGTTCCACCACTTCGGATTGGGAAAAGATTGTCCCGAGTACATGGATGAATAACCATGTTTTCGCAACGGGGAAAACAAGATACGAGTCATTCAGGCGAGAGTGCATCAACTGATATTTTTTAAAATCAAACTTGGGAAAAAGACAGTTGCCTATATCGCTTCTAATCGACGAAAACGGCAATCGAAGGCTCGCTGTGCATGACTGTGAGATCGTGTATCAACACACAATATGTTTTTGATTAGATGAAAAAAATTTCTGCAAGCCTGCGAAGTGGTCTCAGTGAAATCGTGGCTTTTTATACTTTGCTGAGCTAAATAGCTCAAGAGACGATTAACTTAACGCGAATGATTATCCACCGCGCACGAGAGGAACTTGTCTCGCAATTAAGCCGATGAATTCCTCACAAAAACTATCTAAACACAAGCGAGACCTGCTGAGGTGGCATATGTCGCCAGGTTGTTAGTTCAGGCAAGTAGTTCCCGCATTTGTCATGCCTAAAATAGTCACTAGCTATCAACTCTCGTGTTCCAATCAAACTAGAACGAAGCTCACGCGATCGAGATCAACAAGATATCATGCACATGCGAAGAGTAATTTAATTTCACAGGAATCCGACCAACCCAGTGCTTAGGCCAAAAGATCGCGAGGGTCGTATGTGCCGATGTAAATTTCCTGTCGACAAACGTTAAGATGCCCTGGTAAACATTTTTAGAATCTAACCCATGCAGCTCCAAGTTCAAGTTCATGAAGAAGACGGAAGGCAAACTATACGTGGTAAAAAATTGAACCTATAACACACTCGTATTTTCACTGATTTATTATGTTACAATCACACTGTATTATTATAAATATTTTCACAACAAGATTGTGTATGTTGCCTTTGCTTCTAAACAAGCCTAAAGTTCTTCGGATTAATAAATATGTTTTTTTGTATGGGTTCCTAGAACCCGTACACTATCCTCTCGACTCTTAAACTCTACATTGAGTTATTTATGGTATTCTACTATATTCTTGGCGTGATCTTACGGCCTCCTTTCTTCTGTAACGGTTTTGTGTGTATTTTACCTTTAAGTGAGTATATTTCTGGTTATTTTTTTGCCAATCTACTCTCAGTTTCCATGCCGATTTCAAAGGCGCTTTTTTCTCATTAATCCTAAGAGTCGGCAGACGAGCGGGAACGCTTTTTCGGCGAAGAATTCGAGCTGTTCAAAATCAACAGTAAACGCATATTCAGGTCCAGAGGCCATGTCGATTAATTCCTGTTTGAATTTTTGGATTGATCGCTCGGTTCCAGCCCCAATGGTAATGATGAAAATGCCTTTTTCCTTCAAAAACGCAGCCTGTCTGCGGGCTATTCTCAAGTCGTGGGCATTGCCGTCGGTGAATATGATCAACATATCGGGGATGTACGGACGATCGCCGTAAAGTCCCGTGAAAACCTGTGTTTATCAAAAATATGCACGCATTAGGCGTTGAAATGAAAGGTTCTCGCCATGAAAGGTTCAAATTGGGATAATTGGTAGCATTAAAGATAGATTAGGTTATAGTTATGGCTTGAATTTGTGTTTAAATTGATAATAAGCCACTCACCTCGTTGTTAACACGAGTCAGCGCATCGCCAGTTGCTGTGCGCGTCCCAGCTTGGTAATTCATGTTACGAATATTTATGATCGTCTCGAACTCCGTGTACGCACCTAAGTCCCAGACCACCGAAGTGAGACGTTCCTCGCTGTACTGCATGAGTCCAGTGTGAATGTTGGACGACTCCACTCTTAGTAGTGAGATGAAATCCATCAAAAAGATCTGGACTTTGGCGAAGTTGGGGGTTTTGATGCTCGCTGATCCGTCGATTACGAAGTAGATATCTTGTGGATCACGACGGCACAGAGATGGACTTAGGGCCCCTTGAATTTTCGAAAGATTTCGATGTTATTGCAAATAAAAATAGCTGTCGTATTGACTACCTTTATCAAGCTGTTCCTTCTAAAGGTCAAGTAAGGATCATCTCTTATTGATCCAGTGTTACTACAGGAGGAAATCTAAACTAAACTAACTTTATTTATACTGGATAGCTCTATCAGTTCTAAAATGTTCTTCCTGGAGGTCCAGTAAGGATCATCTCTTATTGATCCAGTGTTACTACAGGAGGAAATCTAAGCTAAACTAACTTTATTTATACTAGATAGCTCTATCAGTTCTAAACTGTTCTTCCTGGAGGTCCAGTAAGGATCATCTCTTATTGATCCAGTGTTACTACAGGAGGAAACTTAAAGTTAAAACTAAACTAAGGATCATCACTTATTGTTCTCTTTTTAAAAGATACTTACTGCCAGGTTTAACAGGTTTTTCGAATTCTGAACAGATCGTTTCTATTGCTTGAAAACGCTGTTTCTTTAGGCCTCTGTACTTTGAAAGAATGACGTTGCTCTTCTCGGTTATCTCTTCCAAGAACGATGCAAGAAATTTTGATGATGGTGTTGAACGAACTCCAACAGTAATGAGTTGGACTTGTCTTAATCCTAACAGTCTAGCTGCACTACGAGTATCCTCTTTGTCGTTTGGTATTCCTCGCGTGATGAGAACGATCACATTTGGATTGCGTTCTCGCTGTCTCACTGCATCAAGCTCGTAGAACTATGATTAGAAGTAAATACAACTTGAGATTTTGCTTAAACAAGGAGTGATTAGACTTAGCAAGTATCCAACGTTTTTATATTATAATAATTATATATAAACTTTCACGTTCTTGACAGACTGGAACAGAGTTGATGAGAGTTAGCAAGCCGAGAGGTTATATGAGTGTTTTCTCAACTATCATGTCCTGATCAAACGAGAATGAGAGTTGATGAGAGTTAGCACGCGAGAGTTTACATGAGTGTTTTCTCAACTATCATGTCCTGATCAAACGAGAATGAGAGTTGATGAGAGTTAGCAAGCGAGAGTTTACATGAGTGTTTTCTTAACTATCATGTCCTGATCAAACGAGAATGAGAGTTTAATGAAAGTTACCAAGCGAGAGTTTTATCACATGAGTGTTTTCTCAACTATCATGTCCTGATCAAACGAGAATGAGAGTTGATGAGAGTTAGCATGCGAGAGTTTACATGAGTGTGCTAACAGCTATATCACAATTCATAGGAGAATCACCTCAACATGTTAATGTTAATCGGAGTTTATATCATTCATTCTTGTCTTATATTTTGGACAAACAAAGCTTAAGATACCAACCTTATGATTAGCTGCGACCAACGCATCCCCGGTGAACCGTTTGTATCCCCTCTGTTGAACAATGGTCCCCAATCGTACTTTAATCTCCCTATACTCCTTTGGGTTCATGAAATCTATTTCCATTTTTGCGGAGCCTTTTTCAGTGTATTGCATCACACCAACCTGAATCTATCATCGTTCATAACCGACTTGATAAACCCCTTGACTTTTCTGAAATATTTGTGGGAGAGATCGTAAGAAAGTTGGAAGTTAACCGAACCATCGACCACGAAAAGAATGTCTTTTCCCTCGCTCCCAGAGCAGCCGAGCGGCGGTGAGGTTGTGCTCACTTCTGTTGCTGTTGTGCTCACTTCTGTTGTCAGATGCTCGGTCGTTAGACTGGGTAGACTGGGTGCCAGGGCACGAATCCTCGTCGCTGGCTTCTCTGTCTGTGGTTTCAACTCTGTGGTTGGCCGCGTAGTCGCTAAAATGAAATAGACCAAGTGCATTAGTTCAGTGCCGGACTTTTCCGTACTCGCAACTTTAAATTTCATTGTCAGACCAGGTATAGAACCCAGCCAATGATATACGGATAGCTATGCTTGTGTATATAAAGCTTCAAAACCCCAATATTTACAAGACAATGCTTAGAGCAGAATGTGGCAGTATTGTCTTATAGGAATTCTTATGACAAGTTCGTTTTTCCTAAACCTGTAAGGGTATCACAATATAATCATTCAAAACCAAGAAGTATCTCCTATGTGGCTACAACAGAATGTTTCTTCCGGAATAGACTGACAAAAATGAGATAATTTAGCTTATCGTCATTCTTGATCTTATGTGAAAGCAGTTTGAAATCAGCATGTTCATTCAGCAACGAGTAGCCCTGTATTTTACTTATAAAATAAAGGTTACTAAACATTCTTAGTATACTGATAGTGTTTCAGCCGTGTCTTAATATAAAACAATAAATGCATGTACTTTATCAAATTACAGATTTGCATGTCTGTCGCGAGAAAGAATTAATTGAGATGAATTGATAATGGTGCCTAAATGGATAAATAGATAATAGCCAATTAAATCGATCCTATCAGTGTTATCTTCCACCTAAAGTTCCTTTATCAGATTCTGTCTGTGATAATTAATATAAACTGATATGAGTAATTCTGTATCAGTGGTAATATTACTGTCTAGTGTGTAGCAATTATGTTTTGGGGGAAAAACAGAACGGACCTCAGGTTAAATTTCGTATTACCTTTAGGAGATTTTGTTTCGACATTGCATGACGTGTTTTTTTTCCCACAAACTGGCAATAACCTTGGCCCGCAAGCATTTTAAGGGCACTTCCTAAACGGTCTAGAAATTTTTTTCATTGTAAAATATGTACAACTGCCAATACCCATGGGTGTATGTCGCCCATGTTTGGTACACAAGTCTAGAACTGTACTTGTCAAGATCATCGCCCAACAACCTGCTAGCATTTATGGCGTGCGTGAGTATCAGCATATCGCGCCCACCCACTGCGCGATACTTGTGCATTGTGGGAATGATTCTAGTTTGAAAGGGAACTCTATCACGTGGACAGACACGCAGATATAATAAAACTGGCAGAATGCCGGTTACCTCAAAGTAAAAGTGCAAGTTGAAAATGTAAACAAAAAAGTTTCCCATGATAATATTAGACCAGTTCGTATTGAAACTGATTTGTTCCCCGCCTCATAATCATATATGTTTACTTTATTGCTATGTTTGGTCCATAGATAGGCTGTTGAACGCTTATAAAGCATGCTTTAGTTTGTTCCACTTGTCCAACATAGCTTTAAATGAATGTTTTTGTAAGATTGACTGTCCTGCCTAGGATGTACTCATCTGTTTGCGCCATAATACAATCTCGCGCGATGTAAACAGTTTTCACTTCCTGTGATATTTGTTTAAACTTCCAGACCACCTGAAACATGTTTTGATACAGAAAAGCGAATTGAAATAGCGTTTTTGTAAACGATTCTGGTCAGAAATTTGATGAATTTTAGGCTTTCTTTATACATGAGGAAATTCATTTTGACACTGATTTCATGTTACGAATAGTTCTTGATGTTGTGAAATTTGTTACGACAAATTAATGCATTTCGACAGAGCTTCATCAATGTGAACAATTTATCGAAAACTCATCGCCGAATTCCTCAAAGGTCAGTGTTCTTCAAAATACTTACGAGACCGTATGAAATTTACAAGGCAAAAAGGACTTTAAGTATTTTACGATGAGACAGTGGCTGGCTGGCCAAAAAAGGTTAGGAAATCCTCGCCGTAATTTCGGTTTTTACCAAGTAAAGCGCTCATGGAAGCGTGAATATTGGACAGAAACAATGGCCGACACAATGTCTATATACAAGTGACCTTCGTAGGAAATAAAAAATGAATTCCAGTGTAAACATTTGCTAGTGTTGTCAATATAAACACCTTGCATTTACCGCTCTTTCAATATATGTAAACTTCATCAAGCTATATAGTCGTATGATTTTCAATTTCTCACGACAAAATTTCATATCGTGTTTCTAGGTGTGAGCATATGTAAATGAAGGGCCTTCATTCATTTAAAGTGTTCTAAACTAGGCCAAAATTAGCAGGAATTTTAATGTGACGCGCCGGTCGCGAGCTATTGATTTGACAAGAGTCACTCGCATGGTGGAGATTTTTTCTCCCATTAAACTCATCAGCTATCATCGGCAAAGCCAAACTGTCTGCCAAGCACTAATGAACTAGCTTTAAATTGGACATACCCAGTATTAACATTGGCTACAATCCAAAACAAATGGTTCGGCTTTGTGCAGTACAAAACTATGCCATATTTTGAAAAACAGACAGTAGTACGTTTCATGTGGTTGTATTCAACTCCTACTACCCCTCCCCCCCCTCAACCTACTGTTGCATTGAAATTTGATTGACGCTTACTTTCAGATACGAAAACGATTTCAACGACTTCGTTTTAGGAAGGGTGGGGTGGGGCATGAATTTGAACACGAAAGTCATTCTGAATAAATAACAAGATGAATGCAATGATTTGTTTTACTTACGTGGTCTCGTCGTCGTAATTGGTGTACAAACTTTATTCACAATATCGACTGCTATACTCTCAAGGTTTGCAAAGTCCACCATTTTCACATCATCAGGGCTCGAGGCGATAGTCTGTAATTCATCTTTCATATCATGTTCGACTTTTTGAACATCTTCCCCGGCGCCAATCGCAATTACACGAACTCCCTTATCTTTCAAGCGCTTTGCCTGCAGAGCGGTGAGGTCGGGGTCACGAGATTTCCCGTCAGTGACGACAATCGTGATATCTGGAACGTCGGGACGATCACCTCCTGTTTTTGTGAAAACCTGAAATATGATGTTTTAAGATTGTTACTACAGGAGCAACCCTACACTAAACTAACTTTATTTATACTAGATAACTCTATCAGTTCTAAACTGTTCTTCCTAGAGGTCCAGTAAGGATCATCTCTTATTGATCCAGTGTTACTACAGGAGGAAACCTAAAATAAACTAACTTTATTTATACTGGATAGCTCTATCAGTTCTAAACTGTTCTTCCTAGAGGCCCAGTAAGGGCTTCTTCCTAGAAGCCCAGAATGAACCTTATACTTATAGCCATTCATGCAATAACTCATTTACACGAAGTACACCAGCCCTATGCATGCAGTCAAAAAACGACGACTGTTCTCACCTCGTCCACGACAATCTTTAAAGCAAGGTCAGTTCTTGTTCTTGGACCGCCATAGTACTCCATGTTCACGAATCTTTCACGGATCGTCTCAGCGTCGAACTTATTGTCGAGATTGAATCTTATCGCTGTGTTTTTTTCGTCGCTGAATTGCAAGAAACCAATTCGTGTCATATCGCGGCTGACGTGAACAGAAGACACAAGCTTTGTGAGAAACTTTCGAACTTTTTTAATATCCCTTCCTCCTATGCTTGCGGAGTCATCCACAACAAGAAACAAGTCCCTCGGCTGTTCTTCGCAAACTACAAATGAAAGGAGAAACAAAATACACTGTCAAATGAAGTAAACAAAAGCTCTGTGTATTCTGCCAAAGTTTCTGTAAATGCAGTGGATGTTCTGCACAAGGAAATCTTTAGGATTCGCTACAGTGTTCCTTAGAAATGAGATGGCATTTATAGCCGAGAAAGCCCCACAAATGTACAATCAATTGAGATTCTCTCTGAAGATGACTTTGAAATAAAGTCGAAAATTTACAGTTTCGACCTGTGTCTTGCTTGATTCATATTTTGACTCTCAAGATGTCCTGCTTATTCGGAATATGTTTTCTTCTTTACTTTTTTAAATTGTCGTCTGGTCGTGGTTTTTAAAGCCCCAAAAGTTTTACAAAAAAACCCTGAGAGTTACAATACACAGATTAGTCAAATTCCTAAGTTTTCAGAGGTAAATTTGAAAGTGCAAATCAGCAGAAACTTTTTACGTCGCTTTAAACTATATCGATTGCCATAAAAGTTGTACGTTAAGCTACAATACAAGCTAGATCTAGCTACTAAGAGAGCTTTCAATTGAAAGTGCGTTAAAGTTGCGAGGGCGACACAGACCAACTCTATCATCACAGCTTTATCAAAAGGCACTATCTGATCATGAACAATCACATTGCACTACATTAATTACGATAAAAAGTAATAAACTACAATTAGACTAAAACCTATTAGTAAAATTAACGGAAATAATTATAACATTTGCACAACAAACATATCTACTTAAATACGAAAGGGCGGAACATTAAATCTTTTCGTTCAAAAATGCCTGTTTCAGTATCTTGAGGGACTTACATCGTGTCTGATCATCAGGTTTTAAAAATAGTTTTTGAACTTTTATATTGAGTTATTTCCCGTGACAAATAAAGCAAGGATAATGATTTATTCACTGATGTCGATGCCGATGTAAACTTTTTTATATAAAACAGAGAATCTATATAAGATAATTATGGGTAATATTCAGCAAGCCGGGAAATCAGTTTCGCATCACGGAAATGTGTAAGAAGAGTCTTGAAAGTTCGACCAAAACGCCTCAAAAGTTTAAATACGATCGTAAAGATGCATGTTCGTGCGTTAATGCATACACGTCCGTTGCATGGAACCCAGCGTTTTATCACAAATTCACTAGACCTTTAAATTGTCCTGTATTAAGTTTCCTTAAGAGGAAACCTTTGTCTCGCTTCTACAAACAGATATCTGAATATCTCTCACAATCACATATGCACGCGATGCTAATGGAAACTTTGTGAACGGAAAGTAACATGAGAGAAACTGATTCAAAAAGCATTAGTAGTCTATGTTGCTTAGGAAAACTCGCATCTCTAAACCAAATCATACTGGCTAAATAAAAAGGAGATTGTTAAAAACTTTGCCTTTGCCAAACTGTTGAAAGTGTACGAATAATAAAAACCTTGAGATATTGCTCAATTCTTTGCAGGCTGTCTCTGCAATTCATGAGGGAAACGAGTTCAATATTTCTAAGGTTCGAAGCAGTTCCGTTATCGCTAAAAATAAAACTTATTTCGAAAGAAAAGCCTATTAATGAAATCACACCTTAGTTTTAATGACAGCTCAAAGAGAAAGTATGCATGCACCTCATCTGTAGTTTTAATATATGAAGGAGATACTCAGTCAAGAACTCTTCAGTTAATGAAGTACTTCATCTCTGATGCTGAGATGATTCGGTCTTTCCATTCAATTTCAATTCTGAAGTTCTCCATGACGATGTTGTATATAAATTTCCTATGAAAAAAGGGTATAATTCACCACGATGCGTGTCCATTGTCGAGGAAATATATGTCATAATGATTTCACCCCGATTTTTGATAATGGCGGAGATTAATAAGCTGCAAAACGTGTCTTTGCATATTGCGTCATGGATAACTTGTGGTCGCCGCACCAGTAAGTCATCTCGACACTGTTGTCGTTCTTACGACACCGTCAAATAGGACTTTTCACGCCCACCAAGTGACAATAGATGAAAGGCGACAACAAATGCGATGGTAAAGCTATTTTATAAGGTTTTCTCCAACGGCAATATCAATGCATGCAGAGAGTGGTTGTTAAGATAGCTGAAATTCGTTCAGACAATCAAAACTACGCAGTTTAAATCCGGTATTTTAAGAATTTAGATAAAAATAAAGGAGTTATCGTTATGAGGACGAAGCATTTCACGAATGAATGTTTGGAGCAATTAAAACGCTACTACGGTTGTTAAAAGTTACCCTAAAACAATTGACGCAGCATAGTTACCCTATGGCATTTCAAGAATTCAAGGGTATAAATTGAGTTGTTATCATTGAGAAGAATTAAGCATCCTGCGATCAGCTTTTTTATACGGGATTGTACGCGAGGAAGTCTTGAAATCAATTATATATTTTACCCGTTGAACAACGAGCAAAATGGAACAACATAATTTGCAGTGTGTATTCTTTATCGTAGTAATAGAAATTCGGGAAGATTTGAAATATTCTGCGTACAGTTATCAAGGAAACATTAACCAATCAAAGTCCACGCATCGGTTTAACCAATTACAAGCGTTGGCAGTGATTTTTAGCGCTGTTGAAGGCAAGCGGCTATAGCCATGGTCAAATGCGCATACTCGTACAGTAAGGGCACGTTCTGTGACGGTACATACGTAATTGCAGAAGTTTCCCGATGTCTTTTATCATATAGCCTGAAGGCTTCAGAAATAATGCGTACACAAGATCAACTTGAACCAATTCAAAAGCGCGGGATGTTTATGCAGACGTCAGGATTCCTTGCCTTCAAAGATGCTTAAAAACGAGAACCCTGTTATTATCATCATAACTGTCTTGTGTTATCGACCACTAGATTGCATAACAATATCCAACAATATTATGCACCTTATTTTGACGTTGAAAAACGTCAAAACGCATAAACAAAGACAGTCTTTGCTTGAAATATCGCATAGCAATTTTCGTCGCAAAAAACCGGCGATTTTTTAGCAACCGTTTCTTCAAAATGACAAGCTCGCTGCCAGACACACTGTCATTACGAATAATGATCGATTCAACTCCCGTCTTACAACGAGGGACGCGGTTTTACAAAGACGTCAACGGTGTACAATGATAGTGTACAATGTTCCTTGATTGGACATTGGCTTTGAAAAGCTGAGAGCTCTCTTTAAGTAACTATTCCGGCATAGTTGTGATTTTAAGATTTGCCGATCCAAAGCATGAGAACTAAGTTTGTTGTCGAATTTGCGACCAACAAAAAGATTCTTGTATTTAGAGGAAGAAAAAAAACGTCTATGCTTAGCTAAAAAACTGTTTTTAAAATCTGTTGGCATTCTCTCAAAATCTGGAATAACGGCTATATTCATGCATATTGGATGATAAGCGCCTTGCCGCGTTTACAAGAAGATCAACAAATTCCCACATGCAGCTTCAAATAGGCGCAATTGGATTATACTGACCAGGCAGCACGTACTGTCTCTTGCTTAAAATGGGCAGGAAATTCACACGATTTTTAGGGGAAAAGTGGCAATCTTAAAGCCCGCGAGGCTTTCCATGCATTTATCACAGGAAGCAATATATTTTTGGTATGCCACAATTCGTCGTGTGGTTTATGACTTTATGTATATTCCGTGTACGTAAGCATGTTTAGTAATTTGTACTTTCCGCCTTTCCAGACGCGAAGCTACCGCGTTTTTGTTGAAGTATATTGAACTTGGGCATGTTTCAGTCGTCCGTGCATGCAATCAGGCGTATTAGACGTAGATAAAAGCTATCATTCTTAATAGATTATTAGGTTACATAAAATTTGAAGGAATATCATTTACGATTTTCAAGCACGCGAAAACTTTGATTACGACGGCAAAAAACAGAGTGGCTTCTGTTTGATTTCTCAACTTGATTTCAAGGATTGAGAGGGTCGTTGATTTAAATGATACTGCATGGGTACTGCGGCCGGTAAACAGCGACCAAATGCTTGCGGAATAGCGCGAGCGCACTTTTCCGAAAGAGTCGCTCTTAGCGAAGAAAGTATATAGGATGCCGCACATATCAAGGGTAAAGACTTTTTCCTGACTTCAAAAGTATGCAGACAACAGTTAATATTACTATGGGAACTACAACGAAATATTATTGTCAATATTATTTTAGTTTTCCGGTGCCTTTTTTAACTTTGTTTAAATTCGCTTTGATTCAAAAATAACCGTTGCAAGATTTGATATACATAGCAAGATCGTGTTCCCTCTTCCATTGCATAAGTTACTCCTGTCGCATTGTTTTCTAGATAGCCCGTAATGCGCGTTTCTATTCTACTTGTGGCACGGTGCTTATGCATGTGTTCTGTTCTGAATCACGTATACGTAATATTCTAGACTTTATTTCTCTAATTCTTTGGCAATAATACCACTAATTACGAACTCGACGTCACAGATATATATAATGTACTTTAATCCTACTGGAATAGTATGCAATATAACCGTGGATTTGTCTGAAAAAGCTACTTGGAAATTACAATTTAATATGACAAGCGAATCATTAAGCTAGCGTTCAAATGCAGTGTTTGTGTTCGGCTTTTCAACTCAGCTCAGACGGGTCCTTAACCCTGAACGCGAGAAAGCATACTGCAGAATAGTACTATAACCTGCACTGGTGCATTACTGGCTTAAAATGAAAACAAACAGCAATCATTTATATTACGAGCAATCATGGACACGCTAATTCTGACTTTAGCTTACCTTGTGTCATAGCATGCGCCTCTTGGAATAGATCCACACTCAGCCATATGGACAGAGCAAAAACGATGTAATTGGTACGCGCCATTACGATAAAACCTCTCTTTCTGCGTATTTAACTTTGTGGCTGCTAATGAGAAGAAAAACAAGGTAATATATTAGCAACGAAACGATAGACTTGAATGCACAAATATTGCTTCATGTTTGACATTCGTACCGAAAATTGAATGCCTCCTATATCTAGGATAGTAGTTCCTTATGATCGGAGCTCATGTTCCTCGATTTGATTTATAAACGAATGAAGACAAATTTGGTCGGAAGGAGACCTTTGTACTAACGGAAGCCAATTAAGATAAGTGTATTGCTATCCTTATGCGTCAGCCAAGTGAATATATTAGGTCGCGATTTGCCATAATACGCACTTCAAAAAGCCCCTTCAGAATGCACCGAACCGCGCCTTGAACTCTATGGAAACCATGCTCGCAAGTTATTTGACGTTGAAAGTATCGAGGAAACGCTGTCATGACTCAGTTATGTAAACCACTCCACTAATTCGAACAACGCGAATCGAGGTTTGTTTGATTGACTGAAATGAAAACATTTACCGGCGATATTAAATGGCATATCTTAACTCAAATATTTAATAAACCTGGATTTTATATCTTATTTTCATTAACAACCCTTCAAAAAGTACTTTTGCTGAAACGTGCTACTTAAGTTCATTGTTAGATAATGTTCACTGTTGAGAAATCTTACATTCATTGCCTATAAATGGTCGAAATCTCAGGCTTAGCATTAAAGGTTTTAAAGTGCATACATTTATGCAAATTCCTCTCACAAATGTTTCCAAAATTAAACTTCAGGGTTGGATGAATATATACGTGAACTCCCGAATGTCATTGACGTTTTAGGTTTATAAAAAAAATTGAATGGAAGTCCTGGTTTAAAAATACCATCACATAATCTAAGTCATATGTATATGCCTGTAGTAAAATATAATTCTCTCAGAGTAACTAAAAGTAATAGGATATAAGAAGTGAAATCCCGTTAATAAAAGGCGGGGTTGTAGCTACTGAGAAACAGAAAAAAAGACAATAAAATAAATTGCGCCAAAAGCTCCAGGAATCACATGAGGGTATTTCATGCATTTAACAAATATGAACGGACGCAAATACTTCATATCTTACTTCTAGTTTATGTCAGATGATAGTATACTGAGTTTTTTTTCCGATTATGTACTGCTATATATTGGAACGGTTGAAGGAACTATATATGCTGTCAGACTCTTCTTAACACAAGTATTAACTTTGGAATGTGTTCAGAACGGCCTACTTTAGTATTCCGTTTGTTGCCAGACACATTTTATTTGTCAACCTGCCAGCTAATAATATAATCTGCATTCGTTCAGTACACTTTCGAAGGAAAAATTCACTCGAAAATTTCCTGGGTTTATGCCCTATTTCCTCATGAATCATGACCAATACCATTTAGTCCATTTCCCCTTATAAATTATTGATATCTTTTCGGGAATCGTAGAATTTAGCGTTGATTGTTCCTGCAATGTTTTGAATTACCGCTAGGAAATGTCTTTATAAAGGCCTGTGTCTTTTATTAAATTAAACTATGTTTCAAGCTGAATAATAGCGCTGAATAGTTCAATCAACTTGTCTTAAAAAAAACACAACTCGTTGACGTCTATCTAGTCCTTACTTGGTCCTGAAATATTTCTTGTTTGACAGCAATATTCTCTCTTGAACGCAGACGGGAGCACGCCTTTGCTTGTCCTTAGAGCAACTTACGACACTCAGAAATGGGACTTGTCGCAAACATCGCGGATTTTTATGCAAACGGCGAAGCAACGGGGCGCCTATGACTAAACACCTTAGCTTGTTAATCGAATTTACGAGTGCTCAATAAGCGTAATATTTGATCAAGGCGTGCCAGCGATGGACAGATGTCGACACCACATGATACGCCCGTATTTTGAACAATTTACACGCTGCCAAATGCGCTATTCCTAAACAAAAGAGAGGGTCCCACGTTATTGACGAATTCCAACCACAATATCAAAACACACCAGAAAGCATAATATTGCAAGAGCAATTTGAAATTGCGTATCGTACGCCAAGTGAATTCGGTTTGATGACGAAACGACCAGCTTTCAAGACTTGAAAATTTTATCCGAGGAATTTCGCCCGGGTCTGGGCAATAATGTCAGTCGATACATTACTAAATTTAGTTGTATATAAACAAGTCATTTGTGCCAATAACTATAGGGGATTTACGAACAAAGTTTGAAGAACAATGAGACTTAATTAAGTATGTCCAACGCGTGTACTTCCCCATGTGCAGAACGAGATGAACCCAAATTAAAATGCAACAAATCATGAATCAGTTACGTGTTCATATTCACCTATCGTTGTAAACACTTAAAAGAAACAGCCTTGTATAATTTAACATCTAATCATTTTGCATGCATAGTTTCACGGACCAACTTTCATACTCAGAGTGTCTTTCGTGCGTTTGGATTTGAACAAAATATAGAGAAAGATACGAAACAAAAGCTTCTAATCAACCGTATCTATTTCTAGAATTATTTCCATTCTTGGATTCTAGTACATTATATGAAGTGTAACTATTGCTCTAGTATCCTGTGTAAAAATGTGGTATCCCGTTGGTAATTTTCTGGCTTCCTTTATTAAAAAGTCATTATCGCATTGTAAAAGGTGTAAAGCCGTAAAAGTGTCTAGTTCTCAAGCACGCGATGGAAGTATTTTTGGCTCATACGAGGAGATAATTCAGATTTGTCCCATAGGAAGATGATTAAAACGATAGTAATATACCGTATCCAATATGAATAAATTTTGTTAATCAATTTAGGTTTCCTTCTTGCGATAACATTACATCCGCTGGGATGAATCTACAGGACCTCTAGGAAGAACAGTTTAGAACTGATAGAGCCACCCAGTATAAATAAAGTTAGTTTAGTTTAGGTTTCCTCCTGCAATAACACTGGATTAATAAGAGATGATACTTACTGGACCTCTAGGAAGAACAGTTTAGAACTGATAGAGTTATCCAGTATAAATAGAGTTAGTTTAGTTTAGGTTTCCTCCTGTAGTAACACTGGATCAATAAGAGATGATCCTTATTGGACCTCTAGGAAGAACAATTTAGAACTGATAGAGCCACCCAGTATAAATAAAGTTAGTTTAGTTTAGGTTTCCTCCAAAGAGGCAAACTTTACTGGACGTTAAAGCCAATACTGATTTCTTTGTTTTGCTTGTTATTGTTGTTTAGACTGCAAGGTCGAGCACGACTTGCCCTTCAGCATGCAGTAATTTGGGAAGATGCGTCATCCTTCGTGTGTGTAAACTTTATAATTAGACAATAGTTTGTCTTAAAGTCTAACGCCGACCCTTCCTTTGCGACCGTCAGAAACGCGGTTAATCTTTTTGATTAATTACAGGCAGGAAACCACAGCCCATGAGTCAGAACAAAAAGCGTTTGTAGGATGCTCGTTTTGTTGTGTAAACACGGCAAATATTTAACATACCATTAGGACAGACGATAGCTTCGTAAACACTTGTAATTTTGTAAAAGAAATCTTTTAAAGACAAACAAGACCGGTTTGGATTACGCAAAATAATTGAGATAAAGAAACCAAGACAGTTTTTACAATGTATTACTGATTGCCCCCATTCATGCATTGGTTTATCTCGGCTTAAAAATACCCCAGGTTAATAATTTTGAACGTGTTGACATTGAGAAAAATATAACCTTGGTTCGGTAGAGAAATTTATAGACTGAGCCACCCCAGGTCGAAACTGCGGGTTACCATTCGTAGTGCAAACGGTGCTTCAGGCTGTGAGAATTTAGAAGACACTGTTTTATATCAGGTCAATTTAGGTTCATTGGATCTTATCTGAGCATACTGAGCTCCAGTGTGCGCTTGAGTTTTCATGCGTGTCGTATAATTATGGACAAAGCAAAGATGGACCTTGAAACTGTTGATTAGGAATTACCCTATATGGTGATCTACCTCGATTCTGACACGATAGACATCTGCATGCATGCGCTTATGACCTCATCTTTGAGCATTCATAATTTTTTCCAGCATTTTCTAACAGACCGTCCGAATTTCGATTGTTTTAGTTTTTGTCATATACTGCCTTAGTTTGTTTGCATAAGACCACGAAGCTGCTCTGCTTAGACAAGGTTAAATGGATGCAGATGGCCGCGACCAGACAGCAACTATTTTTGGATGTATGCAAGAGCAAGTGTTCCTAATTACGCTAGCCTGGGCTTCTCCATACTTGACTGTATGCCAGTGCCGAAAGAAGCGAGCTAAAACATGTGTTTGCTTATAGATAATATAAGAAAAACATGCTCTGAAGAACGAGATCTTGTGCGGTGAAATCCAAAAATTTGAGCTTCAAAATAAGACTTCGGGTGCTTAAATTGATATTAGGTTTCATATAGTAATTTGCTATTAAGCCATCGTAGCCATACTGGCTTCATATCTATATAAAGCTGATTTGTTTTGTCAAACGCGTTTTTTACAAAAATGTGACGTTACCCTTTGCCACAGTGAATGACAGACGTCGATTAGAGCTAAATTGAGTTTTAGGAATATCGAAATAATCTTTCGTAGAACAGGAACATGATAACAAGACAGGAGGAACATTATTGTCCTCGAATGCTTGAACCACTTTTGATCGATCAATCACCAGGCTTAATTCAGTTGTTTTATGCACATGCAGGTTTTTTAAAAAGCCACGTATATAAGCTATAATTGCTTCATCAAATGTCATCTATAGTAGCGAGGCTGACATAGAACCGTCAACCGTAATTAATTGAACCATATATTGCAGGTCTCAATCTGATCCATTTCACACAGAAGATTTTAAAAGCACATTGTATCATATGCTCATCGCCTACTTCTAATATCAGTAGAACTGATTAAAACAGTGCAGACTTTCAAAATTCTAGACATTCAGTCATCAAGTATTAGACAAACATCAAACGCATACTTGCACTGAATTTATATCGTAAACACATTAGCCCTTCCCAGAAATAATGGGCGATTAATAACTAAATACAAAGTACAAAGTAAATAGGATGGGAGATTATGAGTCTATATATATAAACATAATATTCTACTGGACGGTTCCTTCCTTTTCGCCCGGAATTTCGGTAGGATTTTTCATTTTAATGTGAATTACAATTTCACAATCTCTTTAGCATTGTTTTGTGATGCATGTTTGCAAGCACGTCTTGAAAAGCCGACGCTGTATTAGTGTATATACTGTATACAACAATTCATAAGTGGAGGCTAGAAAAATCGCCGGCTTGTTGCTTTCAATTCCGTCACAATAGAATCCTAATGAGGGTCCCAAATTTGGGGAATTTTTTGCATACTTCGAATTCTCCAACGTGCGAGTTTTGGCGTAAGGATTCCTAGCTTGTTGAACGCTTGTAATTTAAAAACGGAACTTTTTCAAACGAGGCGTTGCGTGCGTGGATCTATAAGTCTCATTTTCCGGTGTTAATGTTTTTGAGTAATTAAGTTATAAGCATATATTTGTAACTATTTTCGCTATGTTATGGTATGCATTGGCACATGTAAAACGTGAGTTGTGGGCTATAAAAAACTAGCTGTTTATTTCTGCGGTGACATAAATTATAGTGGAGAGCGGTTGAGACATTAAATGCATGCATTTACCATTGACGGGAAAGATCAAAGATGTTTTTACAACGAGTCTTTCTTATTTAGACTAAAGCGCTAGTTGACATGCATCCAGACAATATATTGAGTCACATATGAGACGTTGTGACGTCATGAATAAAAAGCTCATTCAGCAAAAATTTTTTCATTGAAAAAAGCCGTATCATGAATTCCTAACCACGTACGGGCTCTCTCAAACTTCAATCAAGGATAATCCCAGAATGATATTTAAAAACGAAAATATGCTACAAATTCCCAACTGAATACAACGTGCATGGGAAAATAACATTTTGGCAAAGAAACGGAGATGTTTAATAATTATACGAGAACTTATTGGAAAGGAAGCTTCTTTACAAGTTGAAAGAATCAAAGTTATGTAAAATTGTCATAAGATTCCGGTAGAAACAAAAAATGAAAACTGTAACTATCATATATTACAACTAAGAAAGGAAGAAGATACCCTAATGAATTCCGGCTCGCTTTTAAAGTGTTAGTGTCGCGATGGCTATAGGCTTGTTTACACTTGACATCTTTCACTTTCGGTGCAACGACAACGTTCAGTTTTTGATAAATACGCGTTTTTGGAACGGTCGTTCCAAGCCAGAATCACAACTAAATTCACAAGCAAACTGATGGCAAATGATAAACAAACATTAGGAAGACTACAACTAATCGTAACTCATAGTATAGCCGTTGTAGAGCGTTAGAAAAAAGTGAATTGTTGGCCAAAGGAATGCAAGAAAGTAGAGTTGATAGCGTGCATGATATACCAGTTGAGGATTGACAAGAGAAACAGTTTTGATTATCAGCCACATCGCTTCACGCGAACGGAAATTGATTTTCATACACGAAGTGCATAAATGAGATAATTAGAAGTGGATTAAGACCATTCACGAGTGTTTGGCAAGAAAAAAAACTATCATGTAGCCTGCCAAATTATTCGAATGGCTAAAAGTGCAAAGGGAAAAAATGCTCTGCCCGTCCACGAGATGTGAACACGCGAACGGAACTAAAATAATGAGGAGATACTATAGCTTAAAATTTTTTAACTACCACAAGTTAGTCTCTGCCAAGATTTTCGAACGTCAGCCTTGGTCAGCGAAATTTAAAACTGAAATTATTTAAATTTTTCGGTAAAAGATGAATCAGTTTCATGGCAAACTGAAGCGAATAGTTCAACTGAAAAAAAAATATAATGCGGTTCCAACTGTTTCTGTGCCTTATTTATCTACAAATATATCGCGGTATATATTGCTTCGTTTTCGAAGTCAAACTTTCATTTTATCGGTGATTTTGTTCCGCAAACATTCGCAGTAAATTTTTCGCTAGCTTAGCAGCATGGAAATAAAGTTAATGAGGAATGAGATTGTCTGGTGACGAGCCAATTTTTCAACGTTGTAATCTGCGTCAAATCTTCACATGCAAATCGATCACAAATAAACAGCCTTTCATTACATCGTGACGTCGACTCATTATATCCCGGTATTTTTAACAGTTATTAATATCACATCGCAATACTGCAGAATGCTAAAGACTTAAGCTCAACAGTCACAACGAATATCACATACTTTAAAGCCATCTGCTGTTCCAAAATTGGAATTTCTCAACAGCAGCGCAAATCAACTGATATTCGAGGCAAATTTTAGCTCAATTACCACTTCAAGCCTCTCTCAAACACCAGGTAGTTCTGACCTTTCTCAACATTTCTCACGAAATCACACACATGGATCGTGAGACCTCAAAATGCTCGATTTTTATATCACCTTAGCTTTAGGACTATTCAGTACTTTCACCAAAAGCCAATATTTAATATATAAAGTCAATTCTAAATACAGTATATGAAAGTCAACTCACCTACGTATTGATTGTGAAAATGCCTTGCGAAAGACCAGAATATTCTTCGAAGAGTATACTCCTCGAGTTTATGTTTAGGATAATTGTATGATCTAAAAAACGAGAACAGAATCTTATATTTTGACTGTGAGGGTCCAAATCGTTTTCAGGACGTTTTCTGATTGCATGAGAAGAATTCAGGCAAGATAAGAAAGCACAAAGGATTGAAAGGAATAGATTTTAAGCGCGCAGCAGAGGGCTCCTCGTTTTCAATAACAAAGTTCCTGAGAGATCCTTCAATAAAGAAGAGGTATCAATTAGCATAGAGACCTTGCCTATACAGATTTCAAAACAAATCACAACTCCTGTTTTTTTTTTCTCCTAGCCCGTTGAAAATATCAGAAAACTCTTTCATCGTGATACACAAGAAGAGCTAAAAGCTATACGGTATACCTTAGCTTGTCACCTTCTGTAATTCGACAGCTCTGTTACAATAATGAGACACCGCGATTTGCATGCATCAACAGCTTGACAAATTAGCAACTTTGTTTGCAAACTGTTTACAAACTTGCTACAAATGATTTGATAACAAGCGAGCGCTATTTATATACAGCTACGAATCAAATTGTGTAGGTTGAGAGGGTAATGCACCTCTTTTTTTAGATTACCTATTATTCGCCTTGATATGATCCCTTTAATCCTCTTGTCAGCGGAGAATGAAACGCACAGACACACACACGTACAACGAACTGTGTCGATACTGCTTTGTGTAACGACGGTATTGTTACCAAATATATATGAGATAAATCTAACTTTGCAACTAATATTAGATGTTCACTGCAGGCGGTGACAAATATGCCATACAAATAAAAACAAATACATAAAAGTATGAAAACATGCAAACAGCGTTGGCCATAGAGCGTGGGACATGGGATTATGATCACGTACAGAAGATTTGTGTTGAGATATTTGAGGAATGAAACTTTAAAAGGATGCAATTGTTTTGGTTAAATTTGGCAAGATAAAATCAATATTGAAACTAGTTGTACACTATTCATGATTGTGATGGTGCTAGAGGGTGGTCGCTGTCTAGCCGTGACGCCCTAACAACTGTGCCTTGCGCTGTAGGAAAACAAAGACCTTCCGAAAACAAATTAGTTGCAAGCAGAAATTAAATGGATCTATTACTTGTGGTTTGTTAAAGACAATATAGCCCTTTTTTTTTGTCGCGAAAGATCCAAAGTTTTACTGACAGATGTCACAATCTATTTCATTACATTTAACTCTAACAGCTCTAGCTTAAAACAGCTCGTCAGTATAAATCGATAAGGTATTTGGTCAATAAAACGATTCTGGTTTAAAACAGCTGTTCTCAAAGAGCTGTTCTTAATTTCTTATAGAAAATTGTGGTTAAGACAAATTAAAACGTCCATCCATGCATGGTCATAAGTTAACCGCATTGGTGTTTTGAAAATATAACCCAATAATCAGACAGCTTCCAGAAATGAAAGGCACATGTGTTTGTTTATATTATTCTTGTATATAAGTTTGAATGGTGACATCAAGTTAGATTGCAGGTGCATCACGTAAGTATTTAAAATACGTGATATTATATACATGCAGGTATTAAATACTTACGTGACCTACAATCTAATATACACATGTGTTTAGTATCAAAACTGTAAGCATTCTTCTCACATGTGACTGAGGTGAAATTATAATCAGACAACTGCATATTACAGGAATCAAACCTCAGTCACAGAGATGAAAGACACATGTACTAACCACTGTGTTTGGTAGAGTCAAACTGGAAGCACTCTTCTCACATGTGACTGAGGTGAAATTATAATCAGATAACTTCAAATGACAGGAATTAAACCTCAGTCACAGAGATAAAATACACATGTATACTACTCAGTCAATTTAACCCCATGCAGCAGAGACAAAACCCTGGTCAGAATCATACTAGCTGCCGTCCCTCTCATTACAAGTCTGAAAACTGAAACATAATATTCTAAATCAATTCCGTTAACCAAGATGTCGTCATTAGCAAAATAATTACGAGCTTAATGGATACCAGTATTTGCTATCTTATAATAATCCTATAGAACCTTCAATTGCTGGTGGTTGTTATCGCCAGCATAATAGTGTATTCAACAGCGAATTTCTCAAGCCTTTGATATTTCTTATCGAATTTCCATACAAGAAATTTGGGTATACATATATATTGGTGTACGAACAAAAAAAATACCGAGTATTTGGGTGTTGATGTATGGTGTTCATCCCCTGGCGAGGATCGTCATACACACAATTTTATTACAGGGCTGAAGATCATAGTCACTCGTTAGTAAACAAAGTAAAATCGTGTCTATAACAACACAAAAGCGGATTTCTAACGCTATAACATCTGTGGGTGATTGTCACATTAGTCTACGTGATGAGTCTCAAGCTCGCTAATACTTCAAGATAGCGTTGGAGGAAAATGTGCTAGAAATTGAACTAATTACAACACTCAGACGCACCCACACTAATTTAAAAAAGAAAGTATTAAAAAAGTAATTACTAGTTGCACAAATATGGACATATGTATGGATCTAATTCCTGAATCTAATTCAGGTTGTTTTGTCATTCGGAAGACAGAAAAGAAGGCGTGTGATTTCAGGATTCCTTGAAGCTTACACAATGATGCATTATTAGAGCAATTATACAATCACGCCTTTGTAAAACACTTAACTTGTCTCGAAAAATTTGAAAGATTCTGAGAAACGGGTTAAGAGCAGTAATCATCGCCCAAAATATCACTTATTCTGAGAATAATGAGCCTGAATATCGAGAAGATGCTACTCACGTAGCATCGATCATGATCATCAACCGGATAAGCGGAAAAATTAGCTTGACCACGGTGGGAATCCAATCCGCATGCCCTTTGGTTTGCTGGTCCAATGCTCTTTCAACTGAGCTACTATAGGTCAAGACGGTTCGAGTAATTGATTTGACGGTTCGAGTAAGTAATTTCGGAATTTAGACTAGCCCCTTCTATATATATCTGTGCCAATGATCTGGCGTTTAAAGTGATATTCACAATATTCATTTCATAGACACCTGAGTTCATGCACTAATAACGAATTAGCTTCTGAATCAGTTCATAAATTACACGAAATATCGATTTATTTATCAGCTGAGAAACGTCTATTTATCACATCACCTGCTTCGTAGGCCTAATCTCAGCAATGGTGAGAAGGGGATCGAGTCGCGATAACCACATCGGCGTCTCTAGTGGGTTGTGGATGCCTTGGTTGGTTTTAATCAACATGATAATTATCATTTCACATTGATCATGTCTAGGAAGAAAAGATTGGAGCTGATGAATTGTCTAGTTTAACAAAGCTATATATGGGGACAACAATTAAGAGATAATCCCATTCGAACTGACAGAAACACAGAGTCTAGACTCTGTAGTTCGTCCTGTGGTAACACTGGATCAATAAGAGATGACCTTTACTGAACCTCTAGGAAGAACAGACTGAGTTTAGAACTGATAGAGCTATCCAATATAAATAAAGTTAGTTAGTTTAGGTTTCCTCCTGTAGTAACACTACATGGATCAATAAGAGATGATCCTTACTGGACCTCCAGAAAGAACAGTTTAGAACTGATAGAACTATCCAATATGCTAGTTTTAGCCTAGATACGATTTCCGGGATAAACTATTGAAGTATTAGTTTAGGTGTCTTCCTCCGCCAAGCCTTAGATCAACAGAGTTTTAAATCAGCGGTGTTTGACCTTTAGGGAGAGATCTCCCAGAATAAATTAAGGAAATATATCATATCGTTCCAGCTGTTTTATTTCACACAGACCAATTATTCTAAACAACACGCAATAGAACATTGTGGCAATGTTTGCCAACGGCATGATGTTCCCTGTGACGAATGAAGGAAAACGAGCCAAGGCCGAGTATTAGAATTCTTGACGTTGTGATATATCAATTTAATTGAACACCGTTCATGGCATGTATTTCTAAACGACTCCCTCCTGTTTCAGATTAATCACATAATAAACTAGACTGTTTGAACCCCTGTTGAAGTAATAACTCAGTATATTTAATTAAAAATCGGTCACCGATGTTTCCAAAGCAGCTAACGGCGGTCAAGTGAAGGTGTATAGTTACAGCATGTATATATTGACTTTCTGGACACAGGCGTTTAAAATCTAGGCTTATAATGAGATTTGAACATCTGTAGTGCCTTTTGAGAATTTGAGTATCTGTGCTTTTTTTTTTGAAAACGTCACGTTTTGCCATGGGTTGAGTGTATTTGAAACAATGAGTCAATGACTAACCAATCGATACAACTTATCATCTATACTGTCTCGATGAATTCAATGCATGCAAAGTGGATTGTTTTAACTACAGTATACGGACAAGAGTTTCGTTGAAGATGCTTATATGTACACAGAAATAAAAAATGCCCACTGCTTTTTCATTGCATTTGAAAATCATTCTTAATCTCCTGACATGATTAGCCAATTGTACGAAGATTTTACGAAATAATTCAAATATTATTTGGCTGATGAATTCACTATAACGACCTTAAAAAATAGCTTTATTCGCTTGTATCCAGTTGCAGAGAAATTTGCATGTTCACAAAATGACAGCCAAGATATCAAGCTATAATTTTATTTTTTGCTTCGACGGTTGAAGGTTGACTCACTCGAGTGTGATGCGAGACTGAATATGAAGAATTTATTCGCACGATGGGAGTAAGCACTTCTGGAAAACTGCAGAGTTGAAAGGAATGTGTGCATGGTTATAAAATATTCAAAATTAATACGAGTGACATATGCTCACACTCGAAAATAGCTCAATAACAGCTCATTTGTCTCAGGGCTGATCTTTCAAACCCAGCAGGAGATGTTGTTATATGCTGTCAGCAACACAAGCTTGCCTGCTCAGCAGCATCAGGAAGTTTCTGCCAGGATTGCAGATCATTTGAAAAATATTTATCGGAAATTCCGATGATTCTCGCTCGTGCTGAAGGTCATTTTAATTAAAACATTTTCTCCAGCGTAGACATCTGCAATCGTGCGCTGGCGAAGAAAACCAAAAGAAGCAATGCCCAATTTTTACATAAAGTCTGTTACCATGCTCGTCTCAGTCAAAACAGATACGAATTCTGCAGTATTGAAACAGGGTCTACGCTTTTAATTTTTTAATTAAAAGGGCAGTTATCCATGCAAGTGCACTTTTTCAGCAATACAGGCCCCTCGAACTATATCAATAAAGACAGAAGAAGACGACTATGACTTTTGATATAGAAACTCTTTTCTTTCTAAAAACAATTTGTACAAAACCTGGATAGTCCATACCATAAGACTGATTCACACTAATCCTATCAAAGCACGATATCAGTACACCAAACCACTGCTTTGTACTGCGCGCCAGTAATGGAGAAGATAAAGACAAGCATGAAACAAGCTTTCAAATTCGCACTTAAATTGTTCACTAGTGAACTCTCTACTTTTGGGAAACAGTTCAATATCGCTCTACCAGCTAGCTTAATTCTTCTCTCTAATATGATACCGTTAGCTACGTCAATAAATATACAGTCTATTTGATGTTATTCGCTGTTCTTTCAACATATTATATTAAATTACAGTGGACAAACTCGCTATGTTTCTTCTCACAATCTCTGATATCGGCATGTATCAGATCCTTCGGACCTACAGCCATATATCAGAACGCTCTCCTTCTCTCCACCTCACAACTTCTTCTTCTTCTTCTCCTCTCTACAAATCAACGGGAACGCCTCGTTTGCGAACCCACTGAGGTTTTCAAAATCGACCATCAAGAAATCTTCCTCCGGATTCGTGCACATTTGTTTCAGCTCGTCCTCGAATCTCCTCACGTCCTTCTGACACCGGCCCCGATGGTGACCACGCGGACGCCACGTGATTTATAATCTCAGCCTGTCTCAATGCAACGCGCAGATCATGCGCATTGCCATCGGTGAATATAATCAGGACATCCTTGACCCCAGGCCTATCTCCATCTAACGGATCACCGGTGAACACCTACGAACATTTTGCGAAAGAAAGTCAGTTTTAAATCATGGTAAACACACGACAGAATTAGGAAATGAAAAATGATTGTCTGCAAATGCATGCAGCGAAAGATAATTTCCACTCGAATTCAGGCTTTTTATTATAAAGCCCGTGTAACAAGGTGCAATTATTCTCGCAACTACTTGCAATGCCATTCTACTTTTAAGAGATGTAAATCAGTGAAGAGTCTTTAAAATGTGACTGTAAGAAACGTGCATGGAGTGCGATAAACACAAAAGTTTCATGGTGCCAAATCTACATCTCTCAAGAGTAGAAATATTTTCAGTTGCGTGAAAAAATATACAGTGTAACACCGCTTTGACTGTTTAGAGTTTAGAAACAGCACCAACCTTATTTGCAACCCTAGTCAAGGCATCACCAGTCATGGTTCTCCTTCCCATCTGGTATTTCATGGTGTCCACCACTCGCATCTGCTCTTCTGCGGAATACTTATCCAAGTTCAATAAGAACTCCGTCTTGTCGACCTGGCTGAACTGCTGAAGTCCTATGTGGATATCTGAAATTCCTACACGAAGAAGCATGAGGAGATCCATAAGGAATTTTCGTACGTGGACAAAGTTTTCAGATTTGATGCTGGCGGATCCGTCCACGACAAAGAAGATATCGTGAGGTGTTCGGCGACAATCAGGACTAGGAGGTTGTGTCGCTAAAGATGAAGGATAAAATCATTAGTATGCGTTCTAAACAAAATGAATAAACATCACCTTGCAATATCAGAGATCTTTCACGATAACTATTTTATTCATACTGGATAGCTTTATCAGTTCTAAACTGTTCTTCCTATAGAGGTCCAGTAAGCATCATCTCTTATTGATCCAGTATTACTACAGGAGGAAACCTAAACTAAACTAACTTATTTATGCTGGATAGCTCTATCAGTTCTAGACTGTTCTTCCTAGAGGTCCAGTAAGGATCACTCTTATTAATCCAGTGTTGCTACAGGAGGAAACCTAAACTAAACTAAATTTATTTATACTGGATAGTTCTATCAGTCTAAACTGTTCTTCCTAGAGGTCCAATAAGAATTACGTCAACTTAATCCAGTGCTAATACAGGAAAAAATCAAAAATAAGATATTTAATAACCCACCTCGAAGAGCATCATTCGGAGGACAGACTACTTCCATCACATTGTTTACTTTTGAATCCCTTTTACCAACTTCTTGTAGCTACTAAGAATGATTTTTTCTTGATGACTGGCCATTTGTTGCATTTGCATTGAGATACGGAAACGTTCCCCTCCCAAAGCAATCGTTATGACCTGCACACCCATTTGTCGGAAGGTGACAACTTCCTTTTTAGCTCTTGTGAGGTCGCTGTCCCAATGTGGACGTTCTCTTAAAGACCTCGTGGTTACCAAGATGAGGACGTCTTCGACATTTGCTCGACCATACATGTAGTTCATTCTATGAAACTAGAAAGACAGAAATTTTAGAGTTTTTGAAACCTAGTTTAATGGTTCTTATGAGACTTCTATATTGCATTTAAGACCCTCGAAGAAATCGGTAGCTTATGAAAATTTAGTAGAAATACAACAATTATGTTTCTCACTTAGTTAAACCGGCGACACATGCATTATTCACTCTGTATGACCAAAAAAAAACAGTATTTAATTCTTCAATCTTTGAGCGCTTTCCTTTATACGTTAAAAACGGTCAAACCGTGGTCCTGTTGTATTTCAGTACAGACAGATTACTGATATTTTAGAGTGTTTCAAGAACTCTGCATTCACGTATGTTGTTATTTACACTTCCTAGCACGGAAAATGCGGTTTCACCGCTATATTCTTAACAAAACCCCATTTTAATTCAAACTGATTTCCATTGTTTGACCGCTCAAAGAATGAGTCCACAGTGAAATGACACAACAGACTTACCTCATAACCAGCTTGGCGGAAAGCAGCAACATTGAAACTGTATTTTGCCCCAGATCTTTTCATTCTGTTAATCTTGTACTTTAACATATTTCGACTCAAATACTTTGAGAACTTCAAGTACATGCTGGGCTCCACCTCATCACCGACTTGCATAATTCCAACCATGAAGCGGCCATCTTCGATTGGCATATGCTCGATGAGTTTTTTCATGTACTTCTTGAACAACAGGAATCTCTTCTTTCTGACTTGTCGCGGGAAGTCAAGCAGAAAGAGTACGTCGCGTTTCATTTTCATGGCATATCGGGGGAGGGGGGGGGGTAGCGTTGTTGGTTCGGGGTCGTCGTGGGTTCGGGGGTCGTCGTGGGTTCGGGGTCGTCGTGGAAGTGGGGTGGTTGTAGGTTCAGGCGTTGTGGTGGGAGGTAAGGTTGCTAGAAATTATAGAAAAAATGTCAGTGAATATGAAGGTGTTTATTTAGAATAATCGGCGGCATGTTTACACAACAAATTGATCACAAATAGATTTGTATTGTGGACAAATTCATGTCCCATGTGAGTATTTAGTTCATTGTTCTCACGAAAACATGCTTTGATATGTTTTCAAAGAAGTTTAAACAGCCAGGCGACTTGTATACTTACTCGGCGGTGCTTTGCACACGTTATTCACCAGCCTGTAGAGCATGTTTTCCAAATCATCAAACTCTACCATGTACACATCCTCAGGACTGCTTGCAATCTGTTCGACTTGGTCCTTAAATTCATGACGCTTCGGCCCGGCTGCAATTCCTATGATGTGCACGTTTCTCTTTTCATTCTATCCGCATGCCTCACGGCCACGCGTTGGTCACGTGTTGCGCCATCCGTGAAAACGATGAGAATGTCGTCGACCTCCGGACGGTCGTCGCCCTCAACCGTGAACACCTTAAAAGGAAAATATGTCAGTTTGCTTGATTGATACGATTAATTCGCTACAAAAATAGCAAAATTTTTTTAGCCTTGTCGAAATAGAAGTCTATTTTTGAGATTAATTGCCAACAGGTGATTTGAAATGGCGGAATCCATATCTCATTTGAAACAACTGGATATCTCTTGATATATACTTTACTTCGGTTTCAAATATACGTCAGAGCTACATGCAGCTCTTATAACTAAACATAATTACAACATTTTTACGTAATTCATAAAGATAGAACAGGTAAAACAAAAGATAGAACTCATATAAGTTGATCAAATACCAACCTCCTGCTCGACAATTTTCAGAGCGTTTCCAGTGTAAGTACTCGTGCCTTCTTGGTATCTTAAATACTTGATACGATTCAAAAGTGTTGCTTCCCTGTGTGAATAATCCAGCGTGAATTCTACTCTTGTTTTTCGTATGCTGCTGAACTGCAGTAGCCCAAAATGAGTCATGTTTGGATTAACAACAACCGCCTTCACGAGTTTCGTGAGGAAAACTCGTATCTTTTCAAACTGAGTTGGTCCGATGCTCAGGGATCCGTCCACAACAAGAAATACGTCCCGGGGCTCTTGTGAGCAGATCGTTTTAGCTAGAAAAAAAAGGAAATCGTTGTAGGAACTAGGAATTCTGCATATGAAAGTTGATTAACAAACATTAAAATTGTATAGATGTCTAACAGTTACTGGCAGACTGAACTATTTGTTACAGACACGCAGTGATAATGAGTTGAAATTGAGCATTTAACTACTTTTCCATGTTCACAAACAGATGTCTTTCCATGTTATAGCGACAATGTTGTACACCACTACCCCCACAGTGTTAATATACTGACTGTATATCTACATCCCATCCCTGCTCCTCCTAGACAGTGTCCACGACATTCAGATATTAAAACTGAACACTTACTATAATCCGGGGGAGGTTCAGGGCAAATTTCGTTCACAACATCCTTTACAATGACACCAACAATTTCGTTCAGGTTATCAAAATCGGCCATCCACACGTCAGAAGGGCTGCTTGCGATCTCTTCCAGTTGTTTCAAGAAATTAAACTTATCCCTACCAGCACCAATAGCTACAATTTTTCTCTTTCCGCTTCAGCTTCTCTGAAACCCTGTAAGCTCGTCTTCTGTCTGTGCCTGACCATCAGTAATATTATGAGGTAATCTGGGACATTGGGACGATCATCGGCTTCAGGGGTGAAAACCTGGGAAATGATTGAAATTATCATCAGTGCTGTTACGTCTAATCAATCAAATAATCAATCAAAAAATCAGTACAACTATTTGTAATTATGTTTGACTATTTATTCAATACTTTATATTGAAATTGGTTCAAAATATACTTCCATCAATCGATACTATCACTCTAAATGTTATGTCAATCAATCAATACTATCATTATTAGTATTATAATCAATAATCAATATTATGTCAATCAATATAACCATCAATATTACCCATAATCAATGAATACTATCAATATTCATATTATGTTTTACGAACCAATCGATAATATTGATAACTTTTAATCTTAATATCATCGATAGCTTTTAATCCATAACTTTTAATCTTAATATCACAATCAATCAACCAATGAATCAATCAACAATAATTATTATTATAAACGAATCTTTTAAACCAACCTCTCTCTCCACAATATCTAAAGCGGAGCCAGTTTTTGTTGCAGTACCACTTTGGTACTTCAGACTGCGCACTTTGTCTAACAACACGTTTGATTTATGAGAATAGTCGAGTTCAAACTCAACCTTTGTCTTATCGTCTGAGCTGAATTGCAAAAGGCCGAAATGAGTATAATCCTCGTGCACTTGAACAGCTTTGATCAGTTGGAGAATGAACTGCCTCACGCTTTCGAACTGTGAGATGCCGATGCTTGCTGATCCGTCCACCACGAGAAAAATATCCCTCGGTTCCTGGGTGCATGCTTAAAAAAACAAAATTGTCGGTTGAACGACTGAATGCTATTCTGTATAAACACTGGTGTATATTTCAAAAGGGTTCTTATAAAGCAAAGGTCTTTCCAAAAAAAGCTTAGGGTTTGTCCTCAGATATAGCACGAAAGAATGCGTCATCATTCAACATTATAGGACGCAGTTTAAAATTGGATTTGTAAGTATGTGAAGAGTATGCTTATTACCTCCATTCTTTCCGCTTTTTAATGCTGCAAATGTGTTGCCTTGGATACAGCAGAAAATAGCAACAAACAAAATAATCCCCTTCATTTTTGCTGTAGAACTGGAAGAAAGAACGTACACAATATTAGCAAAAAGAATGACGCTTCAATTTGCTTTTTACATGCATTTAAACCGCACGCGTGCACGTACGTAATGTTTGCAATGTTTATGAGCTAATGATTTTGCTCAATTTATGTACTCAGAGTTATCGCAAAACACTTAAAAATATGTTTACTTTTGACTACTGCAAGCTCTTTGTTGTAAACAGATTAAAATGAAAAATAGCGCATAAGCCATCACTTCAGTTTTATATTCCCATACGATTATATAAATCTCCCCCCCCCCCAACATATCCACTTATGTAAAATACCACTTGAGTTGGACCACCGGGTTTGGGTGAGTTTTTCTATCATTATAGTTAGGCCCACAATCCTGCAGAAAGTTCCAGAATACGAAGCAATTAAAAACACTCTATTTTGATAGACTTGTCTCTGCTTGAACTATGTTTGGTATCGCTGCATAATCGAGACAAGAATGTATTAGATGAAATTCATAATCTCCCAAATTAACAACGCATATTGTATTGCATAAGACGTCATCAAGTACTTAGTTAATCAGCGCATACAGCCTGTCAAAAACTTTTTTATCAGAGGAATGCTCCTTCGGGTTTCTCGCAAGCTCTGACAGTATATTTAAAATGACAGTCAACCTCTAAGCACTTGAGTTCACTTATGACTTATGTGTTTGCATCTATAACAGTGAAAAAATTACTCTTGACCTATAGCTAATTTTTCAAGCTTGATCATTCACGCAGTTATCTGGCCTGTTCTGCGAGAACTGGCACTTCACAGTCGTTTTCATTACTTCGAATGTTTGTAAGCAATGTTCCAAGGTGGCTACCACTTACGGCTCAAACGAATATCAACAATGTACTATTTTCTTAAAAACGTGCATTGCCGGGAATCTCTGCGTGAACCCATCAAACATGCTTGAAATTTCAACAATGAATCACAAAGTAGGCGCAAAACATTCTTTCGAAAGCGCACTTGAGACCATCATTGCTCTTAATTGCGTTTTAGTCGACTTTTAAAAGCCTCAATGGAAAATGGCGTCAACGCACATATATGCTCCCCCACTCTAGCGAGTTGATCAGGCAATCAGTCTCTCACACACAAAATGAATTAGAAATGACCCTGGTCCATTATTGTCAATTAATGGTTATTTTATAGCCGACGGTTGAAATCGTATATGCGGGAACAAAGCATTGACTGGTCACACTCACAGCAAGGCGACCATTAAAGCGCTACATCTTCGATGAAATATACAATCAGGCTGAATCAGCCATCGTACACAAATTGGGTTTGTATCATCTGCGCAACCAGCAATTTCTCGTGGCTTTGTGAATACAAGTCCTTGACACTTCCGTGTGCTTGCTTTTCGGTAAGTGTGAACATTTTCAAGCTTTGAATGACTTAAATCGCTTAATTGCTGGTACATATGCTACGGCATAATTGCAGTTCCAGAAAAGATTTGCGGTTTTTGCGGTTATGTCGCACACCCTGTGTGCTTTTGCATTGTACAAATCGCAGGAAAATTAATAAAATCTTTCGGCACTCGTGGTTATTTTCATTTTACCTCTCGTAATTGGCACTTTATAATAAAGATTGTTTGGTACAAATACGTCAATACTACGTTATATAAATTATCAAGGTAGAACGTATATATATTGCTGTACATGTGATGGCGTTTCCTCTCTGTATAGCGGCGAACGATTCGGTGATTTCGGTCATTCGGGCCGATTGAAATTTGCCCAGCAATTTGTTTTCAAGGTTATTTTTAGCCGTATTGTCGTGCACTCAGACGCGCGTCAGGCAAAGGGCTCCATAAATCGCTGTTTAATAATTTAACAAACCGTTTCCGAAAACTGCTTCCGATTGCATCGCAAGGCATTTAGTGTTTGTTTAGGGTGTGTGTATGAAGTCCAATACGGAGCTTCACCAGAAATTACGTGGAACTTACCAGAATATCTAAATTAATACGACGCGGAGTGTTTTTTTAATGACAAATCGCAATGTTTATCATGACGAAATACGATTGCTTCGGAAATGAGTCGCGCAAAATCGAAGACTAAAAAATCTTCATTTGCCTATAAATTTTTTTCACAGAACATGCGTCTGAAGAGACCGAGCGTGTCTAAGAAAAAACCTTGCATGGGTATGACGCAGTAGTAACGCTATTCTTACATTATGAACCTTTGAAAAATTTTAACCCTATTGCTGGGCTGCAGAGGATGATGAAAAAAAATCTCGCTCATTCGAATTCGTTTCGTAGATATATATATTTGTAATTACGATACGTGAATCAATTCATCAAGTTCAAGGCATTGTTATTTCCAAGTATACCCAGTCACAGTTAACAAGTGTAAATGCACATAAGTATAAAGTATAATTAACATTACCTTACAATAGTCCTCTGTTCTTCGTAATAACAACTCTAAAATCCTTTGCGCAAGTGATGCTCACGTTGCGACTTGCTGGTCTGTTGTGATGTTTTCCTTGCCACGCTTATCTTCTTATATGTACCGATTTGGCAAGGCGCGGCAAATGGTATTTCAATATGTCATTGCGTTAATATCTTGGTATTTCCCCTGCCGTGTCACAGAGGTATGCGCGCGGGTGCGTCTCATGACATACGCAGAAGATCAAGAATTGTTTAACGTCAATAAGTCTTAACTCCTCGACCAGAATAAGAATTATGAGTACGACCTGCGCAACCCCCTTCCGGCCTTTTTCACGTACAATTAAACAAGCACGCAAGTTGATTGATAAAGCCACGGAGTTTATTTGCGCGGCACATGCTAATTCATCTCGCGCAATTTATGCAAATGTGCGCAAAAAATTCTAATTAACCAGCAACGTTGCGCGCTTCTCCGAATAAGCGAAAAATCGTGCAGGAACGCTTTTCTCACAGTTTCGCGAAAAATGCAAGCGATCTGTATGCTTAGCAGATTAAATAACATCACGATAACAAAATATGAATGCGATAACCTTTTGGCACAAAGGAAAAAAAGTAACGCGAATTGTTGACGCGAAAAATTGCGAATAAACTTCACAAATTAATCTTTGAAATCGAAGAATGAAGGAAATCAAAGCTCAGGTATGAATACGCGCACAAATATTCCTATGGCAATTATAGTATTCTTCGTCAACAAAACCAGATTAAATGAGCCCCTAGCAGGATAGGTAGACCCGATTTCTGAACGGGAAAAACTTCTGTTCGGTAGATCTGAATGTTTTCAAGCGATACTTGGCAGCTGAGAACGTCTTTATTTACGTTCACAAAAAACGATTCGGACGGAGCCTGTCAGTGTCATAAGCGCAGAGAAGAACCTTCATTTCAGGAAGTCGTTCAAACGCAACCATTTTTGCCGCTTTTTCGGCATGCAAAGTCTGCGGTGCGCGCAAGGTCAGGTATTGTTTGATTATTATTCGAAAAACGTACGAAAACTTCCACACACAGCAAGCGACGGGGCCCGCTAACGTTTAATCGCGTTATAACTCGCTGTGAGCCCAAACGACACTGTGAGACAATGCTCCGGGGAAAAAACAAATCTATATTTAAAGTTTTGCTATTACTGCTTTAACGTTTTGCCATTATATTCGCAGCGAAAACACAATGGTTTAAAAACATCCCACTGCACAGCACGGCCGTCAGTCATCAAAATAGGATGTTTGGAAAATCGCAACTCTGCGGCGTTGAATTACGTTGGTGATCGGGGGTTACGGTTGAGAAGGCAATTAAAAAAATTCACCTTTGCAATCCCACTGATTTTTGCATAATTCTCAATAACTGCGTTTTACTGAGAAGGAAAAAATCTCTGCTAGTCGCTTTTCTATTTAGAAATACATGCACGGTTTTAAAACCGAACTAGCATGAGCCAGAATGCTTGGAATAACACACATATGATCTCTCCCCATAAATGGACTTATAACACTTATGTGTTTCTGGTGTGTTGATGAAGTGTTCAGTGGATTATATAGCTACCTGCTCAATTTCAAGATGAAGTATATATAATCGTTTGTGATCTGCAAAGATGGTCACTTTTTAAAAACTATAAAGCCTTTAATACATTGTCGAATCGAGGTAAACTGATCTTCATTTTTGCAATGTGGAAATCGAGCAAATTCGAGCCTCGACCGACGGGTCAAGATTTGCGTGCTGAGAACAGGAGATTACTGGCAAATCAGTCGAAAAAAACAACCCTGACAAATTTGATAAATGCAGACAGAATTTTAAACCCTCTTTTCTCGCACTTGTAGCACGCTGCAAAGACAGATCACCTACTTTATGGAATTTTCGCGCACTGCAATAATGTTTACCACAAATGGTGTTAGCGACCTTAAAAAGTATTTAAAACACACAGGAGGTTTAAATGACCAGTGTGTGTAGGTTCAATCAATGTGTGTAGGTTCAAAACAGTGAAATATGACCTAATAAAACCATTAAAACATTAGCGAAACCATCACTTCATTGTGTAAATCGCTGGGCTGGTTTTCCGTTCTTGCCCGAGCGTAATTTTGCGAGCAAGAATTTCGTGTTTGCATCGCCTCGCTCAGCCTACTGGGCGATCCATATCTTTTTTTTACATTTATTTATATTGGTAATGCAATTAATTCAATTGAATTATGACCATAAAACTCGGGCTTTTATGAGATATAATCTTAAAATAAAACAAACCTTTTAACAATATCGAAAGGACATGTTAAGCTTATGAGGACGGTCATTAAACCGACAAAATTTGTATATCCTGCTCAGCTGTAAAAGGAGTTCATTTTTTACCTTCGTAAAATAAACTTTTTCAGTCGAGAAAATTTCGTCCTGTCTAGAAGGTTTTGGATCAGAACCAATGGTTCCAATGCGGTCCCTCGCACTCTCTGCGTGTGCCAAACAGGCAATCGTGAATTGACTAAATTTAGTCAATCCGACTATAGACTATATCCACAATAAACCTTTCCTTACTTCACAAAGAATCTTAAAATCTTGGCTGAACACCAAAGAGATTTTGAGGCTAAACTAATGAGTT